TCATGACAGAGAAGGACATCGCCCTGAATCTTCAGGTGATTGTTGACGATGCGCAAGAAGTGCCGATCCAAGAGGCTGCCAAGGGAGCAATAGGCGTGCTGAGCACAGAAAACCGAAAGGTGTGGGCTGGTCTGCGTGACGTACTGCACAGGGAAGAAGGGTCAAACAACTCTGATTGTTTGAACATTGTTGATTCTGCACTTTTTGTGCTCTGTCTCGACTACACCGAGCCACAGACTGGCGCTGACCTTTGTATGAACATGCTCTGTGGTACAAGCAAGATCGAGCGTGGAGTGCAGGTCGGAACATGTACGAACCGTTGGTACGATAAGTTGCAGATTATTGTTTGCAAGAACGGAAGTGCAGGTATCAACTTTGAGCACACTGGTGTTGACGGTCATACCGTCCTCCGATTCGCTTCCGACGTATACACTGACACTATTCTCCGCTTTGCCAGAACCATTAACGGCAGTGCGCCCAGTCTGTGGGCTTCGTCAAGCCCTGACCCTGCGAAGCGAGACCCCGAGAGCTTCGGTGATGTTCAGACTACACCTCATAAGCTCGAGTGGGATATGGTTCCTGAGCTGGGTACGGCCCTGCGTTTCGCCGAGACACGTCTGGCAGACCTTATCCAGCAGAATGAGTTCGCTACCCTTGAATTTCCCCATTATGGAAAGAACTTTATGACCTCAATGGGCTTCTCACCCGATGCATTCGTCCAGATGGCCTTCCAGGCTGCGTACTACGGCTTGTATGGAAGGATCGAGTGTGTATACGAGCCTGCCATGACTAAGATCTACTACCATGGACGAACCGAAGCCATCCGATCCGTCACAGAAGAATCGGTCGAGTTCCTAAAGACATTCTGGGGCGAAAATCCTGCAAGCCAAAAGATTGATGCACTTCGCAAAGCCTGCCAAAAGCACACGGAGAACACTAAGATTTGTTCAAAAGCCCAAGGACCAGACAGGCACCTGTATGCGCTGTATTGCATTTGGCAGCGCGCCATTGATGAGTCTCAAGATATGGCTAGCAGTGACGGCTGGGACTCAACACGAGCATCTAGCCCCGATGCTTCACGCGTTGCTTCACCCAACCGTAATTCGGCACATTCAGAAAACGGATCCATTTCCAGCTCGCCACCTCCTTCCCCAGTGCAGCACTCGATGCCCGCACTGTTCGCAGACGCCGGCTGGGATAAGATCAACACGACAATTCTCTCTACTTCGAACTGTGGCAACCCTTCGCTCCGTCAATTTGGTTTCGGTCCTACTTCCGCTGAGGGTTTCGGTATTGGTTACATCATCAAAGACGGTAGCATCTCCATTTGTGCATCCTCTAAGCACCGACAGACGAGCCGCTTTATCGATGCGCTTGAATCTTACTTTTTGGAGATCCGCAAGCTACTACGACAGATCAAACGCCGCGGTACTTCTACTGACAAGACGGCCACACGCGCACGCGAGGCAGAAGACAGACCACTGGCTACTCGACTCAAGAGCAGAGGCAAAATTATCCTCGGCGATGGGGCCAAACAACAGACGCCCTCAGAAAGCGTAGCAGACGACGAAGAAGACGATGGTCTAGGTGGATGTAGGACTCCCCCTTCCCCTCCTTCCCTTTCCCTCGGCGATGCCTCAAGTGTCGATTCCTCCTCTTCTGCTTCTTCTTTTCCACCTATGCACCTCCCGCCGACTCCGCCTCACTCTCCGCCGTTTAAGCCCATGACGGCGGTCTTGTCGAGCTCGCAGAAGAAGCCGATAGCTGTTTTCAAGACGGTGCGAGCGAGGCAGGGGACGCAGGGAGCATCTGCAGCCAAAAAGAAGCCAATTTTCTATTCTTCTTGATATCCTGTTTCTCTTTCATTTCCAGATTTCTGCAATTTAGCGTTTCCATCTATCCTGCAAGATTTGTGCCCAAGACTTTATTACCTCACGTTTTCTTTACCCCCCCCTCCCCCCCTCCCCACACATACTCACATTTCTTTTTTCAAAGATTTCATTATACTGATTATTGCTCTTCTTGTGTATAGATGGCTTCTTCGACGCGGGTATGCTCCGTCAGGCGCTCAATGCCAACCGAGCACAAGTCGAACCCGTCGAGCGCGACGTGATTCGCAGAAACATTGGGAGGAGGTTGAGACTGGCCGAGTACTAGGGATGTTATCTGGTGGGGATAGTATAGTACGAGCGGTTGTTGGAAATGGTGGATCAATATACTGAGCAGATAGTATGTAGATGGAGGAGAAATGCAGTATGTTGAAGTCTTACGCTTCATTATTGTATATTTGTACATAATGGTTTTGTATATGTGAATGCCATTTGACGAAAGAAGAGTAATCTCTGGAGTTTTGAGACTTTTTTTTTCATCTTTGACTTGATCTACAGATTGTTAATCTTGCTTCGTGTCAGACGTTAATCCATTATCCAAGTTCATTTGCTCAGCGTGCCTCACGATGTCAAAATTCAAATGAGCCTTGTCTCACCAAGTTTTCTCGTCATACACTTTCTTTTCATGTCCTCTTACTAAAATAAGGATTGGTATGGCTGAACACGCAGGGGCATAGTATGACGACGCACCCGACGTAGAATTCAACTCCTTTTGCTGAGCCACTGGAACAAGTAACAGGCGTGGTCTTTGAGATGCAAGGCAAACAATACAAGAGACAAAATCATATCTGAATTTTTTCGTATATGTGTACATAACCCATCAAAAGAAAATGTCATATCCATATTCACATTTACACAACAACCCGCGCACAACTACATTGTGAGAGCCCATTTGTAAAGAACCCCCTTAGGCCTTGCTAAACCCAAGTTCATACAAATAGCCCAGCACCAAGCGTCCATGTTGCAACACGTGGTTAGGGTCCATGTGCTCCATGGTATCGTTCGGAGTATGGATATACGGATTGCGGTACCGGAAGTCAGACTCAAAGACAAACGAGGCAGGGTATCCACTGCGCATGGCGGAACCGTGGTCTGAGCATGCATAACCGCACGTGCTGTTGACATAGGTGATATCGGTGTACTGGATCAACATCAGCATTGTGTATTCTTCTTTCTTGTCTCCCTCCCTTTGCAGCAAAAAGAGGGGAAAAGGTCTAACGGAGGGGNAGAGGAAGGGGAAAAGGAAACCAAAAAATTTACATACCTCACCAATCACTTTTACCAAATACTGATTCAAGACGGCATCCGTAAAATCCGTAATCAGCCCAAAACTCTCGGGCTTGCCCGCATCCAGCGTCCCCTTTGTGTACCCCACCATATCCTGCTGCAGCATAGCCCAGATCTCTCTTCCTGCGTTCTTGTACTGCGTGAAGATGTCTTGGCTCCCGCGGAGACCGCCCTCTTCAGCGGCATACCAGTGGAACTCAATCGTGTTCTCGAGAAGGTTGTTGGAGCCTGCAAAGGCCGAGTCGGTGAGCAGCACGCGCAGGGCCTCGAGAAGAAGCATGGAGCCGCTGCCGTCGTCGTCGACGCCCGGGGCGCGGCCGGTGAGGCGGTTGGCCGAGTTGATGGAGTCGAGGTGGGCGCCTACGACGACAGTGCGGTTGGAGCGGCCTTGGATGCGGGCTATGATTGAGTTTTGCGGCCAGAGCGAGTGGGGGAAGGCAGAGGCTGTGACGCCCGATTTGTTGGCTTGCTTGACCACGGCTTGGACTTGGGCGAGGAGCCACTGGGCAGCGTCGGCGCCAGATTGGGTTTCTGAGAAGCGCGTGTGGAAGGTCGAGTATTGCTCGAGGTTTTTCTTGATGTTGGCCCAGCTGAGCGAGGGGAAGAGGCGCCGGATGTTGGTGCTGTATTGGAAGGTGGATGGGTAGGCGGCCGCGCGCGTGACGGCTATGGGTTCGGCGAACGAATCCGTAATGTCGAAGAAGTGGCTTCCACAACCGCCGCCCTGGTGTTATAGTTAGTAAAAATAAAACGAAAGGAGCTGTAGTTTAAAAAAAAAGGTGTTTCCGTGGGGAAGAAAGGGAGGGATAATAGACAAGTGTTTCAACAACCACCACAAACTCACAGTAGCAATATCCCACCTCTCATCCTCAGTAATCTGGCGCGTCTCCCCCGGCGCAACTTCAATCGTAATACTCCTCGCCGCATTGCTAACTCGCTCGGGTCCCTTGGCCAGCGCAGCAGTAGCGCAAACAGTTGCGAGAAGACCAAGCGACTTCATCTTGTCCTCTCTTTCCTTTGTCCCTTTTGAAATCTTGACTGAGAAAAAAAACACGGCGGCCTTGTTTCTTACAAAAGGCGAGAAAAAGAAGCGAGGATAGAGAGAAGTGAAGTAAAAGAAATCAAACAAGAAGCAAAATAATCAACTCCAATTTATACTATAGTAACCCCCCTCACCTCACCGTTACCCACCCCATCCCCGTCCACAATCCCCACAAAGCCAACAATACCCGGTCCACTCACCCAAAAAAAAGATACATAAACACACATGTTTTCAGCATCCGCATCATGCCTATTATAGCTTCACCAGCCATCTTAGCCAATAAACATGCTGCGCGGGGATCCAGGATAACCCGCCAAGCAAGTCTTGGGTACCGCATATCCATCTTGTCGCTTTCCTAATCCGGCATGGTGTACCGTGACGCATGTGTACCACAAGAGGCAGGTCTGACGTACAAAGAAAAGATGATGGCGGGCGAGAGGACCCGAAAGTGGGTAAATCAAAGTACATTCATATTGTTTTGCTGACGGGAAGGGGGAGGAAGAAGAAGGTGGAGGAAAAGGGAAGAAGCTTGACTGAGTGACTAATAGGTAATAAGTCCAAGGGGGGAGTTATCGTAACATGACCTTTCAACTTGAATATTTCGCTTACTATCCTTCTTTTTTTGTGCTCTAGTATAGTATGTAAGCCACCATATGCCTGCCTACCTGCAACATGTGAATTTTCTCTCAACATGATAATTTCAAACATGATAGTCTTTTTGGAGTGAGGTAACAAAAAACTTTCGTCACGACAAGAAAATAACAAGACAAAAAAACCTTTCTCTTTCATCAGCAAACTCCCGCGCTACATGCAAATGAATAAAAGTGGGTATAAGTGACAAAAGACTATCCGTCTATACATCTTGACGCAATATAAATGCCACCAAACCTGCGCTATGCTAAACCACACTTGGTTCTGGGGCCCGACAAGGTGAACAATGAACAGAAACGATACGAGTGGTCCGTCTGTTCGCGAAAGTTGGTTCTGTGGCCCTGCTCCTACTACCTCCGGCCCTGTGTCACCTAGTTAGCAACTTTGGAATCAAGTTTGTTTGGAGGGAAGCTGACGTACTAAGACGCTTGCGCCTCCTCCAACAGCGGCTCGCTGTTTTCCGAGCCAGCCTTTGGGTGCTTCGCTGCGTCTTTGCAGGATAACCGTGTTGCTCAGCAGTCGCTGGTTCATGTCGTACCACATCGACTTGACCAGCGCGTTCTCTCGCCTGAGGTTCTCGACTTCTTGCTGAAGTTCGGCCTGTTTTTGTCAGTCTTTTGCATGTGAGAATAAGTGGCTGGCTGCCTACCGAGCCCCTTTCTGCCGTCTCTGCCTTGGCCATTTCGAGTTGCACTCGTAGTGACTCGTTCATATCGAGCTGATCTTGGAGGTCCTGTTATACGAGTTAGCTTTGATCCTTAACGCATTGCAAGAAATAAGAGAAAGAAGAAAAAAATCGCCATGACAAGTATACTCGGGCAGCTAGGCCAGGGACAAACTTGCCACATAGTCGTTGAGAATCTGATCCATGCAGTACTCATCCTTGCACATTGCCGGCAGTTTGCTCGTCTCTGGCAACGCTGGTGGCGCCATGCGATCCCAACTAGTTTGTCCCGTACCCGCTATCGAAGTCGACTTCTCCAAAGGTGATTTGTTCATCCAGGCGTAGCTGTTCTGCGGCAATTCCGGTTGCACCAGAGTGGCAGCAGTCAACGACGGCCGAAGCTGATATCGCTTCATGGTCATGACAGCCGCGTCAAAGGCAGAAGAAGAAGATTTTGTATGGGAAATCTGCTTGTTACTTACTTTTTTCGCCTTGTCCAGGGCTGCCTCTGATGAGAGGACAGTCTCGGCGATCTCTGAGCTCGTCGCATCCAAGACTCTGGGCTGTGTTTCTGGAGGTGCCTTGACAACTGACTCTATCATTTCGCGCATCTGCTGTATTGTCTCGACCCTCTTGAGTTCAAGCAGCTCTGGCGGGAGGTTGTCCCGGTCGAGCAAAGCTGCTCGCAAGAGACCTGACTTTTCTGCGTTTGCCAGTTCCAGCTCCCGTAGTCTGTCATTAGTTCGCTCTTGCAGCACCAGCAGACGCTCGTGCTCCTTTTGCATGCTCGCCGCCCGCACATCGTCATCAATGTCAGCTTCTACAAAAAGGTCAGCGTGATTGGTTTGTGCATGTGCGTCACGTGACCTACTCCTATTTAGCTCGTTGCGAAGCTCTGCCATTTGGAGATCCTGCTCCCGCAACCGGCGACGAAGTTCCTCCAGTTCTGATTGGGCTGTTTGAAGCTTTTCATTTTGTTCCAAAAAGGGCCTGTTTGAGACACTGTTTAGCTTGGTGAAAACAAAGACAATCATAGGAAGTAGCCCTTACTTTTGACTGGTCTCATCCTTCTCCGACATCATATCCGACCGTAGACCCAAGTTCTCCTGCATTTGCTTGAGTGTCTCACTTTCTAGCGACTTCAAACGGGCAGTGAGAATGTCGACTCGTTGTTGCAAGGCAATAGCATCTGCACTGATCCGTCCTTCAGATGTGGGCTTCACTTCGGGTTCTTGCGAGTTTTCGTCTTGCGAGAGCTCATCTTCTAGACTATCGCCTTGGTTTGCATGGTTTGCAGATTCTAGCTCTCGTATCCGCTCCTCGAGCTCCTGCTTAGCATCCTCAGCCTTGTATTGTAACTCACGTGTCTGCTCGAGTTGTTTCATTAGCATCAGGTTCTCATGCTCGACCCGCGTCCGCTTCCCCTTTTCTTCGAAGATGGCTTGCTCGCCGTTTGCCAGTGTCTGGCCGTTTTCCTTGATGATGTTTTGTAGAACCTCGATTCTCTCCTCGACGTTTTCCAGCTGGGCCAGTCTTTCGCGTGCTTGCTGGTGGTCCTCGCGTAGGGCCTCTAGTTGCTTCGTCTCTTTTGTTAGGGATTCAATCTTCTTCTTAAGATTCTCATTTGCTTTTGCCTTTTGGCTCAACTCGTCACGTTCGGCCTTGACGACTTGCAGCTGGTCGCGCAGTTCTTGCTTTGACCCTTCTTCGGCCTGCAACCGGTCAAGGCGGCGTTTCTGGCTGTCCATGATCTCCCTGGCGCTGGCCAGGTCCTGCTCCAGCTGATCAATATATTGGCGGTCACGCAACAAGTCATTGCGCAGGTTTTCGACATCGTCCGACTCTTCTCGCTGGGCCTGGCCGGCGCGGACATCGAGGTAGGCACTTGCTTCGGCGACTTCTTCCTCGAGCTTGGCGATGCGCTCTCGTGACGCCTTGAGCTCTTCAGTCAGCTTCACAACCTGCACCTTTAATGCCTGGCGGTCCTTGTTAGCCTCGAACAACTGCGCCTCCTGTTCGAGTTCGTTGCCTGCCACGGACGGTTGGCCCGAGGCTGCACGTGTGGGTGACCGATAACCTGGGAGGATGGGATCTGAAGTCAGTTCTGCATCAACACCGAGTTCCGACATGCGCTGGTCCAAGGCCTGCATTTCCTGGATGGCTTCTGCAATGGTTTCGGCCGTCTTGGTGCCGAGTTTGGGCATGACCTGCAGCATGCGCTGGTTGCTGCGGGGTGAAAAGCAGGCAGCGAGCAGGACGGCCATTGTGAGTTTGGCAACGAGCATAGTTGATCCATCACGGGCGCCCGTCTTCAGGTCTGGTATCATGCGTTTTGTGAGGACGGGCAGCTGCTCGCACTCTTCACGGATATATGTTGACGTGGTGCGCTCGATGTGCTTGAGATTCTGCCATCGCGGAATCCAATTGTCCGATTGGCGACGGTGGTTTTCTTCGAAGTTGGGTAGGGACTCGTTGAAGTAGTCGGCATCGATATCGTTGAGGATCTGCCAGAGAATCTGGCCATCCTCTAGTTGGCTCAGCGTCGTGATTCTAAAGGGCAGGTCGAAGGTATTGACCTGCAGGCAGAAAAAAAAAGTCAGCTGCATATTCTCGGGAAATAAGTAGAGTGGAGAGAGGGCTGGGGGCATACCCAGTCCAAGAGGGCCTTGAGCAGCTCGGGCTTGAAGTCGTCCATGGTTGGGGCAGTCGCGGGGCTTGCCAACCCGCGTGGGTGTCTAGGGGAATCAATGGATCAATGGCGATGGCGATGGCGATGGAGGCAGAGTCGAGCGTGGCCGGCGGGCATGTCGAGGCGGACGGGCAGTTTGCAGTGACTTGTAGACGGCGCTGCTCCACCACGCACAGGCTTGTTCCCAGCTCAGGACGTGTCGACGCGTTGAGGGTGAGGTTGGATGTGTTGCCAACGCTAGGCCGGAATACAGCACACACTTGCGCGGGGCCGCGCTTCACCGCTGTGCCGTGCTCGGATCGCGACAATGAGGGCACTGACGTCGTCGACGATGGCCTGTCCTAGCCGTTAGTCTAGAGTTGCACCTCGCACTGCTGCCATAAGACACATGACGCGCATGTCACGGCCGAGGGCGTCGCTCTGCCACGACTCGCACGTCCCCGAGTGAGGCCAGCCGTGGCGGGGAAGGGGCCGCTGCAGGGCTCCACCGCCCTGTCCGCCCGCCCTACTTTATCGTCGAGGCGATATGGGATGGGAGACGCGCCTGGGTGTCTGGGTGCCTGTGTCTGTAGTATGTCAAGCCAAGTATGCACGGGGGCATGTGTGTATACTGTATGCACGTCTACATGCAGTGACTACTATTTGCTTTTACATGCAGCAATACCATGGCCAACTACCTACATGACCTTCGTACTGCCGTCCACCACCATCACCACCTTTGCCCAACGCCAGCCCAAAAACGCCCAATATTCAAACCCAAAGCCCATAACTTGTCCCTCGTACAGTCTGCCATTCTTCCGCCCACTGCCCACTGCCCAACTACTCCTTGTTGTGCTGCGTTGTAACGACACCGTCCTCCTCAATCTCGCACTTGTACACATTGCTCAGTGTAGACACCAGCTCCAGTGCAGATGCAGGGGCCGTGGCCGCGAATCCCTTGATGATGTTGTACTCATATGTAATCTCACCTACACACCATCGTCAGCAGCAGAACTCAACGTATCGCTGGCCCATCAAGTGCCCAAGCAGACAAAAGCCGGCATCCCCACTCACCCTTTGCCTTTCGAATAGCCTCCTTGCTCTGCTCCACAATCTCATCCGGCGTGTCGTTTGGCCAACTGATGATGACACTCCGCTGCGGCGCAAGCCCCATGGCTACGGTCGCAAAGAGCGCAACACCAAGTGGAATAAGAGCAGTGCGCATCGTCTTGCAGCCACGTCTTCGGATCCGTGCGGGTTGTTGTTGCGTGCGGATATCTATCGCTGCGAGTCGTGATGTTCAGGCGACGTAAATCGTTGTCGGACACCACAGAGGCTGAGTGCTGGTACAGGACTGTCTCGGTGCAGTTGGTAGAAGCGCTGTGTGTAAAGTGTCTGAGTGTGAGTATATGTCGGCTAGGGGTAACAAGGAAGGTGTTCAGGCTGTCTTGGAGAGGCTCCTGCTAGAAGCGGAAGGCCGAGTGTCACGTCATGGCGTCTTCCCAATCCAACCGCTGGAACACTTCTTTGCCCCTCGTCATTTCACCGCCACCCAACCAACCATGCCGTCTCTCACTACACTACCACCAAAGCACCGTGGTAACACTCGTTCTTTTCCCTTTCCCGCCTTTCCACCCATGTATACAGTATAATCATTTCACCACCACCACATCATCATCACCCATCACAAAAAAAACCCAAAGACAATGATACATGATTCTGTTGATTCCATTGTCTACTTGAGACTTGCCACCTAGCTCCAGGCTCACGACAAGTGGCCATTGCATCCTCTCCTTGTATTCGAAAAAACGCCGCCTACGTGGCGACCATGCTCGTGCCCGTGCTACCAAAGTGCTCATGCTCAACGTTTCTTTTAGTTGCACCAAGGCGCCGTCTTCATATCGACAGTCCATGCAACCAAAGCAACGAGGGAATGGGGGTAAGGGGAAAGCGAAGGGATAGAATACAGGTCATCCGAAGGAAAAGGAAAAAAGGGAAAGGGAAAGCAAAGCAAAGCAAAAACACATACCCCAGTGTAACTCGTGTTCCATGCGCCAGAGTATGCCAGTGGATGCCTACGCTCCGTGATGATGATCGTGTAGCCGTAGTGTACAAGACCAATTTGTCAAATACAATGAGCGTCTTGACGAAGGAGCACAAACGCTCCAACCCAGACCCTCGCAGACAAGATTGGTCGATAGAAGGAAACTTTTCAATCCGCCACATGACTGAACCCCCGACACCAATCCAGCAGAATGACGACCATGCTGCTGAATCATGTGCCGAGGCGTTTTGAATGCTTTTTGACCGTACCATGGTTCGTCAAGTCATAAGGTCGTCCAATATCTTCCCCTCATCCTAGAACCACTGGCCGTGACCACCGTTGGCCTGTGCCACACCATACGGCTGTTGCGGTTGCTGGTAGCCTTGGTTGCTGTTGTTGTGGACAGCGTTGTGCATGTGGTGTGGAACCGAAGCGTTGCTCAAGCGGTGCGGCTGGCGGTGCGGCTGCGGAGAGAGAATGTTCGGGCCGTAATTGGCGTTGGACGTGTACATGGGCGCTTGGTACTGAGGGCCATATGCAGAGCTTGGCTCTGAAGAGCCCTGTGCAGTACCAGGAGATGCATGTCCAGAAGAAGTACGGCCTGCGTATGCGGCAAGACGGCTCTCGCGCTCAGCAACCTTGCTCATGATGCGGCGGCCGTATGGAGTCTGCCGAATGGACGGGAGGATAGGGCGCATAGCCTCAATGAGGTGGACACACAGCTCTGCGGGCGCAAATTCCAGCGCAGTCTGTATAACGTAGTTGCCGTACGAGTCGCGCATGAGCTGCTCAAGCTGCTCAACGTCAAGTAGCTCCTCGATCATCATACCCTTGACATGCGGTTCCGCACAGCGGATGCACTTTTCAATGACGTTGGAGCTAAACTTTTGCTTGGACAACTCGCAAATCTTGCCCTGGAAACCCTGGCACATGGGCGTCGTGAAGGAGGCATCGTTGAGGTCCAAGATGTACTGAACAACATAGTTGCCAAAGGGGTCCTGAACCAAGTGAAAGCTGTGGGCCGTAATCTTGCGAATAAGGTCGACTTTCTGGAAGCCAGAGGCATGGTCAATGCAGCGCTGCAGGACGCAGCAGCCGTGGCGGTGGGTGCCGACAGTGATACAGTGTTCACCTACAGCATCGAAGATGAACTGGGCATCTGGAGACTTGAGGTGGTTGAGGCATTTCTGAATAACGTGGTTACCGTTTAGATCTTGAATGAGATCAACAACCTGTCCAGACAAAGCGCGAATGATCATTTGTGTCTGATCGTCGGTCGAGATGAACTCAATCATCTTCTGCAGTGCGCGGGTGCCATGCTGGTTGAACGCAATCTGAACCATGGCAGGAGCAGCGTTGCGCACAAGAATGTTGCGCTGCTCATCGTTGCAAAACTCCAAAAGCTTCTGGCAGAGGTAGTTGCCAAAAGGGTCAGTCATGAGCTCAACGACGTGGGGAGCAGTTTCGTCAAAGATGATCTGGATGTTTTCCGCGTTGCGCTCCTCGAGCTTCTTCTGCAGAAAGCGGCATCCGTGCTGGTCCTTGCACAAGCTGTAGATTTCCTGACGCGGCATAGTCTTCAAATCGTAGTTCATATACTTGTTCGCATCATTTTGCAGACGACGGCTCTGGATGACGCGAGCCTGGCTGTCTTGAACGCGGCCTCCTGGCCCATACGTAGCATAAGGATTGTACTGCGGGCCACTGCCATACATGCCGTTGGGGGTGTACGCAGAGGGTCCGCCATACTGGGGCCCAGGTCCCGATGCGGGACCAAGGTTAAGGTTGTTCATCGCGCCGTTGAGCATCGATACTCCATAGCCATAATAGCCAGGGTTTGCGGCTGCAACACCCGAGTACTGCGACATTGCTGGCGGACCAACGTTTGCTGAAGCCCCACTATTGGGAGCAGCTGAAGTAACAGAAGAGCCGAACGGGGCGGTACTTGCGTGGATACTAGGCTGGTATTCAGATTCGCGGTTGGCCATGGACAAGTCACGACTGTTGCGGTTCGAAATCGCGTTCTGCGGAATACGGCCAAGGCTAGCATTGTGGTTGTGAAAGTGCTGCTGGGCATGAGACGTGAAACCGATACCATTTGCCCCATTCATGCCAGCGTTGTTCTTCAAGGTCGGAACATCGTTGGTCGAGTAGGACTGAGTTAGCTTCGGCATAGCATTGGTCGGGCTGGCGAAACTGAACTCAACGGAGCGACGGTTGTTGGTCAAATTTTTCTTAGGCGTGGTGTCAACGTTGCCGTTGCCGTTGGATCGAACAGAGTCATATTCGTCAACTTGAGGAGCTTTGCGGAATGTGTTAGCAGGAAGCGACTGTTGAGCCTGACGATGACGGTAACCATTCCAGGATGGGAACTGGGCGTCCGGGCTAGGGGGCTGGGAAAGAGCCAAATCAAGCGCAGCAGAAGACGCAGGAAGCTTCGTACCATTACCTGCGCCGTCGCGGCGAACCAAGACAGGAAAGTCGTCCTTGGTGTTGCCCATCTGAAGAAAGCTGTTGCGATCTTGGGAAGCACTAGGCCTGTCATCTTGTCCGAACAGAAAGCCAGCAGTGTCAATGTGACCCAATACAGAGGAAAGGTCTGGAAGGTCTGGACGACTGCCGTAATCCGTTCTAGTCACAGGCATAGACATGCGATTGTTCCTGTTTAATTGCGTCAGCAGTTGTTAGGAGGTAAAGGTGAGATGTAGTTACACTTACTTGCGAGCCGCTGGGCTCAGCGGGGTGAAATCGTCATTTTCAAAGTCGTCGTGGTCCTCCTCAGAGTTGCGTCGAGAACCTGGCATGGAATGAGACGGATAATTGTTGTCGTGGCCGCTACCTTGGATGTTTGAAAGGGGAGAGGTGACTTGGGAGTTGGCGCGGCTACTGCAAGTGATCATACCTGGTGTGATGCTAGACATGCTAAAGCGGTTTGGACGCGACAGCGCAGAAGGAAAGCCTTTGCTTTCGCTGTACTCTGGCGGCGTTGTTGGCTGGCTATGGGCCGGCCCGCCGTACTGGGCGTCGTTGGAGAAGCGATTGGTATCAGCTTCGCCGTGCTGGGCTTGGAGATTAAGCAGCTCCATTTCAGCGTCAAACCGCCGTTTGGCTTCTTTGAGGTACTCGTGTTCGATCCTTTTCCTCTCGAGCTAGTCGGTTGTCAGCCGGTCAGGCGAAGGCAGAAGCAGGTTTGTTGCAAGGCAACAGCGTCGCTCTTAGCCTAGGACTGTTGAAAGTAAAGACAGACGAGAACAAAGATGGCAGAGAGAGAGAGAGAGAGAAAAAACAAGTCGTGTGCGACAAAAGGGACGTATAGTGGTGGCGCTAGCAGTACTAGCTTGTGAGAGTTTGTTTATAGAGAGAAAGACAAGGTGAAGGCGTTTATCACATGTTACATCGTGGGGGTACCGGTGCAAACGAACTTAGCGGATGTAACCACCCAGCTGGGTCCAGGGAAATGAGAGAGGGGTGTGGTGAAGTGAGAGACAGCAAAAGGCTCGGTGAAGTCAACTTACCACTTGGAGCTTATGATAGGTCTGTCAGGATTGGTCGTTAGCCCCAACTCTTCTTCACCACGCAGTTACACGACTAAAAAGTATTCACGCCAAACACCAAATCACGGCTGCGGCTTGAGGCCAGATCCATCCACGTGGTTGTGGCTGCTGCGCAACTTGAACATGCGAGGCACCCTTGAGCGCCAGCGCCAGCGCCAGCTCCCTCATCCCCCAACCATACTTGTACGAGAATGTCGACATACCGCAGTTGTAAATTCGGTCGGCTCTGCCGCCTGTCTGCGTTGCTGGCCGATTGGTGACAATGGCGTGCTCAGAGTCGGGATGTTGTTGGTGGTGAAGCGGCGATGCAGGGTCGCGCGGCCGTCGCCATTCTGAGCGGCGCGATTCAAGGAAAAGAAGGACGAGTCTTCGCGCGGAGACCTGAGGCCACTGCCTCCGCCGATGCCTTGGTAGGCCATGCTGAGTAGAAAACTAGAAATACACTGAGATCCAGGTCAGCGCGAGGGTCGTGGGAGCTGGTGTGGGGGTTTGGCGGGCGGTGTGATGTTGGGGTTTGGGAGCCGCGGCAGCAGCCCCCTCGCCCCTTGGAGTACTCAGATGGACGCAGCAGACATACATGATAATTCGTACACAGGGCAAATGCCCTTGGAGGCCTGGAGCGAGGCGCTGGAGGAGAGGGTGCAGTGCAGAGGTTAGACGGATACGGTGTTGGAGGATCGGAACGTAGGGTAGGCAGGGACGGAAGTCGCTGTAGTGCGGGTCGCAGCAGCACAGCAGCAGCAGCGCGCACTCGACGGCCTATGCACGCAGCGAGTCGTGGCTAAGGACAGGCTTGGAGAGTCTGGAAGTATTGGCCAACCGTTCAGACTTGAAGCGCCGAAAGGGCAAGTCGACAAGCAAGCACATATGTGGAGCGTCGGCTTCGCAGGTCAAGGTCAAGGTCAGGGTCCATCAGGGGACTGTGGCGCGCAGCTAGTGTTGGATGGGATTCCGCATACGTTGCGCTTCTGCTGCTGGTTGCGTCCTGTGCCCGGTAGAAGTTTGGGACCCTCCAGTTCCCGCAAACCCTGTGCATGCACCAGAGTCGCCCCGTGAGTACATACTTACATAGCAGTAGTCTATTAGTAGCATCCCGCACCAGACACTCAAGGCGTCGCTTGGGGGTGGCCGCCGCGTCTGATGCCAACCACCACCACCACGACCCGTCCGTTGCGACCAACCCCCAACCCCCAGCCGGACACGGCGGCGGCGGGTCTTTGGGCGGCGTATCAGGGCGGCAGCCATGGTGCTTGGGCTCGGGTTGATGGCCACAGCCTCGCCATTCTTTGCACACGGCCCACCCGACGTCGATATGCGCGGCAAACGTGCTTCTGATTGCTGCCCTCGAGCGAGTTCCAGGCCCCTGGCGTGGGATGGTGGTGCCGGCGGGTGGTGGGCATTGCATGCCCTCACGTCATCTGGTAGCTCATAGCCAGCCGGACCGCCCATACAATCCGCGCAATGAGGGGCAGTGCAGCCTCCACACACTCATAGCCCAGGCGGGGCACCCGTCGCTTCAGTCACAGATGCAGATGCATGCCGCCCTCGAACGGGAAGAGATGTCGTGCACGACTAGTAGTATGTAGTGGTGGCAGACTGACTGACTGAGGGGGGCGTGGGAGCAGTGTCTTGCTAGCACTCCAGGGCTACGACGAGGGGGCTACTCGGCGTAGAGTACTTGTACATACTGTGTACATACTTGGACATGTACACAAATACATAGATACATACGTATGTAGGTAGATCCCTGGCGTCAGCCGGCTGCTGACTTGGACCTCTGCCAGCCAGTGTACACAATCACGTACACATATCTGTATTGGTATCTTGCTCCTCGTTGCGACTATGTCGATCTTCTTTGACAAGAGGCGCCCCGCCGTCCAGCACAACCGATGCGGTAAGGCGGGCTTGACCGGTTGCGCTCGCGTTTCAAGTCTGAGGGCCAGGCATTTTCCCCGCACGCCTTGCATATCCCAATCACAATGGGATACCCTCGAATCCATGGCACCGGCTAAAGGCACTCCGAGGCGGCGGTGCTCCTATCGCCATGTTGACAGTGGTAACGCAGTCGAGGGGAAGAGAGGGAGCGAGAGACGGTCGCAGATGGCATCAAGTCGACAAACGGGGACTGGCGGGACGTTCTGGTCGAGTGGCTCGTAGTAGAGTAGTGTAGTCGACTGCCCCGCGTGCGGCCGAGCTAGCCACGGACCAATCGGGCCCGGTTCCCAGTCATCGGTACTTGTCTCGACCATACACACCCTACATCCACACAGCACATGGCATGTACACACTTGTATACGCACACACCGGCGCGGCTTCCATTCCCATTTGCTCTACACCAGAGGCCCAGTGCACACGGTCTTCGGGATTGATGCAGGGTGCCAGTCATGGCACCGTACATGGCCGTGTGCATGCATAGCTGTAGTCGCAGAGCAGGCGCATAGCGTTGCGCCCCAATTCCGCCCAACAATCCCAAAAGAAACACAACCCGGGCGGCTGGCATGCTTTTGGGTGCGTACTTACAACGTACTAGGTAGGAGTAGATGCGCTTTACTGCCGACCCGTGCCATTCGGAAGTCCGTATGTGGCATGGATTCCAGCAGATGCCGAGTCTGTCTTGCGGGTCGAGTCTGCCAGTTGCATTGTTGACAGTGGTAATTACGTCACCGCCAGGCCACCCTAAAGCGACGACTATCTTCCACTTCGACTTTGTCGTTTTCCATGTCTACTTTTTGCACGTCCAAAAACCCTGGATATCGCGAGTACATGCCATCATCTCACCTTCGCCATGACTGCCAAATCAAGTCACACCAATGCATTGCAAACACATTGGCCTCCACTTCCCTGCTCCATGTCCCAAAACGCTAAGCACTTCTTCTCTGCATTGACACTTGATAAACGTTGACAGAGCCCACGTACATGCTGCAGAACAACTATGCATGAAGGTAATACAGACTCTTCAGCTGAACGGTGAGCGCTCGTATAAGCAAAGCCGAGGTCTTTTCTTGACGCACACGGAAGAGCCGGTCGAATCAGGCTTGACATTCGCGTGTTACCTTACCCCCTCTTGATGCAGCCGGATCCGCACTGCTCTTGTCATTTGAAAGTGAGTGCCAGTGGCTGCCACTATATATCCACATAGGGCCCATAGCCAAACCCCACCCATCATCTGCATGCTCCACAGTCATGTCGGCGGCACTACAAAACTTGGTCAGCCTTGTCGCGACATCTGCCAGGCGCGTTGCGCTCAATCCCATTGTGACCACCGCTCTCTTGTGGATACTGACAAAGGGCCCTCTGCAACTCCGTCGCCAGCTCACCACTAGGATCCCAGCTCTTCGAGATCCAACACAATATGCGCGGATTGTAAAGGCATTGAAAGTGTGTCTTGCGTTGGGAGCAGCAAAGGTTCTGAATAAACAGCTGAACCACGTAGCTCTGAATTCTGGAAGACTCCGAAGTGACAAGGCAAGGTGGAACTGGAACCGCGAGGTTGCTGTCGTTACTGGAGGGTGCTCTGGAATCGGGGAGCTTGTGGTTAAGAAATTGATCAACAACAATGTACGAGTTGCTATCCTGGACATTCGCCAGCTACCCCCGAGCCTGCAGAGCGGCAAGTCTTACCCTTACACTACTACCACGTGTTTCATATGCTAATTTTACTAGTCGCAAACGTCACATTCTTTGCTTGCGACATTACTAATCCCAATGCCGTCTATTCGACTGCAGAAAAGATCAAAGCGACTCTAGGCGCGCCTACGATTCTTGTCAACAATGCAGGCATTTTTGTACCCCATACCATCTTGAACACCTCTGATGATGATCTCCGGAGGATCTTTGACGTCAATGTACTCAGCAACTGGTACACTACCAAGGCGTTCCTACCGGATATGCTTCAGCATAACAAGGGTCACATTGTGACAGTTGCGAGTGCGGCGAGCTTTGTCGGCGTCGCTGGTATGGCCGATTACACAGCGACCAAGGCAGCGATTTTAAGCTTCCACGAATGTCCGTCCTCTGTCCTTGTTCTCCTATGCTGCAATAAGCTGACCTGTGAGTAGCGCTCAACCAAGAACTCAGGCATCAGTACAACAGCCCGAATGTGCTTACCACGTCGATCCACCCTAATTGGGTGCGCACGCCTCTGATTGCACCCGTCGAGGACGAGCTTAAGAAGCGCGGCGCCTCTATCACTGAGCCGACTGTTGTCGCAGACTCAATTGTCAAGAGCATCATGAGCTGTAGTGGTGGACAGGTCATGTTGCCAAGCGATATAAGTAAAATAACTTACGTCAGAGGATTGCCGAATTGGCTACAAGAGAGCATCAGGAACAGTGTTAGCAAGTTGATCAACAATGACCTGCAGTAATCAAGGGTACTTTATGTTTCAGCTGGGGCGTCTTGCACACACACACTATGCATGGGTTGGTAGGGTATGATACGACCGCCATAGTTACCACTCTAGGGACAAGACATGTAGCTTTCGGCGGCACTCGTGCGGCAAGGCCCTTGTGTGGTGACACGGACAAGACTGGCCGACGCTGAGATGCCGCTTTCAGTAGGTTTGAGGAAAAAGTGTCGAAGACTGCATGCAACGTGCCGTGTACGCATGAGGTGTGTGTGGGTGCTTGCCGTACTTCTGCCGTGCTGCGGTACCATTCACACGCCTACGTACTCCTAGTGGCTCGGTGGATCGCGCAACAAAACACCGAGACGGACGCGTCGCGTTCTCCGCCAACAAGTCACTTTTGCTTCCACATTGAGCCAACAAAGTCTCAACCGCCATTTCCCAGTCGCATTGATTCACCACCACCATGGCAGAAGCACAGGATGACGTCCACATGGACACACAGGACATTGAGGACGAGACGCCGCCCTCGGACGTCTTCATGGCTCCGTCAATTTCCAAGCCGCAACTTCTGGGTGGCCGGTCTTACTCGCATTTCTCACCCATACCCAAGCAGATTGCAGATGACATGGCACGAGAGGTTGTCTTGGGTGTCGACGAAGCAGGAAGAGGCCCCGTATTGGGTACCGTTACTCCACCCGTCTAAGATGATGACTGTGACTGACGCAATCCAGGCCCTATGGTATATGCCCTCTTCTACTTACCAATCGAACTACACCACTCCCTCCTCGCCGATACCCACCACTTTGATGACTCCAAGGTGCTCAAGGCCGATGTCCGGTCTGATCTCATGCGCACGCTCTGCACCCAAGGCACCGATCTCTACAAAGCCGGCGGGTGGGCAACGCGGTTATTGTCTGCACAAGACATCTCTGCACACATGCTACAACCATCCGTGTACAACTTGAACGCCCAAGCTATGGATGCGACGATTGATTTGATCAAAGAGGTCCTGGTCAAGGGGGTCAACGTCAAGGAGATTTACATTGATACAATCGGCAAGCCCGAAATATACCAGAAGAAGCTGGAGAGAATATGGCCAACCATTAGCATCACAGTCGCAAAGAAAGCCGACAGTCTATATCCAGTCGTGAGCGCAGCCTCGGTCTGCGCCAAGGTTACGCGCGATGCTGCACTAGATGTGTGCTATGAGCCCTATCACAGCCGCACCGATCCAGAAGCCGAAGATGGGGCGCAAGTCCAAGCCGCGTGGGGATCAGGGTATCCGGGAGACGCGCGCACCTCAGCATGGATGAAGCAGAACATGGATCCCCTCTTTGGCTGGGGTAACGAGACTCGCTTTTCCTGGGGCACAGCCAAGGAAATGCTTGAGGGGAAAAAGGCCGATGTCAGCATCGACTGGCCGGCGGAAGACGATGGGAATGATATGCGAATGACGGACTTCTTCAACGGAAAAAACGAGGCAATCAGCAATGAACTTGTAGACTGGTTTGGAAAGCGCGTGACGGAAGAGATGGAAGTGTTTTGATTGCCTTTAGGTAACGCAAGGCATCCTTGCGCAAACAGCATTGCTACCGAAAGCGGCGAAGCACACGACACTTGTTGAACACGACCATGGAAATTACTTTCTCGGACACATCTTGACTCTGTGCGTAAGGCTGGTCTACACTTGTCGTCTGGGTAGAATACCCGGGCGTCTTCGTCGGTCCGTTGAGAGATTTGCACCGGCCACCAACAAGGTGGGTTATCCAACGTCACACGCTCACATGCACATAGTCAGAACCAGTCAACCCACGACGAGTCCAAGCGCAGCCCGCGCCCTTGAAGTAAAGCCGCATTTGCTGACAAGGCCCTTTATGGCGCTTATGTCAACAATCCGATGCGAGCCAAACCAAATAGTGCGCTTCAGCACATACCCCTTGTTGGGACCATTTCCGTGTCTGCGTGTGCTTTACGTCTATGCGTCTCATTCTGCACAGAGTCCAGGCGTGCACCTATTAGTGTTGACGCTGGCCTTACAGCAGCCACTGGGCCGGATGCAGAAAAAACTAGTCATACATAAACGCTCTTCACTTCTCGTTCGGGTCTGTAATTACGTCGCTACAAACAATCAACAGGCAGCCGCCATTTTCGTACCTTCTTCCCACCTTGCACAAAACCTTGTGACGCTGCGATTGGATTTTAACGACTGTGCCACCTTTTTTTTACAGTATCGCCGTCTAAATATTGCCATGACATGGTGCAGTAGAGCTCGCGACAATCACACATCCTGGATCCATACGAGTGCGACAGATAGGCAGCATACGAAAATGTCTCGATCAAGAAGCAACGAACCCACAACTTACCACCGCACACAAAATGATAGTGTAGCGATGCAGATTTGCGAAGGCGGACGAAGGGGTGGTGTTGCTGCACGGGGAGAAGGCAGTCATTCCACCCTACCCAGCAAACGAGACAGCAACATCCCGTCGCATCGATGTTTCCTACTTTCCGAAGACGAAGACAGCGATTGGGACCCGTATCCGCCTTCGCCACCGCTCTCTCCTAAAACAGTTGTCATCGAGCCAAGATCACGCTACAGCCAGCGTACAACCGCATTGCACCAATATGGCTCGGCGAAGCGGCGGCCAGGCTGGAAACCGAGTCTCAAGGAAGAGTTACTACGCAGAACATCGATGGATGCTGCCATGGGTCATTCTGAACCGCGAGCCAGCATACAGATGGGTCGCAACAGAAGTAAGACGACAAGACTGGATTACACGGCCGAAGAAGGTGTAGAGATTCAGCGACCACAACGAAGACGCGGATCAACCCTGTTGCATCCTTCCTCCCCAATCATAGGGCCAGCGATATTACACGCAGACGCTCCACCAACAGACATCCAACCGCCGCCACAATACCACCCTTGTTTCGAGAACAGCCCAAAAACTCTTCTACGCAAGGGCTCCTCGCTACTCCACCCGTCCCCACCTCTAAGCGACGCAGAATCGGAAGCCAGCATGCGAATCGCGCAGCTCAAAACAGTCTTATCTTTTCCCCCGAGAAAGCAATGGTGATGAAGCGATGTAGTTGTTTGTGTGTGTGTGTGTGTGTGTTTTGCTTCATTCACCCCCTCATCGCTTTATTGCTGATGTTTACACGAGTTGAGCTTTGCTATGATAGATGCGGCTTTTTACGACACCACAACCCTTTTATGCTATTAGACATCTTTGTATATAAGTTTTTTTGTGAACGGCTTTTTGTTTCGTAGTTGGCTATCGATATTGTGTATATAAGTACAGTATAGACCGGTTTTACCCGCTTCTTTTACTACATGTCTTTTTTTTTCTTGCTTCTGCGCTCACTATGATGCTGTTTTGTTAGAGCGAGTTTAGAAAGTAAAAGCCGATACCAACGATGAATGTTTGGTATTCGCCCAAATTTCACTGAATATTTGCTTCTATGTTGGTAGAACTGCCACCAAGTATCACGCACCACACATCTCTGCCCCCATTCCCCTAGCCCGCGGAGTCGCGGCTTCAGGGGCGCCAGAAACAACCCATGTACATTGTTGAAATCCGTGCACAATGCTGCATCAGTTGAGCTGCTGTATAGCTTGGGCGGAGGACGCTGTGTGATGAATTATTGCATATGGTTGGTGAGATCTGTGGGTGTATTGTTGACTTGCCAACTTTGAGTGCGTGGGTGATAATAGAAGCGGCGGGGGAGCAAAATGGTTGGGGAAACTTCCCTTGTTTTGCTGTGTAACCCGCGGAGGGAGTGGGAGTGAGTTTTGTTATTCTTCCCGCGCAAATGGGTGTTTTGTCTCTTGGGACTTTGACGGTATGTTCTTTCGAGGTTGTCGGAGTGTGTTGGTTTTTGCCTGCGCCATGTAGTAAAGGTGTGTAGATGTCAGAGATAGTAAGAAGACTGGAGGTAATGTCTTCGGTGCGTGCAGGACACGACATATGCGTAATGATGCTTGCACAGTTTGAACTCCCTGCCTTTTTTCGTTATCATCTGCAATGCTGGTCACAGATGAAATCGTTTCTGTGAGATATAACTTGCTGAGAACGAACTGCATGCAGACAAATTCTTGGCCCAGCTCTACGTCTCATCGAATAACACTCAGCGCTGCTATTTTTCAAACCTTTCATGCGACACGTTAGTTAAATTCTGGTCAAAGTTATAAACTGCTTGCTGACGGGTTTCGACCATTTTGTACAATCCTTGCTTGATCTTCCCCCGAGGTGTGCGACAAGACAGTACAGTAAAGGATGGCATTCAAAAACCCATTGAGCATTGTGTTATGTGAATCTCGCATTCTCGTTACAGGATTCGAAGTTCTCGCAAAGCCGGCACCTAGCTATACTAGGGTATGAGTGAATGGCTATAGCAGTTGCTCTCTAGCTAGAGACTCCACTTCTCCAAAAAGAACGACCCCCAAACAACACAAACACTCGAAAAGGTCAAAAAAAGAATAGTTGCATCGGCCGGGAATCTAATTGAATGTTAGGCACAAGATTCGAATTCTAGGCTGAATGTGGAACTTACCGAACCCGGGGCTAGCCGAAACTGTTCTCGAGGAGAGATGGCAACGGCTAATTTTACCACTAAACCACCGATGCTGAAAGGTATTACTACCAATGTGACCTAACCAGGGGTCGAACCTGGAATCTCTTGATTTCGGATGTGAATCGTAGTCAAGCGCCTTGCCATTGGGCCATTAGGCCAAGTGATTGCTTAGTAATTTGATGGAGAGCATTGAAGTTGAAATCAATATATCCACCATGAAAATTGAAATTGAGGTGAAGAGCGGAGATATTTTTGAAATTTAACTTTGGGAAGAGGGAACCATAGTGGGGTGTCCGTTTGAAAAAATTATCATGTCCCACTGTGGCTAGGGAGGGGCCGAAACTTTCCGAAATCCGGGATTTCACAAGGCGAATGTGTAGTGGAGCATCCCTAACATTTCAATTTCTTGGTCTTTGTCCTTTCTACCAAAATCATAGTTTTTTTGCTGATTTTCTAGGAGAGTAAAATATTCCCAGGATAAGTGATGACCTTTTTCTCAAAGACGATACATGATGAATTGATACCTGCAAGTGCGTTTACCCGTAGCTAGGAGATGTGTCTCATGTCAATCATATCGAAAAAAATAATTCCAACATCGGCCACGCAGTTAGTCCGAGTAGTGATTTACGTTTTTGCAATGGATAAATGGTGCAAGACTATTGATTCCATCATTACCTAGTTGAAGCTCAAGGATCGGAGGTGAAAGCCGCGGAGACAAGAGTTGATACTTGAATAGAACTTCTCGTCATACAATACACAACTCGAGTCTACCCAAATGCAGTAACTGCAGCCGTGCCTTTGTCGGTGATATTGAATGATACGCAGATAGAGAGAGAGCTTGGTACTGGTTCAGTAGAAGAGTAATTCCCAATCATGTTCGGCCTATCGCAGATAGGGTCGGGTACGCTTGCTCGGCACTGTACGTAAGGATTAACCTTATTATCAACGGTGGTGCTGTTTCATGAATCTCTCCGACGAATTTCCTTTACCAAATGAGCAACCAAAATACTTTGGTTCAAAATACTTTGGTTCAAAATCAATTTACTGGTTTCAAGATTGCTAAGTGATAAGCGGCACTATGTACTTCCTGAACTCTCTGCCCACTATGGTACTTACTCTAAGTGATGAAGTATGTAATCGACACGAACGAGTTTATAGTTGTGATGAGATCACTGATGTAGCAAAAGGCGCTGCTTCGGCTGCCATAGTCATTCGCATCGTCTCTGGGACTCTGACACCGATCTGAATTTGCAATTATCGGCACCTGATAAAACCAAGCCTCTTGAACTTGTAGATCATACATTCGATGCCTCATCACCACCATGCTTCTTAGCCCCGATCATTACCGCGTGTTTGTCGTACGGCAGGTGCATTAGGAACAAGCCTGGTAACTCAGATGAAGATGCCTGCAGCCTTGCATTAGTAGCGCGATTTGCATGTGGAGCGACCCGTACCATTCGTCGTCGCTACCATCTTTGCATACGCGGCACTAAAATCCAAGCGACATATCTTGGCCCAGTGGTACAACGAAAGGAAGATCAGAACCCAAGAGGGATGGCCGCGAAGGGTTAGGCGTGCATGTCGCCACCACAGGGCAGCTTGGTGCAATATCAAGGATGACAGCAGCCGGCGCCATGTCTTGCGGTATGTACCCATCTTCCGGCAAGTTTAAGGTACCGCAACTGAAAAGAAAGCATGGTGCTCGCTCGAAAATACCCCGACTGACTCGACAGTTCCCGTCTTTGTGAGACATTCGAGAGCTGTTCCAGCACGCCACCCGGCTCGTGTTCTCAATACTTCAAAATTGTCCGCATGGCTTGTGTGACAATATCGTTTCTCCACAGTCCCACAAAGGTAGTCATTTCCACAGACAGCCATGTCAGCCGCTCTCTGTTACTCAAGGGGCCAAATGAAGGATCTCGTAGTCGCGGTTCTGATATCCGGCTCTACCAAGAGACATCAGCCGTGGCAGCTACGGAAATAACGTAGGGTTTCGGGATCATCGTATGCTCCCAAGTGTTTAGTCCCATAGACTACGTCGTTATTGAAGTGAGATGGCTCGAGAGCACGCGTTGTTGAGCCGACGTACGTACGTACTAGTAGCGTGCCAAGAGGAGCCTTTGAGGACTTCCCCACCGCCGTATTCTCAATCTGTCAAAGGAAAAGCGTAAGCCACGATGCCCATATATCGACTTCCCCGCGGCAGATGGCAAAACTAGTTTAGATGGATCGAGATACGTGACAGGTACAGGCAAGTGTGCACATTACTTTTTCCAGAAGCGTGTTTCATCGCAGCGCGCTATTTTGCGAGCGTCGATTCCCACCTTGTCCGACTGCCGACACATACCAGACGACAACGGCCGAACTGCAACAAACGTATCATGGGTGCTTGAAATGAACCGGGAACTTCACCCGGGTCTCTTACGTTCTGCATATCACCATAATGTTGGAAATTCGGAAGGATACCTGTTCGTTAGCCTGCCGATCGCGAGGAAAAGCAAAGCGTTGCTCGACCACCTTTCCAGGGGGGGAAATGAGCCTCCCTCCGCGTACGCTCCAGATACACAAACCTATCTGTTCTTTTTCGATTCTTCTTTTGGGCGCATCCTACAATATCTCCTGGCTCAAGCCCCCAAGCCACCATCCGTATCGGCGGAAAGGTGTGGTGTGGCAGATGCATAAGCACGCCTTTCAACGAGTTGAAAGCTTCCGCCGTGTTCAAGGCGTATGAATATGGCTATCATCCTGACCAAAATCTATGCTATCGTGAGGACGGACTTGGAGAAGTGGACCTGCAGTAGTGTCAAAAAAAAGCACATCGCCTGTCTTGGTTCGGAAAAAGCTACCTACAGGGTGCTGGGATCAATGCGAGCCCTGTAGAAAAGCACGCAACTGCTAAAAGTATGGGGAGACTCCGTGGCCAATCTCATGCCAGCATCCAGCACCACTGGTGCCATGTTGATGTGGCTCTTTGGGACGCTAACGACCCCGTAGACCAGGGACAAGTATTATACGCCCAAAGCTAGCATCCAGCTCCCCCACTCGCGTACCTTACAGGCAGACGCCGAGCACTTGTATGGCCCGCACCGTGCATATGCTGCCCCTGGTTCATTCTAGGGATGCCGATGAGGAGCTGTGAACCATGCGTAACTACGCAGTATTACTGGGGGTTTAAACGCCATGTTGTATCCGTCTTATGAGATACCCTCCTCTAGATACCCTGATCCCTCCACTCCAACTCCACATCCACACACTCCTTTCTTCTCTTCAAACATTTGTTTCGACATTCCTCCTCTTCTGCAGTCTCTTTGGTCAAGCTGCATAACCTCGAGCAAACGTCAGTACACCACTACATTCTCATCACACCATGGGTGGGGATGCAAGTGCGGTCTCTCCTTCAGTACTGCCTCATGCTTCACTCGCCCATGACCAGGGACCTATTCACCTTGCTATCGTTGTCATACTCGTCTTGATCGCGCTCGTCATCTACTCGTTAAGGGTGTTCACACGCGCAAGGCTACTTCACTCATTTGGCTTTGATGATGGACTCATGTTTCTGGCTGCGGTATGTCAAGACGAACGACACAAGCACTACACAACTGACATCTCGGCAGCTGTGCGCAGTAGGTGTTTTTGTTACATTTACTGGATTAGTGGAGCTGGGTCTAGGACGAGAAGATCGAGACACTGCGTCTCTAGTTGAAAGCGAACGGTTGGGTCCATGGATCTGGGCACTAAAATCAGTCTATATCTTCGGGCTTGGGCTAGTAAAACTATCAGCCGCCTTCACACTCTTGCCGGTATCCAACTCCAGATTCCACGCCTATGTATACATTTGCCGCGGAGTCCTAATCATTGGAATCATGTGTAAGTTTCCGCAGTAAGAAGAGAGACGGAAAGGCGTCAAGCTAACGTGAATAGTCTTGATATTTTGGCACACACTTGAATGGTTTATTTCAATTCTCATTCATTGTATGCCCCTTGTCGCAGCTTGGGATTTCTCATACGGTGGGAACGCAAAATGCATGACGCAAATTGAATCTCAGCATTGGGCTATGGCAAATTACAGTAGGGGACGCGCTCTTTATCCTAGCGAAACTGTACTGACGCTTCATATCAGTAACTAATGCAGCTTCCAGTCTCTTACTGGTTGTACTCGCGGTCCCTAACATCTTCGGCTCATCTTTCAAAATTGGTGTCAAAGTATACCTCGCACTAACAACTGTGTTGGCGCTTTTGTACGTCCAATTCCTCTCAGAGTATGTTCAGTTTGGCTAATATCTCTATAGTTCATGCGCTATTGCCATAATTCGAAGCCGAATGGTCGTTGTTTCCTGGGCTGAAGTAGGGGATCGAGGCAAATACGACTTGTCGTTCATGACCTGGGGCACTGTCGAACTTACAACAGCCATGATAGCCGTGAATCTTGGTACCTTGATACCTCTTGGTGGAGCCATCAAAACACCAACAACAGAGCCCCCAACTCGGCGCTCTCCCCCCAAAATCTCCGGCCCTGTAGCGGGAAGCGCTATCCATGTATCCCATGGCGATGTCGACTCCATCTTCAATGCCGAGCCCAGCGCCTCCTCCGAATCAAAGCAACGCAACAGCCGATACTCTGGCAAAACAATCATGTATCGCCCTAACACTGCATATTTCCCCGCAAGTTACACCCACCCCGGTCTTACGCGGTTTCACGACGACGAATCGAACCTGGATTTCGACATCGAAACTCCCTCCACCCGATCGACGCGCAAACTGAGAAAACCATTCCCGCCTTCACGCTTCTCCGGATCAACGACATATACGGTTGACACGCGCAGAGCAAGTGATTGGTCGCAACTAAGTGGATTCACATACTACTCTCATGCATCATCGCCTGAGTTCAGCAACTCGCAAGAGAGCACGAACAGGATGTCAGTTGGTCCAAAGGAGTTGGACGAATTTAATATGTGCTCTGGGAGAGATTCAGGGAGTGGGAGCAGTGCGGGCGATGAAAACCAAGAGATTCGTGTTGTTTCTGACGAAGAGAGAAGAAGCGGAGGATTCCCGACCATATTCCTGGAAGACGACGTGAGGCATGTATACAGCCCTAGGTATTAACAAGTTGAGAAAGAAGACGGGTTTGAGACATGCGTCAGTTCTTTCTAGAAGACACAGTCTGGTCCGCAAAACACTCCATGCGATTAGCGAAAGCGGACAGCGACCCAACACCCAAGCGAGGGTGACTTACGTGCGATAAATGCATTCCCTTGTTTTCCTTTGTCAACGCCAGAATCGACATCATCGGAACATTTTTCCTTACTATGTGCAGAAGCGCCAACATATTAGAGCCCTACTCATTCACGCGAATATCTCCTATTACCATTCTTATACAACCCCCCTTATTATATCATTAGCGCCCAAATATTTAGTATTAGAACGAAGAAGAATCAGAATTACATTTTCTCATTCTCTAAGAGACAGTTTCTCGCTCGTGTGCACCCGTGACCGAAAACTCAGTGAAGAAGTTGAAGCAATCAGGTCCAGCGTTTCTTGATGTACTGCGCCTGGTAGCCACCGGGTAGCTCGGTAACCCAACCATCAATATCTTCGTTGACTACGCGCGGTACGGTGCATTTGTTCATGGCAGCTGCATCTTGTGTCTTGAGCGTGGGACAATTGACATAGCAGGGCGAGTCGAGAGCTCGCTGTAGCGCGTCGCCTTTCCAGCCGAAGACATAGTCGCCGTGGTTCGCAAAGCCAGTTCTATTTCGCCACGTATATGATCAGAAATGTACGCTAGAGAGTATTTTGGGTCGCGAGTTGAAGAAAAGAAACAGCTTACCTATCGCCAAAGCTCCAGACAAATGGTTGACTACCGTCCTCGGGCCATTCAGCCAAGTCGTTGAACGCACTGGTATCCCAGACCACTTCGTAGAAGAGCTGGCTCATTCGGACGGGATGGCTGGCTGGACAAGGTCCGCCGGACTCAAAGGTCCCGTGTTCGGGATACGCCATGTGCGCCATGTGGTCTGGGGAATCGAGGTTTTTGCCATCCCAGCAGCTAACATCGTCATTAGTAAAGAATGCGGGTTGAGGAACATATCAGGGGTGCAAGGGTCTCCTTACGTAGGGAAGCGAACAGCTGTCATGATACCAGTCTTACACGGTTTATCTGGGAAATCTAGGGTTTGTGGATCGCGGGTGTCGATATGGTCGAGACAGGTAAATGTTAGCTGTCTGAAACGTTCAGCTTCTTGCTTGGAGCGCGCGTTGACGTCCCCGATGAACATACGGAAGCCCTGGTCTTGTCAGTCGATGAAGATGCGCCTAACAAAGACGCGACACCTGAGACCTTGACATACCGGCTGGAAAGCCTGAACCTTTGATGTTTGCTGGAAGTTATAGAGACCGTCTTGCATGTAGTATACTGTCATTCCTCCGTTGACGCCGTTGAAGCCCGAGTTCGGAATTTGGGGCACCCGCTTGTATGTCCCGTTTCTGGCTTTGAAGTATCTATGGTATTTCGTGTTAGGGGCTTGCTAGAAGTTTGATTGTAGTTCTTACAGAACAGCTGTCCAGTAGTTCTGCATAGAGTTTAGTGGGAGATTTTGGAAGAGCATTTTGCAAGTTTACTCACTGAGAAGTCCTCGCTGAATTGGCAAGATGTGCAAGTTGACTCGCCTGGCATGTCTTTCTCCGGATCCATGGTTATGTTGAAGGAATCCTATGCACGCTTAGTCTTGTTCAGTCACAAATGACGATGAGTTTTGTACTCCTCCGAGAATTTGGTGAAGATGCGGAGAGGGAGCTTGACCGGGCGTGACCAGCGGGTCTAGTCTATCGATGACTAGTTGGGCACAGGGAAAACGTAGCAGCGCTGTTACAGGAGCAGCAAGTGCAAGAGTTGTAGCGCCATACAACCTCATATTGGCCGGAAATGAGACGGTTTCGACCTGAATATCAGAAATGTACGAAGAGCAGCTCTTTGTCGCCGAAAGAAACCTTGCAAAGTCCAATTGAGTTATGGAAGGCTACAAAGTCCCAATACGGCAATTTCAATTATGTAGGTTGTGTTTTAACGATTCTCTCTGGAACTAATGTGGCAGTACTGCACAGTATTTAATTGCAAGATGAAAATAGCCCTCGACTTCCCACGTGGAGAAGGCAGTCATCATTGTATAATGCATTCTCCGATGGCCCCGGCTACCCGTGTTACATTTTGCCATCTTTTCAAGCCAAGTGCAGTTTATTTGGCATGCCAATCTACCGTGCTGGGCGTTTAGGTCTCCTGATCAGCCTCGGATAGGTAACCAGGTCTTGAACTTCCAACACTCCTGTTTGGTACAATGTACTCGCGGCTGTCAATCAGAAACCAGCTTTGATCCATGCTGACAATTTCCACTTTTATTGAGTATTTCATCATATTTAGCCATTCTTGACGATCAGCATTCATCTAGTGGTACATGTATTGACTTTGCTTCGGCAGTTGTACTGAACACTGGAAGGGCGGAGGACGCCCCACCTATATGGTATTCAATCAAAGGAGGAGAAAGCCATCACTGGCCATGCCTATACCGCATCGTATTAATCTTGGTGGATGTTCAGACAAGGTTGCACAAGCCTTAATCTATTCTATTTTACCGACGCGCTAAGTTGTGGGGTCTTCTCTTGGGTGCTGTCTATCACCATCTTTTGGTAATTGCACATAGTTATCGTCGAATCCTAATAAAATCAGGATAGCAAACAGATTTCGTGATTGGAGGGATTCATCGTTCCAAGTCGGGTCTTTCGGAAGTCCCAAGGTCTTGTAGACGCACACTGATGATACTGCCGTGGGGCTATGGCCGGTTTAATATCGAAATGTTGAATAGAGATACGAGAGGCCATGAGTAAAATAATCAGATACAGTATCACGCCATCTGATGGTTGTGTAATCCGTGTTTGTAGAGTGTGATTACCGGAATTCCTGATATCCTTCTAGAAAGACAAAGTTTCGCGGTACCCACGGCTTCCATAACCTATTTGATTGTCATATCATTGAAAGTACTTTGTCACAAACTTGCCCCTTTACAACCGCCATGAAAATCACCACCCTTCTCAGCGCTACATGCTGGTTATCATTCGTATCCGCCGCCTTTGATTACAATAGAGGAGGGGCGGTACTCAAGGCTCCTGACGGTGATTCGTTTCAAACGGTTACTGGTACCTTCGCCGTCCCAAACTTGTCCGGCTCGAACCGATTATCGATATGGGTTGGCATTGGTGATGGGTTGGAGCAGAACACCATTCTCAGTGGTGGCATCGTCTACAACAACACTTTGGAGAGTTTTGCTTCGTACTTTCCAGACCCAGCAACAGATACGACTTCAGCTGTTCCAATTGCGAAAGGCGATTCGATCACTATCACGGTCAATGTTACACTGACAGGTGGTACAGTGACAATTGGGAACAATGCGCAAAACAAGAGGACAACACAAACGGTCGCAGCACCAGCAGGCGTTGATCCAACTTCATTGACTGCCCTAGCAGCTAATTGGTTTGTTCAAGCTTACCAAGTTATTCCTGGTGAACTTGTAGCAACGCCAAACTTCGGCACAGTGTCTTTCACAGCCGTGAAGGCGACAACTAAGGGTGGAGTAGATGTACCAGTCTCAGGAGCTGGCCGATATGAGATCCAGGGAACTAGTGGACAGGTGAGCATCTATGTGAAGTCTTCTACCCTAGCTAATCATTGACTAGATGTATTCTCGAACGACAATCTCTGACGCAGGTATTTCGGTACAGAGACAAACCGTGGGGAAGTAGACGAGTGTAGGAATTAGCTATCAATCACTGTGGAGTGACTATTTGGATCATGTCATCCATGGTTTCCACCAGCCAATGTATATGTGGAAGTAAAAGCCCCAGGGTCATGTCTGATCCTGGAGACATGTCTGAATCTATGCTGAATTATAGCATCATTATGAACAGTTATCCTTTGTAGCGCATTCTTTAACATGATCAGAGGCGGTCTGGAAAATCGAGAGTTGTTGTTAGTACTAATGTAAGAGTTGTGGCGAGTAGAGAAGACGTAGTCTAAAGCTGCTGCGGGATATCGATGACGTGCCCCTCCCACTCCACACTTCCTGACGCGTCGCGACACCTTGCCCATAGCGCGTGCGACAGGCGGACAGGATGCGCTTCAAGGCATCAATACAGAACATAACAACCTTTACAAGTAGATTTTTACAATCTCCAAGGACAACACGATCGCTGACAATTAAACAGAGCTCACAGCATCGCTCAATTCGCTCGGTCCGCTTGCATGGGTCAAACTGAGCGAGGAGCAGGTATGCTTCACGATTATACCAGAACAGGGCACCCAAGTATGGGCGTAAGTCTACTATCTTGCTGCAATTTTGTCTCTCATTCTAACCAAACATAGTGTCCTTTCTATTGTAAGCGTGGAGAAGACTAGCCGACAGAAGCAGAGCCTTAACATGTGGCGCAGGACTCTATCTTTGAAACCATCAGCGTGCAATCAGCAGCGAACAATGTCATCAACCTTGAAGTACCGCTGGCATCGCTTAATCGCGCTCTGAAATCAGCAGTGAATGCAACATCAGCTCAAATACGCCTCACAAAGAAGGATAATCTGCCCATGCTAGCTCTCACTATTGTCACCACCACCTCGTCCAACACATACAGCGCCTTCCCTACAGGCAACAATGACGGCTTCGATACTGCCTTTGACAGTAACTTTAGTGGTGGAAATCGTGAGACAATCGTGACCCAGGAGATACCCGTGAGAGTCCTCGCGCCAGATACGGTCGCTCATTTGCACGAGCCAGCTTGCCGGGAGCCAGACGTACACATTATACTGCCGCCTCTAATGCAGCTCAAGAGTATCAGCGACAGATTTACCAAGCTAGCGCTGGCAGACACAAAGACAGGTAGCACCACTACTTCGGCTAGAACGCGCTTGGAAATCGCAGCAAACATGCATGGCTGTCTGAAGATGAGCATCAGATCCGACGCCATGAACATCTCATCCATTTGGACCGATCTCAACAACCCGGAACTGGACCCAGGCCACGTGGCAGGGGGCGAGAATGGCATTGCGGAGCACCCTAGTACGCGCATGAAGCAGCTCGGGAGCGCCGATGGGCGAAGCGATGAAGGCTGGGCTGTGGTGCGTATTGATGGACGTGACTGGGGCAAAGTTATGAGCGTCGGTAGGCTGGGTGGGCGGGTCATTGCATGTAGGTGGCCCCCATACACGGCACTTGTTACCCGTTGTCATGCTGACTTTGCGCAGGCTTCTGCCATGAGCACGCTTTGATCTTGTATGTTTACTTGCCTAACGACAATGGTGAGGACGAGTCGGTCTTGACGGTACGTAACGTTGGTCTTCACTGGTTTGCTGAACAGGTTACTTATTCGAATGTAGTACTTTATTAGTTCCTACAGCGCATAGTGATGACTCAGGAGTATCTTTCCAGTCACCACCGAGTACTACCATCCCTAGGAGAAAAGAGACCCTGTAATCCGCGTACTATTACGCAAATCCAAGCCACGTTGTTGAAACTGCATCATGCAACCTCGCATCTACCCATTGTCCACTCAGCCCTACCCGCCCGCGGGACCCAACTACGCAGATCAGCTATGCAAGGCGACTCAGACCCCATCAACTAGAGAGAATACCAACAAAGTCAAGAGTCGAACCGCGAGTCCCACGGCTATCTACATGCATTTCTTTGTCTATGCACTTCATGCTAGTCGCATTAACCGTACTTCAAGCCCAAAGTGACCCGTATATCGCTCCCTTGCGTTACACCAAAGTCCCAAATAAAACCCCATCCTTCGCCTACCCTCGTACACGCCCCCNCCATCCCCAATTACCTTTCGCCTTGTGGCGCAAGCACCAAGCGGAGCGCCCCATCCCATCGCGCCGGGAGCCCGGGAGGCGGAATCGCGGAAATGCGGAATGCGGTGTCTCGGTTCCGATACGAACATGTGTTTGGCCAGGGACGCTACTATCAAGCTATGTAACCATGTAACACTTGGTGAGGCTATGAATGGTTTCTATGAACGTCGATAGATCACCTACCTTTTTCCCGCAGTTAGCAAAAAATGTAGTGCGAATGAGTCGAAATGCATTACTGCAAAGTTCGAACGGTGATACTCCAGCCACCTTCCATCCTAGCATCGTTCGATTTCTCGGGTATCGGGACATGATCCAAGCAAGAAAACCTCTGGGCATCTCTACTACTACGTACCTACAAATCCGCCTAACCGCACTCCTCCCACGTGCCCATCCCCACTCGCATCCTTCCCACCCTCCAAGAGAGAAGACCCCCCCAAAAAAGCACCCAAAATAACCTCCTCGCATCAAACAAAAATGACCCCAAATACCCCTTCTTTAGGCTAAGCGCAAGGCCCCAGTCTGACAAGCACGTTCGGAGGATCCGAAAATAAACCACCACATGCTCCCCTCGCTCTGGGCTGACCAAACCGGCCAATGAGAAAGAGGGAAAAGAGAGGGGGGTGGTTTGCCATGTCGTTCAAGGAAAAGCAAGAGTTGCCGGTTTGGGCGGATGCAGCGTCATGTCAGCATGAGGGAGTCATAATAGGAATTAGTCAATCATGTCAAAGGTGATCAGTCAGCCCTACAAGCGCTTGTCGCGCTTGTTTTGATTTTTTTGCGTGTCTGGACAAGGTTATGTGCGTGTGTGTGTGTGTGGATGTAGAAGGATGATGATGTGGGGGTTGTGAGAGTAAAAAGAACCTATTTTTGGGGGGGTTTGGGCCTCGGTTAGGTGGGCAGGTGGAATACAGAGGGAGGGCGTGCGTGCGCTGCGGGACCTGCAGAGGAGCAGTTGGAGGTGTGGCCTTGGGGCTTGTAGGCATGTTGCGAGATGGGCGCGTATGAAGGGGGGGGATGATGGTTGAGGTGGGAAGGGGAAGAGGGAGAGATGGGTGCTGGGAAGGTATGATGGGAGAAGGCTGGTTGCGGGTGCAACGATACAAAGGTATTGATTGCTGTCCAAGTGTCCCGAATGTTCTGCTACAAAGGGTATGCAAGTATTCCTCGTTCCGTCAATCGATAGTGATGGCAGCGATATTGTGCCTTGCTGCCTGGTTCTGCACCTCGTTGTGTTCCCTGCATATGCACATTCCGACTCGCACACCCATGACTGATTCCCAAGGCGTTGGATACCGATGGGAATCGAGGTCCAGCCATACCCTCAGGGGTTCTCGGTGCCATGTGCTTGCTGCTGGTCAGATATTCCCGGCCTCCTGGGCTGCCGTAATGCCTGCTCGCTCGTGGCTGTCCTTGGGGTCATCCGAACATGGCGCATTTCCCAATGCCGAGTGACCGGGAAGCCGAAGGAACGTGTGAGAGCATGCAAGATTTATTGGATAAGGATCGGGAGTCAAGCTTCGAGGCGTGCATTATCTGTTGTGTGGGTGAATAAGGTCCGCGAGCGTTTTCCCCCTCAGGAAATTACTGCCAGCTTTTGGTTCGGGGAGTAAATCCTTCACAGCCCTCGTGGGTGTACAGCCCGCATTGTTTTCGCATGGGTACCTTAGCATACCAGACGAACGTTGGTTCCTGCATCCTAAAATACTATTGTGGAGACAAGGCCGATTCAGCTGAGAGCTGGCAGCGGTAGCTATACCCAATAGAGGCATGTAGTCGCCCACTATGATGATAGGATGATAGAGCGGGTGCTAGGTAGAGGGCAGTACAGCTGGACATTGTGCGCTGAACGTACCAGGATGCACCAGACGCCGTCCCCGAAGGGCTGCACACATCGCCGACGGGCTGCATGACGAATGCTACCGTTCCCATCGCCCCAGGCACAATTTGGCATAGACAGGCATATGGGTATGCGGGTAGGGCTAAAGCACAAGCGCTCTGACATGCACCTGCGAGTACGTATGCTCGCGATAGTGTCGAAGCAGCATCCAGGCCGGCTCTGCAGCTTGATTCGCTTGCTTCAGGCTTCTTCCAGGCCCCCCCCCCCCCCTCATCTGGGCGGCCCCGAATCCAAAGCAACGTGATGCAACGTTGCGCAGGTGTGGTTTGCACTTGGACACGGCACGCACGACGAACTCTGGCTACGTACGCGTGGCTTGCTCAGAAGCGGCATCTTGCAAAAAAGAACATGGGCTGCTCCGATAGGATTCCTGCCATGGAGTAGTAAGAGATGCGCAGTGCAGATGGTTGACCCAAAGGGGAAGTGAAAACGACCGGCCACGAAGCTGCATGACTGTATCGAGCCGTCCAATGACATGGAAAAGTGCGCTTATGGATGGACAAAGCCGTTCGGGGAGGGAGCTCGCATGGGCTGCCCAGGGCCATGGCGTGGGGGAGGCTGCAAGAGGGATATGGTTGCTGTGAAGCCAGTCGTGCACCGTCATATCCTAGCACTGTCGTCATGGTAGGCAGCAATTAGGAGCAGCATCAAGACGTTTGGAGCAAACGCTCGCATCTTCTACCCTACACATGACGAAGCACGTGTAGAATGACTCTTCATTCCTTGTGCTTTGCAATCCACACGGAAAAGTCTCCAATAAGCAGCGCTGTCCCACGCTTTTCTGCACGCTTCTGTGTAAGTAGTCAGCAAGCCAAGTTAAGCTGCGCACACTTACGTACGTACATACACACCACACCCATCCATCCATCCATCCACATTCGCTACCCATGTCGCTCTCCACCCCTGCTCGTCCGTACATTTTGCATCACATTGCGGCTCTCTCACCCGGCCGGTCCCTTTATTTCACACTGCCACGCCGCCCTAGGACTTATTCCTGTCTTCCCAAGCGGAATCCCCATGGCGCGTTGCTGCGCACCCCCGCTCGCCGGCGACTAACGGCTACGGATGACTAGATCGTGGCTTGAACCAGGCCCGCGCGTCCGCCACCGTTCCACCGCTGTGGTTGGGCAGGCCTCGCAGGCATGTATGGTCGCGGGATAAAAAATATGGCCTGTGCGTATAAAGACGGTTTGGATGCCTGGCTGAAATAGAAGGCGGAGAGAAAGTTGGAACGGGTACGCAAGCTCACAAGCATCCGAGCGCCCTTTTTTTAATCTTCCTTCCTTTGCCCGTCCGGTTCCCGAGTGGTACCATTCCTATTTCCAATCCTCCGTCGTCGTTTCTAGTCGGCCTCTTTGTTTCATATAAGTCGAGTCCACATCTCTCTTTTTGTGTCTTGGTTTCAGTCAGACATCCATTCAATCCATCCTCCTCTTTCACGCCTTTCTTCAGTCATCACCAAGTGTTTCTTGTTTCAGCACCAACACCATCCACTCGGATACTACTCAGCATACTTGTCGTCTTGGCCAACACTGTTTCACTCTCAAGACTGCAGTGCAAGACATTCTCATCTGCGCCATCTTCCACACCAAACAAGACCTCAAATAGACTCCAAACAAAGCACGTTGTCGGAATCCATCAAAGTCCCCGCAATGTCGCCATCAAACACCCAGGAGGACGCCGCCCAAGGCCGTGGCGGATACAACTAAGACCCTAGCGGGCCGTGCCGTCAAACTATACTGGGACTCACCTTGAAACGCATCGTCATCACTGGTGGCCTGTTCCCTCCTTCATACCGGGCCTCAAATCGTCTACTCGGTACCATGACGATACCATGATGAACATGATACTCTCCATTTTGGCCCTTCAACTCAACCACTTATCAACCTCCTCATGTTGATATTCTCTTTTCCTCTTTCAACACTTTAGACACGTTCACCACACTCCATCTCCTGTACTTTTAGTTTCTCTACCTTTTTTCCTTGGATTCAGGCATAGCGAGCGACGGCGTTGAGGGAAGCAAACCTTAGACAGGGCAGGGATACCACGGATCAAAGGCATTGCTGGGCGTTTATATGGGATACCCCCTTTCTTGTTGTATTAATCATCATGTTATGCTCGGGTAAACAAAAAGAGCAGACGGGTTTTACGGGATATGGTATATACAGTGTAGGAGTTTTTTTTGGAGTTTGTTGCATCTTACATTGACCGTTTATCTTTTGTTTGAATTCATGCTATTAACTGATTTTCCTTGTCTTCCTGAGCTTTGATGGGTTTTCACTTTACTACTCCCAGTTAGAGTGACACGGTTACGCTAGTGGCTTCATGTAGCCACCCTGCTGACTTTGCTGCTACTTGATCGTACATCTTAGGCTAGCCCCTCTACTTTTGATATCGCCGTTTGGGTTTTTTGCAAACGCGACAAAGTTGTATGAGGACGTTATCACTTTCCAACGCAGAACCTAACAGAATAGCAATGTTAGCGAAATATCCGTCACAAGCCTCCACCAACGACAGCCACACATGGACTAACGGCCACCATTTTGAGGCACCGATGATCCGCAGGTACTGTGCCACAATCGATACAGCACAGACAACGTGATGCTACAAGCGTCGTAGCTTATCCCCAGAGCACATCCGCTTAGCCCCCCTTCGGAGCCTTGCGCCTGACTCTCGGGGGGCCAAAACCAAGGAACGCCTTGATGGTTCTTCCAGAACGTTGCACAACACAATCAGGCAAGGAGAAAGGGGCCAGGGCGACTTACTTTTCAAAAACAACCCCCAAAACTTCTTCAACATCCCCGCTCTCGCCTCGGCCCGTGATACGAGCCAGGGCGTCAGCAGCGGACCGTAGACATTCGGCAGCGACTACTATGTCTACTTCATCTGCCTCGCTGATCGGACATGCAACCGAAGACGAACTGTTGACGGTCGTGAGAAAGGCAGATAGATGACTGAGACACTCGGACAGAAGAAGACGCTGACGCTCGGTTGTGCCCAAGGATTCTTGCCATATGCTTGGATCTGGATCCGAGTCAGAATCGGGTACAAGCGCCGTAGTCATAGATTTGAAAATGTCTTGCAGAGTGGTGAGGAATGCCAGTATATTACCAGCCGTGGCCTCTTTGCAAGAAATGAAACTTATTCGGTCTTCGGGCAGCCCGAGCGCAGAATGAACTTTCTCCTTCCATTCTCGTTGAGCGGTGTCAAGAGCAGAGATCTGGTCGCTTTTGTTGATAGCGAATATGACGTTGATGCCAATGTCAACACACTGCTTCGCCGTCTCCATGACCTCAACATCCATATCGACTGTGGCATCCTGGACGACAATCAAGACATCCGACTCGAGGGCCCTTTGCTTAGCGCGCCTGATGCCTTCTTGTTCTACCGCTCCAACCACATCACCACCCACTAGGCCAGCCCTGCGTAAACCAGCCATGTCACCAATCTTCACGAGCCATCCACCCATATCCAGTCCTACCTCGACCACATCTCGTGTTGTGCCAGCTTCCTGAGATACAATGGCAGCATCTCGCCCAACAATACGATTCAGCAAGCTGCTCTTGCCTGCGTTGGGTGCTCCGAGAAGCGCAACACTGATTCCATTGCGCAGCAATTCTCCGCGTACAGCGTTGGAAATGTGCGCTTCCATCTGTGTGCTCAAGACCTGGACTTGGGATGCAACAGAGGCGCATAATGCTGCCGGGGATTCATCAAAGTGTTGGTCTTCGGAAAAGTCGATCAAGGCTTCAAGCTCACCCCGCGCCTCCAGTAGGAGTTTGCGCCACTTCTCATAACGCTTAGCCAGTGAAGAAGTTGTGCCTCTCACAGATAGCTTGCGTTGCTGCTCAGTAGAAGCTGACAAAGTCTCGCCTAGCGACTCGATCTGCGGTAGGTTCATGCGATTGTTGGCGAAAGCGCGTCGGGTGAATTCTCCAGGTTCCGCATATCGGATTTGTGAGCGCATGAATGCTGGAGTTTCTGATACTGCGCCGCATTCAGGTATAGCTGCCAGCACTGCACGCACAACTGCTGGGCCGCCATGTACATGCAGTTCCAAAACATCTTCGCCAGTCACAGTTCTGGGCGCTGGGAAGTACAGAACAAGGGCACCAGAGTCAAGTATCGTCGCAGGTGAAGGCGGCGAATGTGGGGCATATAATTTCCGGAGAGTCGCATGCCTGGGCTTAGGGAGTTCAGTGGAAGGACAAAGGCCTTGATATACCTGATAGGCGTTCAGCATTTTGCTCTGCGACATGACATGGTGGGCCGAGGGTCACCAACCTGGTTGCATGCTGGACCAGAAATGCGAATTACGGCTATTGCAGCCTTTCCGGGAGCCGTAGAGAGCGCATAAATGGTAGAGTCTTCGTGATTTGCATGGTAAACGCGACGCTGCGATTCTTTCAAGGTGAGTTGGACATGGTGGTGGGGTTTATGGTGCAATGCTCTGATCCGTGAGCAATTGAGAGAATTGAAGACGTAGTGAGATGGAACAGTATGATCCCGCAGTCTCAGATGGCATATGCGACTGAGAGCAGCGAATTTGGCTCTCATTCCGAGCTGATTCATCACATGCTCGCCATTTTTGTCAATGTTTTCAAGACGGGAACATGAACAAAGATGGGATGGTTCCACACCTCCGCAGTGGTCCGTGCACACGCTAAAATAATTTCTTGAGATCGTCGCTGGCTTGCGCCTGCACTCCAACCTGCTCATCCTGCTCGCCCTGTACCAGAGCGACAGAGCTTCTTTTCTCTGAATATACACATTTTGTATTACACTACAAGCCACTACAGGCTTCTGCGATACATATAACAGGACGACAACCGCCTGTCGATAACGCGCCACCAGCAACACCATGGCTTCAGACGACCTAGTATGGTCCATTATCGGCACCGACTTTTGCAGTTACAGTAGGCAATGCATACAGCTCCGCATCGGAATCGAAACTGACTTTTGCTAGAGCTTAAGACAACAAAAGACCAGACTTTTTGCAGAAACGAGCACAACGTATCAGGTTACTGCTCAAAGCAGTCCTGTCCTCTTGCAAATTCTCGATACGCCACGATCCGCTCCGACCCCGCGACCGGAAATTTGTACCTTTACATCAAAGCCATTGAACGCGCTCATCTTCCCTCGCAATGGTGGGAGAAGATAAAACTTCCCAAGAACTATGCTCAAGCGCTCGAGCTTGTAGATCAACACCTTGCCTACTTTCCCAAGTTCCTGGTTCACAAGAACAAGCAGCGCCTCACTCGCTTGACTCAAGTGAACCTGCGAATAAGGCGGTTAGCCAAGGAAGAGGAGCGCCTCGGAGAAAGACTTGTGCCTAGGCTCGCACCCAAGGTTCGCCGACGAGAGGAGGGCCGAGAGCGCAAGGCACTTGCTGCCGCAAAGGTCGAGCGCGCGATTGAGCGAGTACTGATTGAACGTCTGCGCAGCGGTGCGTATGGTGACCGACCGTAAGTGCATCCCTTCATTTCTGCCTGCATGCCCTGCTATGATTATCACTTTTTAACCCTGAGATCCACGATGAGGATCAAAAAACGCAACACTCTAATTTTTTAATGAGCATCAACACATATTGCTCTTGTATTTGTTACTGTGTTTTTTTTTCAGAGACTGACTTAAATACAGCATCAATGTTGAGCCCAACGTGTGGAAACGAGTTATGCGTGGCCTGGAGAAAGAAGGCCAACTTAAGGGAGACCAAGACCTCGACGACGGTATTGAGGATGAGGATGAGGATAATGAGTACGAGCAGGAGATGGAGAACGGTGTTGGAGAGGTTGAGTATGTCAGTGACATTGAAGGCGAATCAGACGACGAGATGGAAGACTTTGAGGATTGGATAGGAGGCCAGAGTCCAGACGACGGCACGAGCGGTGAGGATGAGGAGAGCGGTGGCGATGAAGAGGAAGAAGACGGGTCTGAAGACGAAGACACGGCGGCGCTTAAGAAAACTCTGGCCAATCTCAAACGCAAGCGTCCCGCCGGCCCACCATCAAAACCCAAGAAGAAGCCTTCAAAGGACTCAAAGGGCCCCAAACGGAAGATCGAATACGAAATGGAGGGTGCGCCGGCAAGAGAGGCTGTGCAGATTTGATACCCATATGGTTATCCTGTTGGCGTTTGAGTTTGCCATTGTGAGAACAAGGGCACAATGGATTGGTGCAACATGTCTCACAATGGCTAACAGAGCAAATTATATAACAAAAGATTTCAGTTCCAGACTTAGCTCTTGCTTTGAAGTACACCATGGCTCAGCTATATGCAATTTCTGGCAGTCTAATTCCTGCGTCACCCACCAAGTCGGATAAAGAAGGATTTGAAGATTTGGCAAGGGCGTTGCTGAATGCAGCAAAGCCACCCATTTACAACGCAACAGAAGACATGGATGGGACGCTAGAGTTGCTAGATGCGCATTCTGCTCCTGAGTGGCAGACGGGTCTCTTTGTCGGCATGGGTCTCGTCTCGCCCATATGCGCTACGCTTGATATATCAACGCGCAAGTTACGCCGCGCTGGCAAGCTCATGCCCCGGAAAATCGACTTTGAGAAGGAAATATGGGTGCTAGACACAGGCGCTAGACGCGCCAATCCTGGTTCAGACCAACGGGGGTTATATGACGTATCTGCGCACAATGAAGTTTTTGCGCATCTTGATATCGGCAAGAGTAACGAGTCGGCGGCCACGGCTGAAATTCCCGACGAGCTGTTAGACCGAGTCATGCGCCCGGTTTCTTTTTCGCGAAATGAGTCGAAAAAGACGCAACATGGATGAGATGATTGACTGGGAACGCAGGGCATGCGGAGAGTAGTGATGGTAGTGGCGATGATGGATATGTCAAGCTCATGTATTCTTCTTCGCAATTGCACCAGTGTAACCGTGTCCACAAACTAGAGACGTAGGAATTTATCGGCAAAAAATACCGGCATGGACCAAGTCCACTGGCTATACGGGAAGTCTCGTCTCGGGGCGCGTGATGTGTATGTTTTCTCTTTGCAACGGACGGACAGGGCATAGGAACAGGGGGAGGGATGCATTGCATGTGGTCACAGCGGTTAAGATGGAGTGTGACAAGCAAGACAGATGGAAGAGAGTCTAGTCGGATGAAGCATTCCCCACCGACCTCAAAGATTTCCGCCCCACACTTCTCAATGCTAGCCGTCGTCACACCACACTCCACGTTTCCCATGGCGATGGGGATCTGCCCTCCAGGCGTTGCGGAACCGCCTCCAAGTGCTTGGTTCCGATAGCTCTCGAAACTATGGAAGCTTCTTCGCGTGCCCTGCAGCGGTAGCCGTGGGAGGATAGACAGGGCGGCCTACGCCTTCTGGCAAGCCGTCAAGCAAATGTCTTGTGCATGCCGAAGCTTCGGTCTCTTTCTCGGCATCACAGGGTCCGGGGCAGCGAGTTGCCTTGGTAGCCTCACGAGCATCAGCCATGTCCGACATCATCATTGCCCCGGAACTTCCCAAGCCGGCAAGCCGGCCAGCTACTGCAGACGTACTTGGGGTAGCTTGAGCGAACACGCGACAAATCAACCAGTTGGAGAGCCCTGGCCCACCCCAGATGGCCGGGTAGCATCTCTTACTCCGCACGCCAACCTCCACGGGGTCTGGGACCCATCCATGCTCATCGATCCAACGTCATCCGTTCAAGCAACTGTGGGGATCCCGCCGCTCAACATGGCTTGTTTGCCGCCAATCCTGAGGACATGGCGGGCAGACGCGACAGCATGCTACAAGGCCTCGTGTTGGAGACTCGCCTTTATTAAGAAGGAAGCTGTCGCCATGCCTCGCTACCCACCCACTCTCATCCACTCTGGCCTCTCACGATGAAGAAGTTCTACGGCCTCAGGGGCACGCAGCTCAACGTTGCCATTGCTGTCATAGCAGGCACTGACTTTGCTCTTTTCGGTTATGGTAAGAGGTTTTGCATAGTTTCACGTTGCTGGCTCGATTGCAGACTGACAATGCTTCAGACCAAGGTGTTATGGGCGGTCTGCTCACACTCAAGTCTTTCGTCAAGTACTTTCCCGAAATCGACAGCGTCAACCCGCCCCCAGGAAGCTCCAAGAGCCATGCTGCAACCATTCAGGCCATCACCGGTGAGTGTTCCATACACCGAATGTAAACATATAGTCCTAACATTGTCCAGTCGGTGCATACACCCTTGGTTGCTTTTTCGGCGCAGTCGCCACCATCTGGCTCGGAAACATGCTTGGACGCAAAAAGACAATCTTCATCGGCTCTGCTATCATGGTTATCGGCGCTATCCTCCAAACCTCATCTTTTGGACTTGCTCAACTTATCGTCGGACGATGGATTACTGGCTTTGGCAACGGCATGAATACGAGTACGGTCCCAACGTGGCAATCAGAAACATCCAAGCCCCACCGTAGAGGCCAAATGGTCATGATTGAAGGCTCTCTCATTGTCTTTGGTGTCATGTTGAGTTACTGGCTTGATCTTGGCTTCTCGTTCCTCGAGCCTAGCAGTATCGCCTGGCGCTTCCCTATTGCCTTCCAGATCATCTTGGCTCTATTCATCATCGCCTTGATCCCGGGTCTCCCTGAAAGTCCGCGTTGGCTGGTGCTCAAGGGCCGAGAGGATGAGGCTCTAGAGGTACTGGCTGCCCTGAGTGACCTTCCTCCAACCGACAAGAAAATCGAGGCAGAGTTCCAGGCTGTCAAGGATGTCATTGCAGAAATGTCACAAGGAGGTTTCCGCGACTGCTTCAAGTTCAACAGGAACCGCAATTTCCACCGTACTGCCCTGGCGTATGTCAACCAAATGTTCCAGCAGGTAAGTTGTATTGTCAAAAGCAGGCATGATACATTCTAACGAGATATTCTAGATTTCTGGTATCAATCTCGTCACATACTACGCTGCTACCATTTTCGAAAACTCGATTGGCCTTTCGCCTTTCTTGAGTCGTCTCTTGTCTGCCTGCAACGGTACTGAGTACTGGATCGCAAGTTGGATTGCCATCTTCACAATCGAGAAGTTTGGTCGCCGTTCTTTGATGATTTTTGGTGCGACAGGCATGTCAATTTCCATGGCAATTCTGGCTGGTGCTACTAGCAACATTGGCAACAAGAGCTTGGGATTGCTCGCGGTATGTTGCATTACCCGTTGATGTACTTGGCATGGAACTAACGTATACAGACTGTCATGCTTTTTGTCTTCAACTCATTCTTCGCCGTTGGATGGCTAGGCATGACATGGTTGTATCCTGCTGAGATTACCCCACTGTCCATTCGTGCCCCGGCCAACGCCATTTCCACCACAGCCAGTAAGTTTTCTGCAAGAACTGATTCCCAGATCTCCCTACTAACCCGCTCTAGACTGGATCTTCAACTTCCTAGTCGTCATGATCACACCCCCCGCTTTTGCAAACATTGGCTACCGAACCTACATCATCTTCGCTGTCATCAACGCCGCCATTGTACCCTCCGTCTACTTCTTCTTCCCAGAAACCGCATACCGTTCTCTTGAGGAAATGGATGAGATTTTCCACAACACCACAAACGCCTTCAACGTCATCAAGATTGCAAACGAGCTGCCGCACCGCTACGACAAGCGCGGTGAGCTTCTCATCAATTACGCGGACACGGAACAAGCGCACGAAGCAGAGCGTAGGCGCAGCTCAATCATTGGTGCGCAGACGAGCGGGAGATCTATGGAGAAGGATATGGAGACTAAGGAGCATGTGGAGAATGGAGGTGTGCTGCATGGCTCGAAATAGGTAATGCGTTAATAGCTTATAACGTGACGGAATACCATTTTGATCCTGATTCCCCTGACTATGAGACTCTTTGGGTTCAATTAACTTCAACTAATGGAATGCTAACCCCTGGATCTAATGTTGCTATGTCCCGTCCCTCGTATGTAGTTGTCTTAGCGCCAATTAAGGAAGTGACAGCCGATGCCTTCCGCATACTCCGCATTCTCCGCACCCGACCACACTTCCCCTTTTCTCTTGCACTCTACTCACAAGAAGCAAAGAAAGAGAAAGAGCACAATCAATTCTCCATTTTGGCTCTTATCTCATAGTTTGACTAAGCCACTACTATCCAACTCTTCCAACAAGACCAATCAAATGTTCTTCATCGTCTTCGTCCTCTTCCTCGCAGTAGCCTGGGGCATCCTCGGCATATTCCTCGCAAAATGGCTCAAGCAAGCAGGCTACGCGCGCCCATTCCGAGGCCGAGAATTTACAGATACCGAGTTATACGGGTCCGGGGTAGGAGTAGGTAGTCAAAAAGGGATACCAAACTTCGGTCAAGGTCGCGTAAAAGGTGTTTAGAAAAGAAATCCCCCCCATCTCGTTTTACAGGAGAAGGAGGAGGAAAAAAGTGATTTATTTTAACTATTGTATATACATCCGGTACTATTTAGATTTATGATAATCTACGCAGTCGCCAAAGGAGTGCCATACGGCGCAGCCTTGACACTCTTGACATCCATATGGCCATACGTCTTCGGATCCTTCTTGGCCTCGGCCCACGCGCCGAGATCCTTCAAAAACGCCGCGAAGTTAGCCTCATCGCTCAGATCAATCGGCTGCTCACCTTTGCCCAGCTGCTTAATCTGGGCACCCGCAGCCACCAGCGAAGTGCCAAAGTCGCCGTCCTCGATGCGCTGCTTGATGGCGGCGTCGAGCTCGCCGGCGAGGATCTGGCGTGGGAGTTCGGGCTCGAGACACACGGGGCGGGCAAGCCCGATGCCGTCGACGGTCGAGAGCGCGTCGAGCATTGCAGGCGCGGTCTTGAAGCCGCCGGTGATGTAGGTGCGGGTTTGGGACAGCGAAGGAGTGATTTTCTCGGCGAAGTCGAGGAAGAAGGCTTCGCGCTTCTTGGTCGACTCGCGCTGGTGCTTGAACGCCATGTGCTCATATGTTCCGCCGGACAGCTCGACAAAGTCGAATGAGTTGGACTCGAGGAGCTGGCATAGCGTCGCCGCGTCCTCTGTGTTGAAGCCTTTGTCTTGGAATTCGACAGAGTTGAGCTTGATGCCGAGGATGAAGCTCGGCGAGGTGCGCTTGCGGATTTCTTGCCCGATTTCGGTGATGATGCGGGCGCGGTTTTCGAGCGAGCCGCCGTAGGCGTCGGTGCGGAGGTTGGTGGTTGGGGAGAGGAATTGCGCGAGCAGGTAGCCGTGGGCACCGTGGAGTTGGATGCCGTCGTAGCCAGCCTTCTCGAGATATTCTGCGGCGTGGGCGAAGCCGTCGATTACGTTTTTGATGTCTTCCTCGGTAGCCGCGCGGGGCTTTGCAAATGTCATGCCCATTGGGTTGCCGGCTAGGTGCACGTCGGAGGCGGAGATGGGGTTCTTTTGGATGTCTTCGGTCACTTGACGCCCGGGGTGGGATACTTGGCCCACGATCAATGAACCGTGTTTCTTTGCCTCGACTGCGATTTCTTTGAACATTTCGAAGCGTTCGCCTTCGAACTTTGCGTCGCGGGGGATAATGGGGTTACCCGCGGCCTCTAGGTGGTCGTACTCAAACATGATGTTTCCAGTCAGGATAACGCCGAATTGGCCTTCGCCCCATCGCCGGTAGACATTGACTAGTTCCTTGGATGGAACACCACGCGTCTCGAGGACATCGGGGTCGAATGAGGACAGCCGTTCAGTCATGGCGCCCTTGAGGAACCGGTTCTGCGCAGTGCGTTTGGAGAAGACAAAGTCGAGGGGCTTGCCCAATGGGGCTGGATCCCTGTGCTCTGCTTCATATCTTTGTGGTGCCATGTTGAAAATGTGGGAGAAAAAAAAGAACAGTCTTTCTGGGTATCTTTACAAAAAGAAGAAACAAAGTTGGTCTAATTGATGTTGTGCTTGGGATTAGGTGTAAAAGGTCCCTATATCTATATGTGCTGGAAAGACCAATTATGACGGAAAGTTCTAGTCTACATAACACGTCGTCACCAATCTAAGTTTTGCTGTATTTCTAAGCTTTCCTACCACCTACGTCTGTTGTCAATTATGCAAACAAGTGGATCCATAAATACGTCATAGACAGCTTCACAGTGTTGGACGTTTAGCAGTGCTGTTTCGGCGAACCTGCTTCGGCAGATGTGCCTCAACAGGACTGCTACCGGCAGATATAGGCGAATTGCATGTCATTATAAGCCATTATAAGGGTTTCGTCAGGATTGGGTTAGGGTCGCCGGTGCGGACAATTGTGGGGCGGGTGAGTGACCATGAAAAAGTGTAGCCAGGGTATTTAGTATCGGCCCGATGAAACTTTTCGTTGCCATAACCTTTTAGTGGGCTATTCTATATGTTATATTGCCTGAGATTTGAGAACACATCAAGAATTCTGAAGAAAAAATAGAATCAACGCATGCAAATGGAAGTGCAGGGCGACATGAAAGCAAAGGGCAGCATGGTACAGTTTCAAAATCGCGTACACACCATCGTGACATCCCGAACCAAGTATAGCTAAAAGCTAAAATGCAAAAACGATTATGGCGATTGGTGGCCTAGTTATGGAAAATTCACCAGGAGTAAAGGGAGCATGTTATGTGGATTCTGCTAGTTGTTCAGGAAAATGGTGTTAGGGTGTGCGTATATTAATAGCCCATTCTATCATACAATGAAATGGAGTCCCTGTGTTGTGGCGAGGATCCGGATGAAAGCTAAGAGAATATGCTGATTGTACATCCTCCGGTGTGGTTCTTCAAGCTACGTCCTTGCCAACTGTTCTGCCCGTATCGTGAACTGCTGTTGTACTGTCAGACCTGACCTGAAGCAACACATCCCAGACCCATTTTCTACCACTACCATCTGTAAGCATGTACTGCAACACGCTTTCCCCACCTTCTCACTAAAATACAACCTTAACGCACCAACGTTCAAATCCTTTTCTTTGATCTTCACGTGCTCAAAAATGGATGTAACGTAGGCATAACGTGCAGTAGATATAGAGCTAAAGTCTATCACTATGTAACGGACCGAAAGCCCTTTGTAAGACTTGTCTTACGGAATTTGGGTGCGGATTCTGCTCATCTGCACCCCATCCAGACGCTTACTGCCGAGCCGGGCAAAGCTTAATTCAACGTGAGTGCTTACTTACTACGCGATAGAACATGCAGGGATTCCTGTCGAAGGTAATAATACTAGATTTGTTGGTTCTTTGTACTACTAAAAGCTGCTGCCCGCCATAGCACCATTCCATAGCGATTCTGAAACTCTCTTGCTCAGGTGTTTTTTTTTACCGAGTCTTTGCGGGTTCCTACTGAAGGGCAGTAGGCTATCAAAGGTATGCTTTTAGATACCTCAAAACTGGCTCATGTGCATTTATCAAGGAGCTAAGCGATAAAAGCCAAGAATAAGCTTCATAATAAAAGAGACAATATCAAACATATATCCGTATTTGGGAGTTAAATAGTAGAAGATTTTTGACAAGTACTACATATGTATATTCCGAACTGGCTGCGAAACTTACCTCTCCATCGAGCAATACACCAGTACTGCCCTTAAAACAACTCTCTGAGCGTGGTCCTTCTGCATCCTACGTCGATTTAGAGTCCAATCATCACAGAGTAAGCACCAAGTACCGCTGGCAGTCTTCTTGAAAGGTCATCGGTGATAAATTTGGGTATGCATATACGCGCATTTCCAAAACTAGACAAACATCACATGCTCCCCGCTCCATCCGTCTCTTCCTCGGCCTTCTTCGTCCTCTTCATTCTCTCTTCGGCAGCCCGTGCTAATATTTCTCTCCTGCTCATTCCTCCTCCACTCGTATTGCTGACCACCGTCCCCCCACCCCCACTCACAGCGCCCAAAGTAAACTCGCCACCGGTCCAGCCTCCATGGTCATGTACTTCTTCCTCGCCAGTAGGCTCGTAAAACTCCTCGTTGCCCACGCTTCTACCCCCGCTCTTCCAGTCGTCGCGAGCTACCTCGCGCTCAATCTGCTTGCATAGATTCCAAAAATTGCGATCGTGGGGTCCCCAGACGTTGTGTGCGAGCTCGTGGCATAGTGTGTTGCGGATCGTCTTGTAATCGCGATAGCCATCGTATGCGTCGGTCCTCAGTCGCAACTCGATAACTTCTCCTTTGTTGCGGTTCAATCCGAGTGTGCGCGACTCTTGTGTTGTGTGCATGGCAGGGTCCATCTCGGTGAGCAGTGGGACGCTGAACTTGTGTGTGCGCATGGCGGCTTTGATGCCTGCATCGTCGCGTAACCGCTCGAGGAAGCGCAAGGAGCGTTCGGGATTGGGGAGGTAAGGTAGCGGGCGCAGTGTGTGAAAGGTGTATTGCGCCTCCTCTTGTATCTTCTTGTAGTCTCGATTTCGCGCTGGTGTGGCGGCCTTGATAGGACCGGGGCGCCGGGGCGCCGACGCGGCGGATATGGTACTATTGAGAGACGACACCTCCTCCTTTGTGCTTCCCATCAATGTTATCTTCTTAGATGTGAGTTCCGTGAGCGGTAGCGCGGCATCTTTAAAGGGTGGTTTCTGCAGTCCAATCTTGCCACCAACTAGGAACTTTTGGTTCGACGGCGGTATTGAGAGTTCTGTCGCAACGCGTTCTGAAAGGTCGAAAATAGTGGCATCTTTGGCAAATGAGAATGCGATGGATTTTCCATGGTGCGTGAGGGTGATTTGAATGGTGTCGCCAGAGGTCGGCGGTGTTGGGGAATTGTCCGTTTCTGCCATGATTAAGAGATAGTTAATACGTTCGCGCTGGCAAGCAAGGATGCAGTTTATATGGCTACTACTATCAGCTGAATGTTGTACGTGGCAAGGTTAGTGGTGATCAAGATGTTTGGTTTGGTAGCATGCAGTTTGGCTATGGTAAGCCATGCGCTGCTTCGGTGACGTTCTCGAAGGCTTCCACGATGTGATGCACTGCCATCGGCAATTTGTCATCACCAAACTCCGACTCGGTCCCGTTTTACCACCACTTCTCTTATCAACATTCAACACTAAGCCCGCTGAACGGATACGCACATCTTTTTAGTATTAACTGAAGGGTGCAAAGCTAATCTCTATTGACTTTTGACTTTGTACTATCTTTCGCTTTCTTTTTCCTGAACTCAACTTTCCGTTCTACATTTGTTGTCAATGATTGTAGAAACTCGAGAACTATATTATCGAACCTATGGAGTATCCATATGATCATCTTGTTTAGATGCTCGATTAATGCTCTGATGGCTTGAATTAGTCTTGTACAAGTATACTCAGCCAAAAAAAAAACACGCGTGGAAACATCAAAGAAAGTACATGTTTCTAACAAGACATCGACACATCTACCAAACCATCATAATACATGTACATACCTAGAAGACAACAATCTATTTGAGATCGTTACATAAAGATGCAAGACCTAAGAGCGAGTTCAGCAGCAACAGTTCCCATTACAGCACCAGTCTTTCCCCCACTTAACCGCACTCTTAGCTTGATAAAGCTGATGGCATGCGTTGCGTGTTATTTCGCGGTGTCCCGAGAGTATTGCTTTGATGAATTAGTGGTGTTGAATGGGAGTAGTGGGGTTTAGGCAGTGTATCAGAAGGGTGTGAAGAGATCATGTGAGAAACAGATGCATACATTAGTGCCAATTGAAAGACGCTGGATGAAAAGAGAGTTTGCAGTAACGGATTAGAATAGCGAACAGACTAGGGTAGAGGTGCTAGTGACCGCGATATACGTGGTTAATCTAACTTGCATAAGCGGCTTCTTAGTCTGGGAAGCCAATACTACCAAATTCGTACCACAATATGATTTTGCGTTTCTAACCACATGAGATTGGCATCACATGCTTACCAGTTAACACATCGACATATCAAACACTGCTTTCAAAGATAATTCCAATAAGATAGTTGTAGAGAATGCGTATACTCATGTACATCTGTGTGCTATCTTTCCTAAAACGGGATATATAACTATACTCTGATAAACACCTACACCATGCATAACCTATTTTTAATATGCATGGCATCCAGTTTCACAAAAATATGCTGCGCGTCCCTCATTAGCACTAATTAAATTGATCTGACCTTGCCTCCTCTGCCTACTTCTTGCGCCCCGCTTCTTATTCATCTGCCACTTCTTGCGACCTGACCCATTCTCTTATGGCCGGATCCCATCGGTGCCTGTGGTCCTATTAGCAATACTTCTCTCACCCGAGACTAGGTCAACGTACCCATTGAACTCGGTCACTACCAAAGCCTTTTCTTGATACTCCTCCACGAGTATCTTGTCGTAATTGTACGGCACCTTGGCCACAACACCTTCGAACATGGTTTCACGCATAGGATACAGATCCGAAGTTTGATATCGGTGGTAATTCTTGCATACCCATTCGCCAGGACGCTCGTTCGGGTGTGTTTCGCTGAGGCCCGTGATGTCGATGAACAGGCCGTTGCGGGTATCGATCCATCGTGCATCGATGATGTTTGCGCCGTCGCCGCGTTCGCGCTCCCATATCCATGGGTTGATGTCTAAAAGATATTCTCGTTGCACCGTACCATCGTAGGATACGTATGGGTACTTTGTTTGATTGTAGACCCTACCGATGTGCTGTAGTGTGCCGTCGGCAACTTGGGTGTCGAGGTCAAAGTCCCAGGGGAGACGCTTTGTAGATGTAAGCCAGCATGTCTTCCTCAACCAATTCCAGACGTACCTTTCCGTTCCACCACCATCCCAGCAATGTTCCATGTGCGATCCAAGTATCTAGGTCGTTTTCGCGGAAAAAGTCCAAGTAGGCACGGATCATATGTTTCTGGGTGTCAGTCCGTTCGTCGTCGGATAAGATGTCTTTGAAGTAGCGTTTGTCATAGTGGCTGAGTGTTTGGGTGTTTCTAGGGGACTGTCAGAAGTGTGCTTAGGATGGTAGAGTTTTGTGTGCAAAGCAACGACACAGTGAGAGTGACTACTTACCCCGGTTCATGAAAGTACTTTGTGTCGCGGTTGTTGTCCCCGTGCGATTCAATTCGACCGGTTGGTGAGTTTTGAACCAGAGAGGTGTTCTCTGGGGTTGGGACAGCGAGAGAGGATATGAAGAGGGATGCGGTGGCAACAGTGGCTGCACATGTGCACAAACGCATTGCGACGTATCAGATGTCTGCTAATTAGGTACGTAATTGTGACAACCGTGGGCCATCAAAGTCTTTAACGAGATGCAATTCAGGAAGGAGGCCGCGTGCTTGGGGTGGTAACGATCGACACAGGGCGGATGGCAATCACACACAGCATCAAGGGGAGAGGGAGCAGAAGAAACGGAGAAGAGGGACGGAGAGTCATATGGAGCCGGGGCGCCGCAAAGGATTCGTAAGGCAACATGACGCACTGAACGCGATACCGAGGCCGCCGGCCCTGTCGACTTAGGCCCTGACATGGCTTGCTTGAGATATTGCTGCCATGCTACCCCGGAAATTCGGCACCGTTGAAAGCGAACAAGATATCGGTTCAGGACAGTGGAGCCCGGGCAGGGAGTGATTGCCAATCATGTACCCCCCACAACGGGCGGCTCGCGGCTGTGGTGGCTTGTGTGTATCAAGGGTGAGATGACTTGAGGCATTTGCTGCCATTGTCCTAGTAGTAGATATCGCGCTGATGGGTTGACGTACCCCTGCGGGGCTGGGGGCAAAGTGGCTGAACGTGCGGCGCAGGGTTGCGCGGCATATCAATCGAGATATCGCGTGCGTCCTTACCCAAACCGGAAAGGCCTCGTCATCACCCATCTGGCAGCAACGGGAGCCACTTTTCCCTTTACGCCAGTGCTCTTGGCGGCACAAATGTTGGTTACATGCATCGAGTTGGCCAGCTCATTCTTCAAGCACGCACAGCAACGGTTCCTTTTTTTCCAAGCACAAGGATGCCCTATCACACACTTCAGCAACCCCATTATTACGTACATGTCATGCTTTTATGCTCTACCAAATACATGGGCTTTCTCAGCCTCACGCCCAAACGCTGCATTCGTCCAAGACCATAGTACGCCGCAAATCAAAGAGCAAACAAAAAGGGTCGTCGTCTATGAGACATCCATGGCATCCGTACCGTTGGCCACGGCAAAAGATACATCCCCCGCGTCGCCAATCAGACGCTTCTCCGACTCGGAAACAAACTGCCGTTGCGTTAGCTTCGGCCTATACACCTAAGACTTGCGTAAGCCTACCTTGACGCTTCGGTTGGCATCGTAGAAAAGCGCAAAACTCCGCTGCACATCCTCAATCGTAACCTCGGAACCGTTCCTCTTGCCGCGTATCAGGTCAGAGGTGGTGATCAGGTTGCTGGCGTACCGTAAACCAGCCTCCTGACCAATCTTGGTAAGCAATGCTAGCGCATCGGGAGACACATCGACCTCCTCTTCTTGCGCTCTTATCGAGATGATTTGCTGCATCTCTTCTGACGAATATGGGTGCGTGTTGACAATAACGACGCGATCTAAAAAGTCCAGCGGCAGCCCGTGCGGCGACCGGTAGTCTGTTCCACGTATCTGTGTGTTTCCTCTGTTGCTAGCCATGATGACAATGGGTGCCAGCTCGTCCTCGAGCGCACGATTGACAAACGAGAAACACTCAATGTCGAGCATGTGGACTTCATCGATGAACAGCACGCCTGGCACAATGGTTGCCTTGCCCTCCTCTTTCCACTCGGCTACCTTTGTGTTGATTTGGTCGCGCACCTCGCTGCGGATCTCGCCCGTGTCGCCTGAGAAGAGAGCTAGGAAGCCCTGGGTCCTCGAGTTGATGACATCGATCTCGTGTAGGCTGACTGTGTGTACCACCTCGCGTCGCTGCTGCAGCTCGCCTTCGGGACACTGGACAAACTTTGTGTCAACTCCCATTGCATCGTAGTCTCGCGAGCGTGTGTAGGAGCGGCCGAGCTTGGTGATCTTGCCCGAGGCCTTGTCGATGGAGATGATGTCGCCAGCCATGACCTTTTCCTTGGTCATGCCGTCGATCATCTTGGTGCCCATGTCGTAAACAGTCTCCATGTCGGTCGTCTTGATGGTCAGCTTGCCCTGCTTGTTGCTCCCCGTGACACTGCGGTCAATCTGTATCTCGACAACCTCGCCCTCGATGACCTCGCTCTCCTCAGTTATCCGGACGCCAATCGACTTGCGGAAGGCTTGTGTGAGAGCCTCAGTCTTTGACATTTCGAGCGAGAAGATCTCAGACGAGGCCAGCATGGTAAAGGGCACGTCGGGGCCGAGGGATTGCGCCATGCCCATGGCAATGGCCGTCTTGCCTGTGCTTGGGGGGCCGGCAATCAGAACTGCGCGGCCTGCAATCTTGCCGTCTCGCGCCATCTTGAGAATGACAGCCGCCGCCTTGCGAGCTTTTGCCTGCCCTACCAGGCCCTGCGACGAGACCTTTGGCTCAAGCGTGTCATCGTCGACGCCGAGCCCGCGAATGTGTGAATGCGCAGCGATGAGATTGAGCCCACGGAGCTCCTTGGTCTCGGCGATGGTGGTGATGGGCTGGGGAGGGTTAGTGGTGGGGATACATGTCGCGGAGAGGGATGCGGCCGACACGTACCATGGCCATGGCGAAGTGTAGTGGGGGTGGTGGTTTGAAGCTCTGATATGCAATGGCAGCAGCAGCAGCAACAACAATTCGCGGTCGGCGCGCAGAGTGAAGCTCGGCGGGCGCTAGTAGCAGACGCACGGACTGGGATGCCGCGCCTCTCACGTCTCCACATTTATTCCAGTTTCGTCAATCACCTGCAGCGCGTATACCCCACCGTTGCCCCGATACACCATCTTGGCCAATCCCCGTAATCAAACCAGTGAGAGCGTGCATAGACATCCTCCTCGGCTTGCTCTAGATAACTAGATAATTGCTTTTCTCATCCTCCGCGCCACGTTGCTGCCTATACTTCCTCCGTCTTGCTTGGCGTTGTCGCTGCATGGGGCAAACATGCCTGATTGCCCCTCGCACTCACTTTCCGTCTTTTCCATCGTCATCCGTCTCCTACGCTCCTTTCCCTGCACTTCACTACTCCATGAGCTCACGTACAGGTAAACGGCCGCTCGAGCCCCGGCCTCGCGGGGACAGCCCTCCCAGCAAACGGAACCGCGCACAGGAACCAAGGTCAGCGCTACCAGACAAAGCCCGTTCACTCAATACTACGTCGTCGTCATCGTCGCCGCGAGTGGCAAAACCCGTCATAAAGATTCCCAGCCCCCCACCATCTAGGAAGACCTCTTGTACTTCGCTGCCAAACAACACTCCAGTGGTTCCCAAAGGAACGTTTGATCGTAATCTAGTCGATTCCGTTCACGCGAGACGTCCTCAAGAGAAGCCTGGCCGACCCGACCAAGTATCTAGCCACGATGCACCCACCAGGTCTCCTACGTACCTGGGCAGCAGACCATCTACCCCTACTCACCGCAATGCACCTCCCGCCCCTTCCATGTTACCGGTCGAGTCAAACTCACACGCAAATTCTACGCCACGTTTAGACAATCCTACCAACGGTTGCGCACCCATTACCATGCAATCACTTCGCAAACTCCGAGACAGACGACTAGCTGTAGCGGCACAGTTCAGCCCAAGTGGAATGCCCGCATCATCAGCCACTCAAGTAGAGGTCAGCCTCGAAGCTCAGCAACTGGAAGTCAATCAACTGAAAAAAGAACGAAACGAACTCAACAGCAGATTGAAGAATGTGGAGGCTGTATTCCAAAACTCCAACCGTCTAACAAACTTCACAGAGCAACAAGCGTGTTCTTCAAAGGCCCTGCAACCCTTACTCACCCGCTTAGATGTGCTTGAGAAATCCTTGCTAGTTCCCAAAGACAAAACTTTCCAGAAAGAAAAAGACGCGCTTGTGCCTGTGGAAAATCGATTAGCTGCAGTAGAAGTTGCATTGTCCAATCTCCATGAACGTTTAGAACAGATAAAGCACCCTTCGAACCAAGCGAATGCAAGTCTGGCCAAGGCAGCAAACAACGCTGTAACCAAGATCTTTGCTTCAGAAAATGAAATACCCACATTCATCAACGATAGGTTGAAGAAGCTAGTGGCTGATAAAGTTAGCGAGTACGCTGTGGACATCAAGAATTCAATAGGCCGTGAGATGGCCGAAATGGAAGCACAGCTGAGCAAACGTATCATAGATGAGCACCAATTACTTCAAAATACATTAGAAAAGCTCAAGGATATGAAGGACTTGTCAGCGACAGTAAAAAGCATCCCTCAGCAACTACTCAGCATCCGCAACTCTATCTCTGGGATCCAGTCAGTCTCTGACATGGCACGGCACAAAGTCAAAAATATTGAACAAGATATTGAGGTATTCCAGCATCATTCAACGATCATCGAAGATCTGAAATCAGAACTGGACAAGTGTACACACTTTTGTAAAGGGCTAGCGAGAAGGGATCTGCCACGTCTTGAAGACTCAGAGGAAAGCACAAGCCGGCGTCTGAAGAAGCTTGAGGAAAGCATACTTGATCATGCTAGACCCGACGACACCGACGGAACAACTTTGTCATGGTCAACAAAGCAGCACACAGCCATCAGATCAGTCGACGTTAGCAACCTTGCTACACGTATAGACGATCTTGAGAGAGCATCGCCAGTCATCTCTTCTTCTAGCGTAAACTCTCTTGCACAAAACGTAGAGCAGCTCGCTAAAGATTTCCTGAACTTCCAAATCGCCCAGAAAGAGTCAAAAAGTCTAGAGACAAAGCTAGCGGACGTTAACAACCGGCTCGAAAGTGTCGAGCAAGTCTCAAAGAAATTCGAGGCTCTCAAAGAACACATTGTGCTAGACAAATCTTTTAAGACTAGTCTTGCTGGACTGGATCAACGCGTTTCGGAGGAACTTCGCATTGTACGGGAAGACTCGAGTGCTAAGCTCGCCAACCTGGACCAACGCTTTTTGGAAGTACTTGGTGTTGTACGAGCAGAACTGGATGCTAAGCTTGCCGACATTCAGCTACTTCAGTCCAGCACTTCATCAGAAACTGTGCCTGCAAAAGCGGAGAATGACGATTTGTCTCTGATGGCCATCACGAAAGCCCTCGAGGATCAGGTCAAGACCCTACAGACTGAAGTCGACTCACTCTCTGACGATTTCAATGAAACCGGTCAAAAGCTCCATGAGCACTCTACTGCTATTACTCTTATGAAGAATCAAGTCCCTGAACTCTTCCGGCAGCAGTTCGACCCGTTCAAGTCCAAGGTTCAAGAGCAGCTCGGGATAGTCAATGGCCAATTGGGCGCACATGCCAATGACATTGACAGTTTGAAGAACGTTATGTCTTTACTCCAGACAAAGACTATGTCAAATACCCAAGCGCTGGCAACGAAAGCGGATGCGGATGCTGTGGGAACACGGACGGACAGCATTATGTTTGCATTGAAAGACCTCGAGCATCGATACCAAAACATTAGCACCGACGAAATGTACCAGAAAATGGTACATTGGTTTGTGCAGATGTATCCAGCAAGTGCAGCTTTGCTGAGAGACACAGCGCAACTTCAACAAGATGTCAAGCAGCTCAAATCTTACTGCAGCGACATCTCATGGGTTTGGAAACGCTCTGAGGTTTTGGTCGATCTGTGCCAGAATGCTGGGCAACTGCAGTGGCTTGCAAAAAATGCCCCGCAGCTACAAGCCCTCTGTCGACAGCATTCCCCGCAAGTTCAGGGCAATGTCCAGCAAGCACTAGTTGAAGTTGAACAGCGTCTTAAAATTGACATCAATGAGCTCAAGATCATGAAGAACTCGCTTGAGCCTCAGATGTCCCAAATCGCCATGCAGGTTGCTGACATACAAACGTCGGCGTACCAGCACCGGCGTGATTTCGACACGATTAAGGATACCCTGATCGAACCTAATAAGGACTTTTTTGGCCTATTCGGTACAGCTCTTGCTGTCTTGGCCCAAGTCCAACAGGTTGTCGAAATCTTGAATAAAAGCATACCCGGCTCCCCGCTAACGCTGGACTGGGAATGCTACCTACCAGCACTTGTTGAACAATCAAAGACAAACACCAACTCTGGTATTAGCGCGAAAGGGGGCAACAGCATGCAGTAGGCTTTAAGACTACGAATGCTGCTTTGCCCATGAGTACAGCTATACACACCATTATTGGGTGCCATTGTTGCTTTCAAGTTTTTAATTGGAGTTCTGGGCGGAGTTCTTTTTGGGGATTTTTATCCCTAGATTATGTGATACCCTAGCCGGATGGCTTTTCGAGATTTATTTACTGAGACGAACTTTATGAACCCCCCAAACTCCTTGTTATCAGTGGTTTTTTTCGGTAATACGAAGTTGTTATCTCAGTAACACTCGTTTACATCAGGTATATTTTGGATTGTTTGATTTTCGAAAAAGGTTGTTTCATTCTCACCGTTTGACGCTGGAACAATCAGTTAGTGGCGGAAGGAAGGGTGACAAACGGTGAAGGAAGGTAAGTAAGGAGGACAAGGTCTGGTCTCTCGGAGGTAAGCCACAACGCGCTAGTTAACCCCGCCCAAAAGGCTTTTGGCGCGTCAACTTCTTGAGCTCCAACCGCACGTACATAGATGGACAATTTCAGACCTTGACACCTCCTCGATTAAGCGCTCGCACAAAAAAACCAAGCACTCCAAAAACGCCCGCAAATGGCGCAAGATAATGCCCCCAATGCTGCTCCCACCAGCCCACCTGCACACACAGACAACAACGTAGACACCTCCATGCCCGACGCCGCAACCCCCCAACCCGCGCCCAAACCCGAAAAACCAGCCCACATCCTTCACCAATCCACCTTCCGCAAACCAACTTGGTCCTACCTCCACCTCACCCTCACATCCCCCTCCTTCCCTTCCTCCTCAACCTCAACCCCACAATCCGACGTCTCCCCGCTCCTCGTCTCCTCGCTCCTTACATCCGCCCTGCGCACATACCTAGGCACAATGGGCACGGCGATACCCGTTGATATACTCAAGACGGCCGGACGGGACGTGTGGATACGTGTGCCGAGGCAGGATGTGCGGGGTGTGAGGGCTGCGTTGGGGAGTTGGATTGGGAGGGTTGAGGGCGAGGATGTGGGGGTTGAAGGGGGCAAGGTTGGGGTTGCGTGGAAGGTGTTGGGTGGAGCTGGGGTGCTTGGGGGGATGGGGGGCGGAGAGGAGGTATTTGGGTGAAGCAGAGGGAGAGGAGAGGGTATGGAATGGATTGGACTGGGACTGGGACAAGAGAGTGTGCTTGTGGATGGTGGACATGCATCCATATCAGATGCAGGGATTGCATAGTGGGAAACTGCCACGGGCTGCTTATCTTTGCATTGAGTGTTGTACAGGATATGACATTGAAGAAAGAAGGGAAACACGTTACTCCAAGTGCAGCAGGGACAAAAAAGAAAAAGTAAGGGCCTCCAACGGGAAACAGACCACACCACACACATGCACATCGGTACCCAAGAAACGAAACAAGAACAATAGCGATTCATATCTACACAATTTGGAAGAATGGATACGCATGGCTCTGAAAAAAAAACTACGAGATTCCCCCCCAAACCCACGGATCGAAGAGAATCCACAAGGACAATCCTCCAGCGCTAAATTCACTCCGAACCTCCCTCGCATTTTCCCGTCAAGGATGGAAAACAAATTTTTCGGCAATCTTTTCCATGTCCGTCCTGAGATGATCGTCCAAGGTTTACTGCCAGCCGGGCTGGGGTGCGTGGTGACCCTGTGAGCCGCCGTAGTTGCCTCCTTGACCTGGAGGTGGGGGATACTGTTGGCCTCCACCGTACTGGTTCTGATGTGTCGGGGCACCACCATACTGGTTGTGCTGGTGGTTATCGTAGTTTCCTGGGCCACCGTAGGGGCCAGAAGGAGCGCCGTATGCAGGGCCTCCGTATCCCGCTAGATATTGTTAGCTTTATTATATCAGTCCAAGGGAAAGATTCGTACCTTGCTGGCCGTAGCCGCCGGGACCTGATGATGGTGGTCCCTGACCGTAGCTAGGAGCTGGTCCACCATAACCAGACTGTCCACCAAAACCGGCCTGTGAGCCATAACCGTGTCCCTGTTGTGGCTGTGGAGTGTGTTGTTGCGAGCCATAGCCCCCGTGTCCCTGTCCCTGGTTTCCATGTCCTTGGCCGTACGACTGTCCGGGGGTAGATGAGTGGCCCGAGTGACCTTGAGGGCCACCGCCGTACTGAGAGCCAGGGTTGTACGAGGAGGGCGGCGCGGTACCAGTGTACGATCCACCGGATGGGGCGCCAGAGCCGCTATAGCCATAATCGTTGTTCGGCTTGGCGTGCTGTAGTCTGTCAGCACGTTATCCTTATACCTTCACCAGAGTCACATACAGATCCTCCGCCCAACGCGCCGCTGAGCATACCTCCGAGGCCGCCGGCAAGACCACCACCGCTCGAACCATGGCCAGAGTTATTACCCTGCTGTCCTCCAGAAGAGTTTCCGTGCTGCTTGCCACCACCTAGCAGACCGCTGGCAAGTTGGCCGACTAGCCCTCCAGCACCACCACCGCTGCCGCCGTGGCTGCCGGAAGAGTTTCCAGATTGCTTTCCACCTCCAAGCAACGAGCCAGCAAGTTGACCGACGAGGCCTCCAGCGCCACCGCCACCACTACCACCGTGGCCACCGTTATTTTGCTTGTTGCCTCCCATGAGCGCGTTCATGGCGAAGCCCTGTTCCCTTTGTCAGCGAAGCCTCCCAGGTGGCTGGTTGTGTCTCGTACGCCCAGTCCGCCTCCCCTGTCGCCTGTTTGTCCGTCGCCCATGCCTCTTGTTCCGTCGCTTGCGCCTGGTCCTGATGTGCCGTCTGGGCTGCTGTATGGGTTCGTGTGTTGTGCGGGAGTGCTGTGGTTCGAACTGCCACCTATAGGCGCTTCGCTAGTGGGTAGCTCCCATTGCGAAACACCAGTGCTGATCTGGACATCTGTTGTCAACGAGTCAGCATGTGCGCCGGCATTGGCTGCCAAGGAGTCTCAGACACAGTGAACGTACAGTAGTACTTTCGGGATCTGTGTGCGTGTCAGCGGTGTCGCGGGGGCGTGTGGTGCAAAGGCGGGGCAGGCTCAGCGACTCGTGGGAGCACTACAAGGGAAACATACGTATTGTCCCACTGGGCTATCCATCCCGCGGGAAGCTTGGGTAGCGTAGGATCGGTAGGGCCCGAGTCTGGCGAGACTGGGGGGATTGGAGGCGTCGGCACGGCCATGTTGCCGCTGTGGAGATGGGATGCGGGGTCGGGCGAGGGATGCTCTGGAGAAGCAACCAGGCGTGTGGGCGAAGGGAACGTGTGTAGGGGGGTGAGGATAGAGGCGAGAGAGAGGTTGTTAATGCATCGCAGACGAGCGGTTATATGGCAGGCGTGCGAACGGCCATGGGCGAGTGGACCTTGTTAGCCGTCGTAGTGGGGATTGGCCAGGGTGCTGGGAAGCTTTGCGAGGCTGTGCCCGCTGTGCCCTACGCGCAGTCCGGAAAGTGACGCACCTTGGTAGGCGCGGGCCTTTATTTTCAGCTGGCTTGCATCATTACGTCTACCATATACAGTTAACCATTTGGCCAACGCCATATTGCAACGGCGCTTGCAACGGCCGTATCCTACATGTGGCTGAGACAGCGCCTCGTCGTCATCCTCAGCAACAACCAAGCCGCTGCCCAACCCACGAGCCCAACCCACGCCCAATACTCATACACGGATATCGTACAAAATACCTCATCCAACGCCTGTCCCATGTCTACTTTGTCTTTCATCTCGCCGCACATGCCCATCTCTTACGCCGGCGTATCCCATAAAACATATCCGTTGCGCCCTAGACCAGCGAGGCCTGCAAACTAACCCAGAGCAAATCACCACGCATACCCGCCACCATCCTCGTGGTCATGGTCATTGCCGTTCCATTCTTCGTCGCCGCTGGGCTCAGCATCAAGAAAGTCGGCCTCGTTGAAGATCTCTTCGCGCGGGCGGAAGTTGTCAATACGGAAAATGACCGTGTGGCACCGACCCTGCACAAACAAATGCTCATCTTCAGCTGATCCCTCGGTCTCTTCAGAACTAGACCCGTCATCTGACTCCTCGTCGTAGCTCATCGCTGCCTTGGAGCGAGACCGCAGCCGCTTCTTGCCCCAGCCCTCCTCTTGCTTTTGTACATCCGAAGGTACCAAAGGCGTATCACTATCGCTGTCACCATTGTCATCTATGGTAGATTGGGCCTTCACCACTGTCTTCTCTGGTACGCCCTCAATGAATGAATCGACCTTATCTTCGTCGCAAAGCTGCGCCTTCCATTCCCGGAATGCCCGTAGCGAGGCGAGATGAGGATTCGCTGCTTCCCATTTCTTTGCAAACACTTTCTTGAACTTGGCCGTCCATGTCTGTCTGAACTCTGCTCTCTGTCGCCAGTCGGTGTCAACCATTGCTATGATGGTGATTTCTTGAAGAAAGGGAAGATTCTCGGCAGAGTCAATTAGCGACTTGAACAGGTTGGCAGCTGATGTTGAGTTCCAGTTCCGTAGATACTGCAGGTCCAGCGTCCGCAGCGTGCATGGCCACGTAGGAATCTCATTCTCGCCCAAAAGGGTTTCGTAGAGGGGTTCGTTGTCCGAAGACATGGCTAGAGAGCTGTAGTACGTTGTGTCCATTCTCAAAATCTCGAGCTTGGGACATGACCGCTTAAGATCGACGAGGAAAGACAAATCGAGAGCTTGGTTGTGATTAAGCACCAACTCTTCCAGGTGTGCACCATGCGTAGCCAAAAAGGCTTGGAATGCATCAGAGAGTAGCTCGCCGCAAGCGGTAATGTTCAGGCTGACAAGGTTGCTCGGTAACAGGGGTAGGAGCCGCCCACTGACAACTCCACACGTCTCGAACGACAAGCTTCTTAACTGGGGAAGCACGGCCAGTGCAGACGCCAATAGCTCTTCTATCGTTGGTGGAGCTTCAACATCATCGCTATCACCTTGGCTAACTTCAGGGTGGAATTTTGTCAAGGTCACATCGCGGAGGCTCTGAAACGCGCTATCTGTATGGATGCTTTTGATCCATAGAGGGCCCTGGTTACAGAAAGTACTGTTCCATCGCCAGCTTCTTAATCGCAGATTCGTCTGGCGTAAGGCGTCAAAAAGCTCACTTGGGTATACCCACCGGCGGATTCGCCGAAGCCGTGGGCGGAACGGCGGTCTGTCCATGGGGTCAAAAATGTCAATTTCACGCAGTGTTGTCAGTGACTGGACCAGAGCTGCCAGATCTGTCACGCTATTGGTCGAGTCCGTGAGTGTAGTCATTTGTGTGGCGTCCAGCTCCAATCGCTTTACCATGACCCGATAGTCGTCATATGCTCCCTGTGGAGGCGCAATGAGATGGCGAACAAGATCTTTTCGAGACTGCCTGGTGGCAAATATCGGCGGGTTGCGATAGAGCGCCGTCAAGGCCGGTTTTGCGAATGTAGAGCACATTCTAGCCATTTGTACTAGCCAAGGTATCGCAGAAGTGGGTTTCATATTCTCATCATGAAGTGGATGTGAGGCATAGACGAATATCTGAAGGAGTACGTGGTAGGGAAGTGAGGCCCATGCCTAGAGATTAAGATATTAGCATAACTGGTTACATGTACGAAGATATCATGACGGCCTCCCGTTCGGATCACAGCATCCCACATCTGGTCTTGGGACATAGAATCAACTCACAGGTACGCATCCATCCGTGGGGATGTCAGTCACTCGCCACCCAACCTGCGCTTCCTCGTTCGGCGCAAGCGGTGCGCCCAGGACAGCACGTCGAGTGCGCCTGTCTCTAGGTGCGCGCTTCTTTTGTATCTTAGATGACGGTGGCGCACTCGGTCTTGACCTTGTTCGCACCGCCATCATTCGCTCTTGCTCTATCTCGAAGTCCGCATCGGGGTCTTCTTCGTCTTCATCTGAGCTGATATCCTTGTATGAAACAGCCCCTTTACCTCGTCTCTGTGGATTTCTAGAGGGCTGCTTGCGTTTGACTGGGACAGGCTCTGGCGATGCATGTTCGCTTTCACTCGAAACTTGGTCGGTAGCGCGCATGCGCCGAGTTAATCGGCGAGAGGGAACAGTTCGCTTTTGGGTGGTTCGCTCATGGTTAGAACTCTCAGAAAGGTCATCGTCGCTGCTCGGTTCCTTGTACGAGACAGCGACTCGTTTCCGCTTTAGTGTTACAGCCATGTCGTACGGATTCGGGTCGAGTAACCTCGGGAAATCTAGCTGAGGAGATGGATTAGTGGCGACTTGGGCCTACATCGGATATTTTCAACTCTTCGGATTGGCCGTCTAAACGTATAGAGTTGTTCAAAGCATGTTCTGAGTGTGCAGTGACTGGTGTGTGGTGTTGCGAAAGCAAATCGGGGAATTGTATGCGGAGTAATCACGGAGGTAGGAGACATGAGATCATCCCCGACTGCTGGCCCGATGCAGTTTGGCGCCCGCTGATAACACGTGACATTTCCGATCACAACAAGCTACCCAACGACAACCACAGCACAAGGATCAACAATAACCACAGCGCAGGGAGACACCCTCTTTATCTGCTTCAGGTCAAGATAGAAAGAGACAAAGGGTTATGTGTCCGTGACACCTGCGCATCATTATAATTGCGCTCCAACTCCTTCTGCAGGACCATCTTCGCCGTCCAACTAAAGGGTGCGCGAAGTACCCATCGTGCAAACAGTTTGGCCTGAGCCCATCAAATGCGCGTCTTCACCTCGAGTTCTCACTTGCCTTAGAATGCCACTAAGCGGCTGCAATCTATGTAAGTGATCTAAACTTCTTCCAAGTATGTGCTGGAGCCATCTCTGATGTCCCTGAGGCGCTTGCAGAGCATGCCAGGACGGCGAGACAGGTTTTCTGGCAATATACTACTATACGACTACCTGTCGAGAAAACGAGCACCAATATTCCTAGACAGGAATCTCACACAGATCCTGGATGCTCACGACGATCTGTTGAACGGGGGTGATAGGAGCGGCTGTAGAACCCAGGATTTCGATTTTCGTTCCCAGTGGGAGCCCCCGTCCAGCGACCAACTGGACAAGATGATGGCCCAAGAGAATTACAAAGGCTCTTTTGTGCTTGAAGTGCATGCCATCAACTCGCATAATGGCCAGACGACCGCACATACAGACCGTGATCATAACCCTGCCAACAAAGTCCGGGTCTTAATGCAATTATCCAGCTCAATCAGAGTCTCGATAATCCCACCATCTGACGCACCTGCTACGCGCTCTTTTGCGCGCGATGCTAAAATAAGAGGTGCAGATAGAAGTCATCAAGAAGCCTCAGTCGAAACCAGTCCCATCATCCTGAAGCCCAGAGATTTCTCGGCTGAACCAGGAAAAGTTAGCATCGACGACATGTACAGGATGATTCTGAGTGTCAATTTTGCGAGTCAAACGGACGCACAGGAGCTGTACAACTATCTGGGGCTCACAGCGGAAACAGCTACACACCTATCGACCTCTTATCCCAATATCCTCGAGTGTCCACCAGATAAAATCAGTTTGCCACTGAAAGCAGCTGGAAAGCCACTCGGGATAAGTATACAGATAAGCATGTACTGGAACAGCACTGGGCTTGGCGACTCAATCCTCGCAAATTATAACCGTAATCTCAGAAGTGCCACAGAGCTACAGAGCTCATACCCTACCCCACCACGCGATCTGGTACCGCGATACAAGCTAACCTATGTCTACGGAAACGAGACTCTAGAGAGATCAGACCTCGTCTGTCTGCATTGCTCCAGAGGGAAGAAGCTTAAAGAGATCCGCGATCTTGAAATGCATCTGAACGCCTGGCACGACAATTTTGCCTACCAACTCGTCTCAGCAGGAACCGATGCCAACGGCGTTGCACATTGGCGATTCATCAGTGAAGTCGCAGATTCAAAAGCTGACCAAAGAGCAAGCGATCGCACTGACGAACCCCGTGACATACGCGTGCTTGCTCCGGATCGACCGTTCGACAAACGCCGTTTCCTCGAGGGCGATGACACCTACCAACGAGCCGCCCGAGTAGACAAGCATCTAAAATACCCCAAAAGAAAGCAACTAGCAGACATCCTCCCACCTCCCGCACCACGCCAACGCAAACCTCCCAACACCATACAAGAACGGCCCCCCAAACACAAAAAAAACTTCGTCGTCCCAAAAGCACCACGAGGCATCACCTTCTTCCGCTCCCTCAGCAAGCGTCCTCTCCAGCCTGGCGAATCCATAAGCGAAAGCGATGACGAACTCGACGAATCATGGATGCACCTGCGCAAACACGCAGAAATCGACAAACAAGACGGCTTTTCCCCACCTGCCCGCTACTTCCTCAAGCTCTTCGACGACTTCATGCACGAGGAGAGTCTTCACGCTGACATCCACGCGGGTGACGCCATTATCCGCTTCGCGCGCCATGGAAATCCCATGTGGAATGAGGATTTGATACACGAATTTACCAAGAAGCTAAAAGAATTATTGGAAGACGATGTTGTTTCCAAGGAAGTCCATGATGCAGCTATTGAGATTGTGGAGGCACAGAAGAAGACGAGTATTAGTAACGACAGTAGTAGTAACGAGCTTTCGCGGCGCCTAGCGGAACTCGATGTCCAACACGGTGAGGATGCCGAGCCGCCATTTGACAAGTGCTATTGTGGCGGAGATGCAACCGTGAGTCCGGGGATGCAGGGTATAGTTGCTTGTAGGAATATTGTAAGTCTGCCAGATCCCAAAAAGTTACGTGGATGGAAAAAAAGCTAATGGAGGGGGACTAGGATTGCATACGTCGTGTTTTTCACCACGCATGCATACAAAAGCACTCTAAATACAAAGTGCCAGCCCCGGACCCAAAGTCCTGGACCTGGACGTGTGATGACTGTAGAGATGAAGGTGTTGCGGCTACCTAGCCCGGGTGTTTTTTGGTCAAAGATCCTCTATTTAGTGATGTGGGATTGGTCTTCTTGGATGGAGGCGGGATTGTGGTTTGATTGAGTGTTATGGAGTAGAAAAATCTTTAATTAGGTGATTTGGAATATCGATTGCCCAGCGTGGCGTACTGTGCGCTGCTGAACTACTAGATTGTGTAATTGATGTGCATAAATACAGCACCAATCGGATGCTTTGAAGTCTGATTGTTTACAAGACCGCATCGGAGTGGAACACGGCCTTGACTTTTGTCATTGGCAAATCTTTTCCTTCGATTCAGCAGGAAACAGTGTTCCTCCGAAAAGCCACCAAGTACGCGAAACGCCTCGTTCCCATATGTACCCAAGTGTGTAAAAGTTTCGATCTTACAACAAACTCCACACTTACCCGGCCTATACCACACATCTTATACGGATGCCTCATCCCCTTTTACTTATCCGCGCCTCCCTAGACCCGCCGCAAATTGCTCTTCTTTCAGCCAAGGCACCCCCCCTCTAAAGACTCCCTAATTCCTCGCCTCGCAATCCTTCCCACACGCGCTCGTCTATCCCACGATCCCAAGCCACAAAATCCCTAATACGCATGCCCCCCCCCTCCACAACTCTATCTTAGCCGCGATCACACGACCATCGCTCCAACCAAGTCCCGCAGTGGCAATCTCGCTTCCAAACACAAACATGACCCTGACCACGGCTATAGCTCTGAAAGCAGAAAAATCAGCAATGAAAAATCTCATTGTTTGTTTCGCAATCCGCACATCCACCGCTAACGCAGGTACCGAACGCGAAACAATAAACCCTTTCGGTCATGTATGACATGGTCCTTTCCTGCCCCCCCTCTCACAAAAAGAGGGAATGACAAGTTGCTCCATGCCTACATGGGGAAAGTCCAAGCAGCCCCTACGGCCGTACCGGAGATCTACAGTTTGCTTTTGGATAGGATAGGCCCCCTGTCGACCGCAAAGAAAGAGGGCAAACGACGAAAACATGGGTCCGGAGTCGCGAAAAGTATGTACGAAAGAAGCGAAAACAGGGAAGCGTGGAAAAAAAAAGGCTCGGTAAAAGGCACGGGTACGTTTCTTAGAGACTGAGTCAGCGCGCAACGAGGCGAGCGGAGCTCGCTTCGCGATTATAACTGTATGCGGGTTGGATAAGCAAGCAGCAAGGGTAACACAAATTATATGATCGCTGAGTATGGAAACGGAGAAGGCGGGAATTGCGGAAAGGAAGGAACAAGCTGGGTTATAATGGACACGGTGTTAAGGGCATTTTTTCTCTTGGAGAGTGTTTGTTTCAAGTGCCGGAATGGGGTTAGAAGGGGTATGCGTAATAATGTAAGCGCTAGTAGAGAGAGCAAATGATGGATGGTGGTGGTGCTCCTAAATGGAAGGAAATGATGCGTGGGAATAGTAGGCACGTACCTGTTGTATACGACAAAACAGGCCATTTTGCTTTCCTTTGCGCTTCATGCAAGAATTGTTATGCAGGATTATGCTGCAGCTGGCGGCCTGACAGTTGTATCGCAAAATTGAACAAGAAAAATGGCGGCAGTAGCGATTCCTTCTTCTTCCCTTCACCTACGTTACGCGTACTAGCTATCTGCCAACGCGACGGATCGACGGCGAGAGAGAGAAGGAAGAACATATGGTCCATGCACACCTGTCAACTCATCTTCCCTTCTCCTTCCCTCTTCGTCCTGTTCTACCGAGACATTCTCCAAGGAAGTTCCTTGTCAAAAATGCTGAAACAAAACGCCCCAACCTAGATAATTTAGCCAGATTAACGGCAATTTGACCATTAGCTCACAAAAGCCAAGACTAGAGGAAGCGAATGGCGTGTTTCCGCTCAATTTGTTCGTCCGACTTCTCTGCATTGGCTCAAAGAAGATAAGTATCGGTCGTATACGCATATTCAGCTGAAAACAAATCACCACATGCCAAAGCAGCGGGACCGAAGAACAAAAGCCGCCTGATGTCAATCAACAAACCAATTGTTCCCGGGTTCATAGTTCAAAGCCGGCCATTTCTCATGACGGGCCGATCCATACCACGGGCGTCTTTCCATCCCGAGATATGAGAAACAAAATAACAAGCAGAGTTTTTATTTTTCCCCAAGTGGGCCCCCGGAGCGTTGGTAAGTATACGGGTAATAAATGATCCTTTTTTTTCTGTTCTAAAATAGAATTCTCCCGTTGCCGATCGTGAGAGCGGACTATTTGCTTTTCTAGGGATAGGTGATGAGGTAATAGTTCTCGAGCGGGGATCCAGAAAGTAAAAATAAAATAAAATAATAATGACGATAAGGACACAGTGCTTATTCTCTGTGATGTATCAGTTTAGGCCACTTTTGCGAACAAGGGAACCCAACACATCTTGTGAGGAGCAACCTTTTAGTCTCACGATCGACTCAGGTTTGTGTGTCCGCAACCGCAATCGTGGTTTGTACAGGCTAAGTTGGTTGGATGGCATGTGTCTGTTTTGGTTTTCAGCGTTGGGACTTGGTCGATGCGTGCATGCATTGGCGTCATGTACACTCCCTTTTCGCTGCAGAAAGTTGTCGGCAGGCTTAAATTCGTGGCCGTAACATGCAACTAGTCATTCGCTCGCCAGTCGCTCAACCAATACTTGCTGCCCTTTGCCCCTACTCATCCCAACCACCTCCTTTTTCTGGTGGACAAGGCTCATCGAGGTCAAAACTCGTAAGTGTAATCGATTGCCGTGTTGGGATGGCATTCTAGAGGGCGCTTAGATGCAGTTCGCCAAATCTACTTGCGCAAAGTAGCATAAACACCCCTGTACGTACGGTCATGCGTATCGAGCAGAAAAGTGGGCGATAGTGGTACCAGAGCTTGTAAGATATTCCTGGGTGAAACAAGACCCCGTTGCTTGTGTCGCGCGCCGGTGTTGATGCTGCCATACCCCACCCGATTCGTCTTCCCAGCCACTTCCTATGCTGCTTTCCTGGTCAGCCTGCAGGCACTCGACGTCGTGAAAGGCTCATCATCGCTGACTGAATGGTCGAGACACAACTGGGTTCACGGACAGAGGTGAAGTATCACATGGTACGGAGCATGTTTTCTCCAAACAGTGAGAAACTTGTGTGCTGATTGGCCGCGGCCGGTTCTACTGTTGATGCTGTTGCTAATGGGTACTTTTTAGGTACAGAGGCTGTGATGCAGGACTTATTGAGAAGCCATCTATGGTACACGTAGTGAGAAAGAAATTGACCAAGAGAAGCACCCGATTGCCGGAAAAAGAAAATGCGGACTCTGGACTCGTTAAGACGGCGGATGTAAAACATTACCTAGGTATGGGAGTCAACTTGTGCCCCAGCCTTCATGAGCGTCGACGTGCAGTCAATCAAGAAAAGGACCAACAAATCTGGACAAGGAAATGAGCTTGAAGGAGAAGACAATGATGGTGTGCTTGGGGAACAAACAGTCCCAAAGCAGCAGTAACCGCATGCACATGATAATTGATGCATGCGCGGAATTGACAGAGTATACTTCCATGGTTTCATGGCCATAAAGGTCATCGTAAGTGCATAAGTAAAATCGTTGACGGAACAGTTTCAAAACAAGATTGCCGCCGTATGGTGCTTTTATGACGAAGGAAATGCTGTTATATGCCAACCGTGTCTTTAAACGAGTGAGGTGTCGTAGTTCGTGCTTGAGTCTCTTCGACTCCTTCCATGCGGACATCTCTGTCCCTTGCTTCAGTTGAAGAAGGCAAAGGCGCAGAGTTTGGTGTGAATGCTGAATATGCTTGATTGCGACTAGGATCGCCCGATCCATACGTGAGGGGAGATCCCGATCCCATGCCGGTGGGTGTGTGGAGGTTCTCCAGCTCTAGCGGTTGCGGTCTTGCACGCCTTCTCTTTTCCGATGATGATTCTGACCCTTGCTCGACTCCAGTTTGTTGCTGTGGCGTCTGGACAGGAGGTGCTTGAGAAGAAGACGTTGTTGGAGGAGTGGTACGGTCGAGCGGTCGTGGATCTGGGCCTTGTGGTGATTGTTCCGGTGGCCCCGTGAGAGACTGTCGCCCCCTTCTTGGAGGGGGATATACTTCGCCTCGCGCTGCAGCTTCCTGCGCTCTCTGTTGCGCCTCGGCCTTTGTCGGTCTTCCGCGCTTCTTTTTATGCGTCGGTTCGCCCGGAGGATGTACAGCTGAGGGATAGGCAGGACCTGCGGGTATGTATTCTCCTGGGTAGGAATGAGGCGGGCGAGGTTGTAACAGTCGCCCAACCGGGGTAGATGTCTCTGGCTGATGTGGTCGCTTCTTGGGGACTTCGGGACCTGGGTACATCATTGGGGCTGGTAAGTGAGGACGCCGGTAGTCTTGTCCCGGCACAGAGTAGGTTGCTGCAAGAGTATCGAATGCCATTTGGCTAGAGCGAACAGACCGTCCTAAAGTACAAGTGTCGCATCAGTATTGGAGCACTATGCAGGCAATTTGGTATAGGATTGACAAGTTGAATGAACAGTTGGGATGCGGTAACAGAAGAAGAGACAAGTGTCAGCATACCAGGAGGCAACGCCATATCATTCCATCGCGGCTGGATGTTGGCATCGCGTATGAATGCAAAGAGAACATGAGAGGGTACTTGAGCAGCTTTTATCATTTCAGCTAGTAAGTATACCTGTAGAGGTCAGGTCAGGTCAGGTCAGTCACAGATTACAATGGGGACGAGTGCCACATGCCATGTTTTAGAGGGGTACGTACCTTTTCGTGCTCTGCCCATGGTGGCTCGCGTGAGGGCTCCATGTCGTGATCCTCGAGACAATCGAAATAGGCGAGAGTGGAAGACTAAAAAGCAGCTACGGCAAAATCTCGCTGTATGTATGTATGCAACCAGACAAATCGAGCATCGATCACAAGGGCCGTAAAGTAAGTGGACCGGCGCGAAGAGCAACGCGCCCTCGCGCGCGGTTGTATAGCTGCGTCTACCAACAGAACAAACGAGAGTGCTGAAACGAAAGAGTAACGAGCGGTAGAAGAAGAGCACTAAAATCAAAGAAACCTGCGGCGGGCTCTGGTTGTCGGTTTCATGCCAGCAGGCAACAAGAGCGCGTCAAAGGGACCACAGCATGAGGCTGGGTCGAGATAATTAGGAGACTGCTTTGCTTGTCAGAGATTACTGGGAAGAGCCACCCGGTATGTTATACATTAGCGGATTTTGTCGAAAACGAATGGGAAAGCGGCTAGTCTCCACTTGCAGACTGTAGCTCCCAAGGCTTCCCGCACGGGGACCGTCTAAATCAGTGCTCGTCGCAAATCGATAACAAAGCCTAGGTATGTAACAGAGATCTGGCGGCGCTTTAACCCATCTCGAAAGCCCTCAGTGGATGTTCAGAAACGATTGCGCAAACCGATGAGCCAATCGCTAGTCATCTGGGCTGAGCCGTGTCTCACCAGCCGTGGAGGGTTTAGGCTGAGACCAAAGGGCCTTTCTTCCCTTGCACCACACGTCCCTGCCTGCCTCGTTTCCCCATGCTTACTTCTGCCTGTGTTGAATTACGAAGGCTGGTCAGTACGGTATAGATGTACCGCGTTTTACGAGATAGCGGTCAGAGCAATGGTGACCGTGTGCCAGTGTGTCGCGAGGCAGCAACAGTGGTTCGCGGCGTGCGTGCAATCTGTCAAGCGCGGTTCAGCGCGGATCGTCCAGAGAGCGTCGCGCCTAATGGGGGGCAACGGAAGACGGCGCTGTAATCCCTGTCTCCAACGGTGCGATCTGTAATATCCTCCAAGGACCGGTACTAGCGAGATGGGCACCGAGAAGCACAAACGTCGCGGCTGCGCAGCTCGACTTTTTTTTGTTGGCAGCTCTTTCCTTGTGGCTGGCGGGGGGTCGTCGAGGCAAGGCTGATGCATCGACGCCTACTTGGACAGTAGCTGCTGCTATCTGCTGCATCTCTTGCATCGTATTCCGCGCGAAGCCACTTTTACTTGTCCATCGGGAGCGGGCCGCGACTCGGCATGGCCTCCAATGATCATGACAGTAAGCCAGCTGCCAGTCAGCCAGTCAGCCAGCCAGCCATATGGAGGTAGGTGGAGGAGTCCTTTTCCATGGAGCGCGGGCCTCACGTCTCAGAAGACCCAAGCCGCGTCAAGGGGGCAGGCGACCTGGTGCAGGCGGCATGGATGGCTGTCGTGCCGGCATCATGGGTGATGGGGATTTAGGAGTAGGTAGCCGTTGGGTCAGAGTTTGCGCTAGTGTGCTTGCGGAGAGATACAGCTGCTGCTCGCTTAAGTAAGCCAGTTACGGCCGTCTGCCAAGCCTCAAAGCTCCGTAATGAACTCTCCACCTTGCACTCTATCTACCACTCGAATACGTAGACACTCGCGCCCAATGCTGCTCTCTGACCACACCCATGCCATGCACAGGCCGAGCGATCGGATGGATGGCGACGACGACGCTGTCCCAGATACATTGTCAAAACACATGTACTTACCACGCACGTACGTTCATACAAATATCCGCATGTAACCTATATAGTGTGTCCGCATACAGACATGTAGTAGTATACATACGACATGCACCAAGCCAGGTGCACGCTGTCCTTTTTCTCGAGACGTCATGAGCCGCTGATCGCTGATTGCAGCCCAAGCGTGGACTCCAGTTCATCGTGGAAGCAAAATAAAAAGGCCATTCTTTCTTTTTTTCTGCCTACTATGCACAGCTGTATTGGGTTTGCGCTAGCCGTGGTCCGAGCTGTTTTCTTTTCACACAAAGCAGGTTCCCCACGGCTTCACACCACTTTCTCAGCCTTCGGAGACATCATTCGGCATCTTTTGTGATGCCCGACGGTCCTGTGGGCGCCGAGGCTATTCTGAGGCGCGCTAGGGCAACCCCATCCAATGTATTCGACATGTACATGAGTCGTCCCCAGACCCGCAAATAGCTCCCCGTGGGCCTGAATGACACTTGCCTGCATGCCTCAGCACCAATGGCACCGACACTGACGTGCAAGCCCGCCCCCATGGCCGGAGTACATTTTCCATGGCCGAGCACCCTCACTAGCGACTTCTCGTACAACGTCGAGACCTTTGTGGTGTTCGGCCATGCTTTCGTACGTCGCACCTGACGGAACGTCCATAAGTAGACCGTCGAGAGCGCCAACGGGGCCGGTGTAAGTGGCCATCTCCCTAGCGTTTGCAACAGAGCCGCTCCATGGCCTCTCCTTGCCCAACGTTGCCACGTTCTGACGACCCTTTAGAGTCTCCTCGGATTGCCAAGAAGTTGCCATTATCATGTCAACAGACTCGGTCTCCATCTGCGTGAGCAGGACCTACCTAATGCACGCTGAATTCTTTGTGCCGTTTCTTCTTTCCACATCTATTTCCTTGTGTCGGTGATATGGTTTGCGTGCGCCCAAGTAGCCGTTGCCGGCTCAGGAGCCCTGCATCCGCAAGGGCAAGGCTGAGACTGGGCGAGGTGGGACAAGCCTAGTTTTTGTTCGCCATCTCCAAAGTACCATCAGCAAACCCCCCACGTCGCGTACGGCGCCGCTCCAACACATCGTCTTCTACCCGGGCCCACCAGTTCATGCTCGCTTATACAACCAGTGCGAGTCCGCATCTGAGGAAAACACAGGACATTTGCCAACCGTGTCGGTGAGCCGAGCGCGCTCGAATCCGCGACCATACCTGCGTGCGCCGACGCCCCGAACTCGCGCGCCTTGCTGCCATCCGCACCCTCAAGAAATACATTTTTATACTATTACCAAGCTTTTTTGCTCTGCGTCTCCAGCACGCTTTGTGCGTATATAACACAAGTCAAGCCATCACATTCCGCCCTTTGTACAGGGGGGAAGTGAAGATTTGCCCCCCCCAAGCCATTGGCCCAGGTGCCCCAAGCGACCGCGTTTCGTCCTAGTAATCCGCTTTTTGCTCAGCTTCACAGGGAGGGATTTTGATATTGTCTATTACGTGCGCGTCGCTCGGACCATGAGGTGAATGAGTAGTTGTTTCTGTATGCGTGATCAGAGGTATCGAACGTTAGCGTCCCTTTTGTCCAGAACCTCGCGATCCTCTACCTGCCGCCCCCAGCATCCTCCTCCACCCCCACGACGGTCGCCAACATGTCGAGCCACGATTCGGAAAAGGACCACGCTCAATTAGAGCCTGAGCTACGCGAAATGAAGCTGGAAGGCGCGGCCTCGGACGAGGCAGGTGAGGGTCACGGCTCAAGCCAGGTAAAGGTGGAGGATGCAGACTCACTCGATCGCGCACCCACACCCCTCGCCGTTCCACCCAGGCTCAAGTCGCGATCTAAATCCCGGTCGCCTATGATCAAGCAAGAGTCTGAAGCACCCTCGCCTGGCAGCACCCACGAAGAAACCCTGGGCGGAGATATCACGTTGAAGATGGAACCCGGCAAAGCACCCAAGCTGTCGCGTACTGCAGCCCAGAAAGTCGTCGCACGGCCGCCTCCGTTGTACCTCGACCTCCCAGACTCGACCGAAGCCGCCAAAGAAACCTTCACGGTACTCACTGAATGCACGTACGCGAACAAGACTATTGGCACAACAGACCCGGCGCTCGAATGCGATTGCCAAGAGGAATACGACCCTGCGACTAGGAAAAATCATGCCTGTGGCGAAGACTCAGACTGCATCAATCGCGCCACAAAAATGGAGTGTGTGGGGGATTGCGGCTGCGGTAGGCGGTGTCAGAACCAACGCTTCCAGCGCAAACAGTACGCCAATGTCGCCGTCATCAAGACGGAGAAAAAAGGGTTTGGACTGCGTGCCAACAAAGACATGGCACCAGGCGAATTTGTCTTCGAGTACATTGGCGAAGTTATTGACGAACGCACCTTTCGTCGGCGCATGGGCCAGTACGATGAGGAGGGAATCAAGCACTTCTACTTCATGTCGTTGACCAAGGGCGAGTTTGTAGACGCTACCAAGAAGGGCAACCTTGGCCGGTTCTGCAATCACTCATGTAATCCCAACTGCTTCGTCGACAAATGGGTTGTCGGGGACAAGCTACGCATGGGCATCTTCGTCGAGCGACAGGTCAAAGCCGGTGAAGAACTCGTCTTTAACTACAATGTGGACCGATACGGCGCGGACCCGCAACCTTGTTACTGCGGTGAACCCAACTGCAGTGGTTTTATTGGCGGAAAGACACAGTCTGACAACGCGACAAAGTTGTCCACTGACATGATCCAGGCTCTTGGCATTGATGATGGTGCTGCCTGGGACACAGCGGTTGTTGCCAAGAAACCCCGCAGAAAGAAGGCGAGCGAGGATGATGAGGAATACGTCAATGATCTGCAGCCAAAGGAACTCGATGAGGATGGAGTCAAGAAAATCGTACCTGCTCTGCGCCAGTGCACCGAAAAATGGATTGCTGTTAAGCTGCTCAGCCGCATGCAGAATAGCAGCGAGAGGGTTGGCCATCGCATTGTTCAGTTTCATGGCTACCAGACACTTAAGAAGACGTTAAAAATATGGAAGGAGGACGCTAATGTAGTGCTGCAAGTTCTTGACATCCTCCAAAGACTACCACGAATCACTCGCAACAAGATTCAGGAATCTGGCATTGAAGAAGCGGTCGCTGAACTAAACGGTTATGGCGATGAGCGGGTCGAGACTCTAGCTACAGAACTTCTTAATGCATGGAGCAAGCTGGAGGTTGCGTACAGGATACCTCGCATAAAGAGGGATCCAAATGCCTCCACACCTGTCCGAACCGAAAACCACTTCGAGCGGCGTGAGCGAGGTAGGGAGCGATCGAGGTCTAGATCTAAGTCACCGTCTGCAGTCGCGCCGAAAGGGCCATCTGCTACGAACATCCCTTCAGGCCCTCGCGCCTTGAATGCACCCCGCGGTCCGGCCAATTTCTTTCCTGCTGCCCGACCAGCTAATCGGCCTCGGCCGCCAAACAGTCTTCCTCCGGGTTGGTTTCAAGCTACTGCAGAGAATGGATCGACATACTTTTACAACTCCTCAGGCGTCACACAATGGCAGCGCCCCACCCAGGCTGTCAACGCACCACCCCAACAGAACAAAGCCAAGAGCGACACTCAGATGCTTCAAGACATCATATCGCGCATTACCTCAACAGAAACCCCCACTGGGAACTCTGCGTCCACCACTCCGCAGCCTGTCCCTGACGAACTCAGAGAGCCGGCACTGCGCGATGAAAAATGGCGAAGTCTACCGATAGAGAAGCAAGAAAAGATATACGAGGCGACCGTGAGTACATTGATTTGATACGCAGTGTGTAACTGACATTTATAGCTCTCACCTCACGTCATGGCTGTAACGTCATCTTACCGGAAGAAATTCGAAAAGGAGGAAGTCAAACGACTCAGCAAAGAGGTAGAGTGCTCTCTTTGATGTCTATTATATCGGCTTGCTAATCGTACTGGCAGGTGGCAAAGAAGCTCGTACGCGGTGACTACAAATCTGGGCGTGTCAAGGACCCGACGGCTAAGATTAGCTCGAACCACGAGAAAACAGTGCGGAAATATGTCAAAGAGTTTATGGAAAAGGCTGTCAAGAAGAAGGACGAACGGCAGAAGATCAAGACGCCACAGAATGATACCATCCGTGGCACTTCTCATAGCCTGGCAGCCACGGTTGACGAGGCCTCTCTTTCCGACTCTGCCTCTGAATTGAAGCGCAAGAGAGAAGAAGAGGGTCGATTTGGCTCACCGAAGAGAACACGGACAAGCTCTGAAACCCCACAACCCGCGCCTCCACCGCCTCCACCACCACTTGAGTCCACCGAAGATGCAGAGTCCAGCCTTACACCCATGGATGAAACCCCCACAGCCTCGTTTCCAGACGCTGCTGATAGCCTGCCCAATGGAGTAAAGGCCACTCTTCAACTTGGTGATTGTGGCAGTCCGATGCAGCTTGCGACGCCTCCCACAAACAGCTTCATTGATCAGAAGCAGCCTCTTGTAAACGGCAGTAACGGTAAGCACACTCAGTAGCCCGCTCTGGGTAGTCTTTTTTTCGATTTCTATGTTGCTTGCGCTTTTTTTTTTATCTTTTTGTAATCAGTTCGAGATCAAAACATACTAGGCCGAGAAGGTTTCGGTTGCATAAGCATATCAAAAGGCGTTGGGCGGTTGGAAAGAACTCGCTGAAGTGGTTCTGTGGGTTTGCTGCGTTTTGGACCGGCTATCGACTGCATGGAAGGCGGAAGGGGCATGGAGTTTTTTTCGTGACAAAAGTCGTCAAAAACTTGCTAATTCCATGGTACTACTTTTCTTTGCGCTCGTGGAATATGGGACGGGCTGAAAACTTCCACTCGTGTCACTGGTACTCATGGGTCAAACGAGGTGGGCCGATAGGTTGGGTATATGAAAACATTTTAATTGTACGTTCCGATTGCTACATGTATGTTGAGGGGATGGTACAATTTTTCGGAAAATCGGTAATTGATAGTGACTCCATGATGTAACAGAATGCCTCTTAGTACATTTCTTTGTGTCATGGCTACCCTAACAACCACCCTATTACCCCACCGTGAACCGACATTTGGCGTACTGACCCTTGGTACATGGCAGCCTATAATCAGTTACTCCTCCTTGTACCATGGCCCCTTCTGAACTGTCGTATCATGCCGTTGCGTGTCGGATGCATACCCAGACTCGACTTTGTGGAATCTTGACATACGTAGGGCGGAACAAGACATACAGAACCGACACACGTGGTTTGCTGACAACAACTAACTACCCCGCGCCAGTAACTCTCCGAGCGTGACACTGCCGTGGCGTACGAGGCGTCTGCGGCGTGTATCGGATCGGATTGCCAAATTTATCATCTGGAAGGGGTTTAGTCGAGGGTTCAAAACGTACACTAGAACTCAGAGGCTCACTTGGTCAAGCTTATGCGGGGATACGTAGAGCCGGCTGCCCAAGTAGCTCTATCAGTGGCACCGAGAGATTGCTGGTATAAAAGGCGGTGGCGCTCTTCGCGAGGGATGTTTCTGGGTTTGATTCTAGTATTCTTCTTCAATAGTGGAATAGTATTCAAGATCTCTCTTTCTCTGGATTGTGCCATTGCAAGACGGCCCGCAGACACCTCTTGATTGGCGTCGCGTCGCCCCGCACCTCAACTGTGCATCCCGGACATCTTCTTTGAAACCACATTTGCACGCTGCATACGCCGACAGCTGTATACACAATGGCTCCTCTTCTTCGTACTGCCGGCCGTTCGCGGACGATCCTTCCTCGTGTGAATTCTCACACGGCCTCAAGGGTACCAATGGCACTCAACAGACGATATGCTACCGCAGCCGCCGCGGTCGCTACAGATAGCGGAGAGCAGTCATTCTTCCCCGACGAGCCCAAGCTGCCAATTGTGAAGACACAGATCCCTGGGCCAAACAGTCAAAAGGCTATTGAGAAGCTCGGCAAGGTGTTTGATATTCGAAGCTTGAACATGATGGCCGATTATTCACGCAGCTACGGCAACTAGTATGTTTCTCTACGCTTGAACTTGAGGGTGATTAAACTAACTTTTGACAGTATTGCCGACCTTGATGGTAATGTCCTTCTCGATGTATATGCCCAGATTGCCTCTATCCCAGTCGGCTACAACAACCCTTCTCTTCTTCTCGCAGCCACCTCCCCAGAAATGGCCTCAGCCATCATCAACCGACCCGCCCTCGGAAACTTCCCTCAGCACGATTGGGCCGACATCCTTGAAAGCGGCATTCTCTCCGTAGCACCCAAAGGCCTCAACCAAGTCTTCACCGCACAAGCCGGTTCTGACGCCAACGAGCTCGCCTACAAAGCAGCCTTCATGTGGAAGCGCCAGCAACAACGAGGCGGCGCCGACGCCGACTTCTCCGCCGAAGATATCGCCTCCTCCATGAACAACAAATCACCCGGCGCCCCCAACATGTCGATTCTCTCCTTCAAAACCGGGTTCCACGGCCGCCTCTTCGGCAGTCTCTCCACGACGCGCTCAAAGCCCATCCACAAACTCGACATTCCCGCCTTTGACTGGCCGCAAGCCCCCTTCCCTCAGCTCAAGTACCCGCTGGCTGAGCACGAGGCTGAGAACAGAAAAGAAGAGCAAAGATGCCTAGACGAAACAGAGGAGCTACTAGCAAACTACCACAACAAGCCCGTCGCCGCCGTCGTCGAGCCCGTCCAATCCGAAGGCGGCGACAACCACGCCACCCCTTTCTTCTTCCAAGGGCTCCGCGAAATCACAAAGAAACACAACGTCCTCCTCATCGTCGACGAAGTCCAGACCGGCGTCGGTGCAACCGGCAAGTTCTGGGCCCACGAGCACTGGGGTCTCTCGTCTGCCCCCGATATCGTCACTTTCTCCAAGAAAGCCCAGACGGCAGGCTACTACTTCGGCAACGACGAGTTGCGGCCCAATAAGCCGTACCGCCAGTTCAACACGTGGATGGGTGATCCCGCGCGCGCCATCTTGTTCCGCGCCATCATCCAGGAGATTCAGAGGTTGGATCTCGTCAGTAGTACGGCTGCCACGGGCGATTACCTTTTTGCGGGCTTGCAGAGGCTCGCGGAGAAGTACCCGAGTGAAATCCAGAATCTGCGCGGAAAGGGCCAGGGCACTTTTATTGCGTTTGATAGTGCTAGGAGGGATGAGGTGCTGAAGAAGGCCAAGGGCCAAGGGGTCAATATTGGGGGTTCCGGAGAGAGGGCGGTAAGGTTACGGCCCATGCTTATTTTCCAGAAGCAGCATGCGGATTTGTTGCTTGAGAGGTTGGAGAATGTGTTTAGGGAGTAGATGTTGTAGGCAAGGGTGTATGGAGGATTTCGTGAGCAAGGTGTTTTGGGCGTTTTTGCCTTTGGGGTTATCAAGAGTCAAGTTGGCACCATTTTGTTTATTTTGTAGTTTTGCATGAGAAAATAATGTTTGGACTAGTTGACAGTTGGTATCGTTTCCCATTTCTTGCATGCTGTATCTGGGTCAGTGTTTCTTATCAGAGTATATTTGTAAGCGCCAGCCTTCCTCTCTTTTACCAAGGTCGCTTGACTCTTCCGCCACTTGGTTTTATCCGAAGCTTTCAGATTATACATTCTGCTCTTTTTCTCTCTCTTGCGAACAGATTCTCCATCTTTACCTTTCTACGAAGAAGAGAGAAAGAAAGAAAGATGGCTCAGCTCGCCCCAGCCAGCCTCCAACAGACATTCACCAACGCCGCAGTAGCACTGAGATGGGCAAATGACCTCGGCACCGCCAAATTACCCACATATGCCGGGTAGTGCACCATGAGTTTTGCCATGACGTGGAAGCCAAGCAGGTTGACAATCTGAGCATCGTTGGGCGCCATAATCTGAGCTAGAGCCGCCGCGAGAGCGAATGCTGTCATCCCACTTGTATCAGCAACTAAACATCAATCTCGGTAATCAAATCCACCAGGGATTTGGGAATGGAGAGATGGGGCAGAGGAAAGGAAAACCTACCGGGAAAATTCTCCAGAAGAGCATAATGCGCACTGCGTAGTCTAAGTGGCAGACCCTCTAGCTGGTGCACGTGCTTTCTCGGGTGGTTGTTGTCCATGCCCTCGCGGCGGCCCATTGCTTGGCCTGCGGCGGAGAGGGCACCCGACGCACCGAAAGTCCAGAAGAGGTAGAGAGTGGAAAGCGCGGGGATGGCGCGACCTGAAGTTATGCCCGTAGTCTTTTTTGGTTGATTTAGCCTATGTTGGTTGTATGTGTGTGTGAGGGTTTTGGAAGAGGGCACTTACGTTGATTCCGGGGAGGAGCTTGATGATTGCGTGGACGAGGGATTGGCATATACTCTCTGGGGCGGTGAGGTAGGTACTTTGGCTGCTCGTTAGAATTTCGGCGTTGGATGTGGGTGGCATTGTGTGCGTGGTACGTACGTGACAGGAACCAGGGCGATGTACATGGGCGCTGCAGCCATTACCATTACTCCCGAGGGGTTGAGACTGCGATTGCGTGCGTTAGTGGGTGTTTGTAGTGATTCTGTCCGTACCTCGTGTTTCCCGTTGTTGTCGATCAAATCTGATATGTGAAGAACAGAAGAATAGAAATACTCACATGCCATTGTCAGCGGCCGCCTGCTTTGCCTGCTCTTTCTTGTCGTCTGCCATATTTGTCTCTTCTTGTGCTCACGTCGATCTACAGTCTGGTTGTAGAAGATAGGTCTAGACTTGTGTATGTGGAAAAAAGAGAAGAAGAACCCTATCAAGTCCCGAGGGGTGAAAATAACGCACCCGTCTAACGAAGAAGGTGAATACTACCGTTGTGAAGCGGGTATTAGGTCAGTAGAGGGAAGTGAGGCCGACTATATACAAAGAAGACAAAGGCGCCATTATTCACTGGCACTTGTGTGGCCGATTATCGATGACGTGTTGGCCATTCTCATCCCACCCTCACGGCGTATATAGAGGCCGAGAGGAAGGGTCGTGTGTGTCAAGCGTCGGGGGCTATATCCTTGGCTGGTTCATTGGCCGGGGGTGGGGTTGCTGGTGCCGGGTTTAGATGAGGCAGCGTGGCTGGGGTCTGGACTAGGTCCGATGCCTATCTGCGGGGTTCCATCACGTCCGAAGTCGTACGAAAAGAGCATGCTTGGTGAAGAGTATTTGGAAGCGCTAGACAATTACGTTTGCAGCTGTCCTGTTTGGTACATGTGGCAGCCTTGCTTGACGTTAATTTCCACCATATTGAGGCGTTTTAATGCAGACTGTCCATGTGCGGGTGTCTGCAGATCCCATCTGCACTCATGAGGTGGGCGCGCTACCATCGTGGTCTAGCCCCGCTTATTAGTCTTGTCATTCGATGTACCAGCAGCAGATCAGGTGTTAATAGCGAGCAAACAGAAGGGCTGTGTAGCACGACGTATTAGGTTAGCCATGTCAGAGCTGAACATGGCATTGTTTGAAGATCGTATTTCAAGCCTCTGGCCAAACCAGATGGCAATCACTAAACTGTATATTTTAGGTCCCTGTCGATCCACGCTTTTCCCTTCTGCCTCGCGACAAACAACGGGTGGAAAACCTAGTTTTCTTCCCAAGTCAGGTTAAAACGTCCGGGCGCATTCTCGTACTCGTTCAAGCATGTAATGACCTCGTCAGCTGTGAGAGCCTCGGACAGAATTCCAGCGTTGGTAGGCGCAATGAAGCCGCTCTTGACGGCATTCTTGACCCACTCAATCAGTCCAGTCCAGTATCCATCGACGTTGAAGACAATGACTGGCATGCTGTGAATGCCCAATTGGTTCCACGTTGTAATCTCCATGAGCTCTTCAAACGTTCCGTAGCCGCCTGATAGGGCCACGAAGCCGCCACCAGGGCCTCCCTTGATGACCTCCTGAGCCATCATTTGCTTTCGTGTGTGCATGTCCTTGACAACCGTGGTACGTCCGTATATGGATTCATCGATGGTGTGCTTGTCGGGATCGGCAGGGTCGTGGTTCTGCTCGAGGCGGGTGAGGGCAGCGGGGATGATGCCGTGGACGCTGTCAGGGCCTGAGAGCGAGACGAGGGTACGTGCTACTTCTCCCATGAGACCTACAGTGCCACCGCCGTAGACGAGCTTGGTGTTTGCCTTGTGCAGGGCGGTTGCAAGAGCCCGGGCAGCTTCCATGTGCACGGGTGATGTGCCGGTCGAGGCGCCACAACTATGGCAGTTAGCATGTGAGCAGAGGAAGGAAAAAGGCCAATTTGCACATACAAGACGCAGACGACGGGCTGCTTGGGGGCGTCGTTAGTAGTTGTCATGTTGTGAAGACGATGTTCGTATGTATTCGGAACAGGCTCGGAACAAAATGTGCCAGAGAAAATGGATGACGGTATGCTACTAGTACGACAAGATTGAAGCAGGCAGTGCTAATAAGTGATTGTAATTGGGCGTTGCCAAGTCCAAGCGAGAGAAGGAAAAGCAGACAAAGGACCGGAACGTCGTCGACTCATACATACATACATATCCACACACACACACAATAGGCAGCAGACGCAGGGCCTGTAGCATGCGCAGTTCGGTCAGCCGCATTGCGTCACCCCAGCCTAAGTAAGTATTGCTATGCCGGCATGCCGCCCGCCCATGTGGCTAGACCCTGACACTACCAGCCCGTCTTGGCCCGCCCCAGTTCCTCCGCCCGCTTTGCCAGGCCATCTGTTCTCACATCGCGTCTCCACGTCTCTTCTTTTTGGCTTCCTGGACACCAATCTGCTCAAGCCGGAATTCCAATTCCGCACGCTGCCATCATGCCAGAGGCACAAGCAGCCGCCCAGGCGCCCGAGCAGGGCAAGAGCGCAAGTTGCCCCAACGCCCCATCTGTGCTGCAATGTATACTAACAAAGCTCGTAGCTCCTTACCTCCATTGCCCAGAGCGTCGGCATCTTCATGCTTGTCCAAGGTGGGATGAAATACCTCATGCCACAGGCCCAACAGACTGCGCCCTCCGCCGCCGACCCATCCCAACCCGGAGCAGTCGCCCAACCATCTGGCAATGTGGTGATACCCGCCTGGGAACAGCGTCCCCAATCTCTCGCACCAGGCGTTCAATGGAGCCACATACCCTATGCCGTTGCACCCATGTGGCCTGTTGGCACTGAGATGGACATTGCCATGTACATCTCAGCCTCCGTCGCCATGCCGCCGCTCAAGTCCATGCCTAAAGAGTCGCTCTTGATTCACGAGAAGAACTTCAAGTATGGAGATTACAGCGAGAACAGAGAAATAGACCTTGAGTTCAAAGTGCCCAAGGAGGTGCAGCTCAACGCGACGCTCCTTGCTCACTTCTACGTGGCGCAGAGCGGCAACGTGCTTGATCCCACGCAACCAGGCTACGACACCGAAAAGGCTTACCACTTCATTCGACCCTTGTCGCAGTATCAACCCAAGAAGAAGATTGCAAAGACGAGGAACTTGCTAAGTGATATGCCTGAGAAAAGCGAGATCGAGACGGAAGAGGAGAAGAAAGCGCCCAAGATTATAGCTAACTACTACCACCCCAACTTCACCGTGTCCCTCATCCCCGACTCAGGCACTATGCAGTTCGCCAGTATGCATCCTGGCCCCCGAAAGTATATTACTCTTGAAGCGACCGGTGCGCGAGATGAGACGGGTCAGCACGGCTGGTACTACCCCATTGTCTTTACAAACACGTTTTGGCAGCTCAAAAAGGACATGATTGAGCTCAACGAAACCGTCACTACCATTCCACTTCACGTAAAGCTCAACAACTATGCTCACTGGAAATTCAACATCTTCGCCTCTGTTGACGAGAACCTCAATGCCAATGCCCGAGCTGCGGCCGCTGGGCAGTCTACACCTGGAGGTGGCGACGGCTCCGAGATGGAAATGTTCAAGGAAATCATCATTGATAGTAACTCGTACCTCCTTGCCGTCACCGCCATTGTTTCCGTCCTCCACATGATCTTCGAGATGCTCGCCTTCAAGAACGACGTGCAGCACTGGCGCAAGAAAAAGGACAACGTTGGCACCTCTGTCCGCACCATCCTCGCAAACGTCGTCATGCAAGCCATCATCTTCCTCTACCTCATTGACAACAATGAAAACACCTCATACATGATCCTCTTTGGCCAAGGCATGGGCATGGCCATTGAAGCCTGGAAAATCACAAAATCCGTAAACGTCCGCGTCCGCCCTACAGCCCCCGGTTCCCTCCTCCCTTACACCGTCGTCTTCGAAGACAAGCACGTGCTCTCTGAGACAGAAAAGAAGACGGAGGAATACGACGCCATCGCCTTCAAATACCTCTACATGGTCGCCATCCCGCTTCTAGTCGCTTACGCAATCTACTCCCTCATGTACGAATCCCACAAGTCATGGTACTCCTTCATCATCACCACGCTTGTCGGCTCCGTCTACGCATACGGCTTCCTCATGATGGTCCCCGCGCTCTACATCAACTACAGACTTCAGTCCGTAGCCCACATGCCCGGCCGCGCAATGACGTACAAGTTCCTCAACACTTTCATCGATGACCTGTTCGCCTTCACCATCAAGATGCCTACGCTGCATCGCCTTGCCACGCTCCGTGACGATGTCATTTTCTTTGTGTATTTGTTTCAGACATGGAAGTACAAGGTCGATTACAATCGTGTTAATGAGTTTGGACAGGGTGGTGATGACGAGGAGGTCGAGGAGAAGGATGCGAATAAGCCGCTTGCTGCGCATCCTGATGGCGATAAATCGTTGAAGGTGCCGGATGCACAGAATATGGAGGACGTGGCTAAGGAGAAGGAGCAGGCGGCTGCCACAGGCAGTGAGAAGAAGGGTAAAGCGACCAAGAGGAAGTAAGGAGACTGTCAAGATACTGTTTTTTGTTTACCCTTTTTTTGTCGTTGCTCAAGGAGGAATTCACGGTAAAACCCTTTGTTTCCATCATGTTGTAATCATTAAAAGGTTCACATGGAATACATTGCGATGCCCGTTATTTCTTCGATTACACATCAACATGTAATTGCACATGACATTATCAATTAGCAATACTATACACAGGACCACTCTTTCTTCAAGTATACACGAAGCAAACAAAACTACCTTGTTTACATAGCAAGAAAAAAGTGTTTCGCAAGAGCTGCCACAACGCCTTGCAATGCTTTGAACATATGCCGAAAGCGAAAAAGAGTTTTGTTTTCCTCCCTCTCCGTCCCACTGCTAGAGACTTGATACGTATAAAAGTCGAGAAAAGAGCCCCCAAAAAAGGAATCCACGCATATGCATATCGGGAATTAATCAATGAGACAGTATCATGAAAAGCCGGGGAGCTGGAAGCCGAACCCAGGTACGGCCGGCGGAACTGCAACACCCTGATCAGCTCTAGGCGACACATGGCGGGGATCATTAGCGTTTCCTCGGTCGTGTTTGCGGAACTTGTGTTGGGCGGCATTCTCAGGCCCGGGGCGTGCACCGCCAAAGTTGTTTGGTGCAGCATCGGCGCGCTCATTCAAGTTCTCACGTCCGTTAGAGTTGCCACGTCCAGCATGGTTGTCTCCACGAGCACCGTAGCCCCCACGCCCACTGCGAGGGGCATCGGTTGGCACACGTCGGCTGATGGCTGCGATTTTGTTAGCGGTAACTCCCCCGTGCGAGAGAAGACAGGCATACCCTTGGAAGAAACACCAGCCCCAATCTCGATATCCGGCTCTTCGATTACCATGCCACCTTCGAGAGCACGACCGCCAGTTCCGCCATACTCAGCGGTCAGTGCCCATTTACGATCAGCCTCAGTAAGCCGGGAAATGGGAATCACACTGATGCCCGTCTGGTAGTCACTGCAATCACGAGGACCAAATCCGACACCCCATCGCGTCTGCACCCATCAGTCATGTACACGATTAGAAGAATACCATCCTTACCTGGCGCGCTTTGGACTGTGCAACAGGATCATTCAGGCTGTCCATGCCCTGCTTGGCAGCAAGAGCATCGGGGCGGGTCAACATCTTGACAAAGGCATGTCGCTTATCTTGGTTGACAATGCACGTTTGGACCCTACCAAAGCGAGAAAAGATGCTCCGAATCTCACTTTCTGTTCCGCCAGCACCGCCTACAAACAATGTACGACTAAGCACTCTGATATTATCGCGTGGAAGGGTCTCATCCCAATCAATATACTTGGACTGGCCATATGCCGCTGCCCTAGGCGGGCTTGGCTGTCGTCGCGGTGGCGAGCGTTGCCGATATTCACTACGATCATTACGTCCTCCTTTTTGTTTGCCGCGGCTACGACCGCGCTCACCTCGCTCAAAGCGTTGCGAATTGCCTTCAGGGCCTGCATTTGGGTCGTAAACACCATATGTTGGGCTCTCCCGACGATTGGGGTTGGGAGGTGACCTATCCCCAGGCGACCGTCGACGTTGAAAGCCAGGAGATCGGCTGCGGTCTCGCATTCTACTGTCTGTCTGATCATACCGATCTGTTTGGTTACCGTTGATTACAATTGACTGCCCTTGTGGGGGTGTCTGTGTGGCCACTGGAGGATGCAAAGGCAACATTGGCAGTCCACCATTCTGAGCTGTGGCTAATGCGTTCAACACTTGTATTGCCTGATCGGGTTGGATTGAACCAGCACTCATGGCCTGTAAAATTTGTCCTGCGAGTTCATTCATTCCAGCAGGTGGGACAGGCAAACCGGGCTGTCCTGTTGTTACAGCAGGCGGTGGAGGCACGAAACCAGGAGGTGGAGGTGGCAATACGTTCTGTTGGAAAGGAAACGCAAGAGGTGCTGCAGGTGGAGCATTAGTAGGTATATTCTGCTGGCTAATGCCGGCGAGGGCAGCAAACAGAGCATTAGTGTCTTGTGATGGTTGCGCCGGAGGTGGCGGGGCAAGTGGCTGTGGGTTAGCAGTCTGTCCGTTGAAGGCTGGGGCTATGCCATTGCTCTTCGGTGGCTCTACAGGTAATGGAACGCCTGAGTTACCGTGCGTTAGCTGGAGAAAAGGCAACGCGTAGGCCTCTACCTACTATTGTGACCACCATTCAGTTGCTGTTTGAAGGAGGCCAGCATGTCGTGTGGAAACGTCTGCCCACGCTCCCAGATGTCTATAAGCTTGGAAATCTTCTCCTTTTGAGTCTCTGGCGCAGACTGGATGAGGTTCATCATCATGGCGGGTAGCACATCTCGCATCATCTGCACTCCTGAAGCATATGTTCCTGGAACAGCATTCTTGGACACGGTCTGGCCGGCCTGCTTAGCCCTCTCTACCCACTGGCGGGCGACTGCATCTACGACGTATAGCACTCCTAGCTTATGTGTGACGGCGCTGTTTTGAAGCTGCTGAGCGATCTTCTGGACGATGACGGGGTGGGACTACATGTGAGTTCAAGTCCTTAGTATCATGACCAAAACGCGCAGAGGTTGTGGACAAGGTCCTTGCGATTGGCATACCTGAATGTTGTCAACGCACAGTTGCGTGATAGTTTTGATCTTGGTGGGTGTGACCCCAGGCGGCTTGAGCGCCTGGAGGGATTGCAATTGTGTGCCTAGTTCGTCCATGGCTGCCATGACTATGTTCAATGTGCCAGATCAGAGATTTGAAGCGAAAGGAAAAGACGGCCCTTGGCAATGCACCACGGGGCCAAAGCGTGGAGTGAGAGAACCGAGATGGCAAACACGCAGCAGACTTTACTTGAAACCCACAAGACGCGAGCCGAAGCAAGAAGATCTAGGCAGTAGAGTACTGTACGAAGACTGTAGGCGAAAGGAGCGCTGAGCTGTCTCCTGACGCGGATGAGGCGAGCTGCTGGCCCAGTCAACCAAGGACGCGAGCGCGCAGTAGAGAATTGGCTGCGCAAGCGATGTCACCACGAAGCGCAATAGTCGCAGCAAGCCAGAGAGTCAATGGAAGCAGTGTGAATGGGCCGCGAGAGATGGTGGTGGTCTACGTCAAGGGCGCAGTTGCAGAGGTAAGCAGAACGTGAGACGAGTCGGCAAGTTTGCCAGAGCCACGCTAACAGGGCACGTGACATGACCTCGGCCAAGCAAACGCATGTCTTGACGAGCCCTGCAGCGAGAGATGCAAGCAGGATGCCAGCAGGACGCACGCCTGCCTCGGGCCTTGGGGCATTTTGGACGAGTTGCCTTTTTGGCGTTGCAGTAAGCAGTCCTCGACTCCGGCTCTTTGCCCGGCCCAGGCATTGGAGGGCTCTGCCGACGCCATTTTCTTATTCTGGGCCTAGCACTCGATACTTTCTACCTACATACATACCTAGGTGCCTGTCCTGGGACACGGCTCGCGGCCACAGGCGCCCATGCTGCTTGTCCACCGCCAAGGCAAGAAAACCAAGTGGCTCTTGTGTAACACAGGCCGCCTGCGCAAGCCCGACAAAAGAGTTGGTGCGCTAGGATGCGTGTTCCTGACATGGAGTAATTGTTGAACACCGGAAAAGAGGGACCTCCGAACGATGCCCGCGCGGGTGGGATTCGTTTGGCCATGGCGGCATGGGTGTGCAGCCATGACGAGACCGTGCTGAGCTCCACCAGTATTTTCTTGCAACCTTCCGACGCAACCTTTTTAACTCCCTCCCGCCCATCCGACTTCTCATCATCCTTTACACTTCATCACAATGGCATCTGCTCTGCGTTTGTCAAGCGCTTTCCGCGCCGCCACCCCCCTGCGGACCACAGCCTTCAATGGCCTCCGCTTCTACTCCAGCAAGACTACGGTAGGCCCTCTGCAGCCGTCTTTGAAGCCAATGCACCTGCTTACCCATCCAATTGCAGTCGCTGAAGGAGACCTTCGCCAACAAGCTGCCCGGCGAGATCGAGAAGATCAAGAAGCTCCGCAAGTGCGTTTTTGCCAAAGCCGTATCCACCCCACTACCAGACTGACATCATAATCCAGGGAGCACGGCAACAAGGTCATCGGCGAGGTCACCCTTGACCAGGTCTACGGCGGTGCCCGTGGCATCAAGTCCCTCGTCTGGGAAGGTTCCGTCCTCGACTCCGAGGAGGGCATCCGTTTCCGTGGCAAGACTGTACGTGGTGACATTTTCATCCCGGCGCACACAGATGCAGCGCTAACACGCAACAGATCCCCGAGTGCCAGCAACTCCTGCCCAAGGCCCCTGGTGGCCAGGAGCCTCTCCCAGAAGGTCTCTTCTGGCTTCTTCTGACCGGCGAGGTCCCCTCTGAGCAGCAGGTCCGCGACCTCTCTGCTGAGTGGGCTGCCCGCTCCGATGTCCCCAAGTTCGTTGAGGAGCTCATTGACCGCTGCCCAAGCGACCTCCACCCCATGGCCCAGTTCTCCCTCGCCGTCACTGCTCTCGAGCACGAGTCCAACTTCGCAAAGGCCTACGCCAAGGGCATGCACAAGTCGCAATACTGGGAGCACACCTTCGAGGACTCCATGGACCTCATTGCCAAGCTTCCCACCATCGCCGCAAAGATCTACCGTAACATCTACAAGGACGGCAAGGTCGCTCCCATCCAGAAGGACAAGGACTACTCGTTCAACCTGGCCCACCAGCTCGGTTTCTCCGAGAACAAGGACTTTGTTGAGCTGATGCGCCTGTATCTCACTATCCACACTGACCACGAGGGTGGTAACGTCAGCGCCCACACCACCCACTTGGTCGGATCCGCTCTCAGCTCTCCCTACCTTTCTTTGGCCGCTGGTCTGAACGGTCTTGCTGGTCCTCTTCACGGACTGGCTAACCAGGAGGTTCTCGTCTGGCTCCAGAAGATGAAGAAGGCTATTGGTAACGACCTCAGCGACCAGGCCATCAAGGACTACCTCTGGTCTACCCTCAAGGCTGGCCAGGTCGTTCCCGGTTACGGCCACGCTGTTCTCCGCAAGACTGACCCCCGCTACGTCTCCCAGCGCGAGTTCGCCCAGAAGCACCTGCCCGACGACCCCATGTTCAAGCTCGTCAGCCAGGTCTACAAGATCGCCCCCGGCGTCCTCACCGAGCACGGCAAGACCAAGAACCCCTACCCCAACGTCGACGCCCACTCTGGTGTCCTCCTCCAGTACTACGGCCTTACCGAGCAGAACTACTACACCGTCCTCTTCGGTGTCTCCCGTGCGCTCGGAGTTCTTCCCCAGCTCATCATTGACCGCGCCGTCGGCGCCCCCATTGAGAGGCCCAAGTCCTTCAGCACTGAGGCCTATGCTAAGCTGGTTGGCGCTCAGCTGTAAGCACGTTATTACGTCGTGTTTTAGAGTCTTGAAAATGTGGAGGAGTTTACTGGAGATTCAGAGATACCTAGTCCCTTGTAAATTATGAAATGTAAAGATATGAAAGGAAGCGCCATGGCGCCATCGCACCTCACTCACTCATTTCCTAGTGAGCGGCCTGCTGCAATGCTACGCCTTTGATGAAGACATATTTAATCCCCGTAGCGTCCTATTTCCTACGAGCATATTGACTGTAACGTGGGATAGGCCGCGGAGGTACTCCAAAAGCACCGAAAGCACCAAACCCATCCAATGAGAGCAGAGCAAAAAGCAGCCTAAGAAGAAAACTAACCGGAACACCGGGGTACACCCGCGGCCTTGGAGTTTCTCGCTGAGCGATGGGGAACCGATACGGACTGTTGGGCTGAGCCAGCCACGTACGGAATCCGATAGCCGATGGCGACATGTTGCACCGTGTTCAGGTGCAATGGTGCTAGATTTTGCAGCAAAGTGAAAAGGAGAAATTGAATTCAAGGGATCAACCTGGCGCAGTGGGTGCTCGACGCCGCAAAAGTAAATCCACCCCTCTCTCGGCAAGGCGGGCGTGGAAAGGGTCAAAGACGGGTGGGATCGCTCGTGCGCCAAGAACCCGATAGCTTCAGGAACACCCCCAGTTATAGCGCCGGTCGGCGGTCAACAAGCAACACAGACCACCTTGCAAGTTCATATCATCTTTTTTCATGCTGCGCTTTCATCTCTTTTTCTACACACTTGACATTACTCATATTTGCGACGGAGCACCCTTTTGCCTTGGTCAGGCCCCATATCTTCGACAACAAACCCCCAGAGAATGAGTTCCAAGCCCATAACCGGCACGCCTGGCGTTGCCAGCGCTGCGCCAAAACTCGAGAAGAAGCCGATCAAGTTTAGCAATTTGTTGCGTGAGTTTTCCAGGGCGCATTGTCGTCTGTAAACGTATGCTGATTGTAGCCCACAGTCGGTGCTGGTCTCAACATGTTCGAGTGAGTACACAGCCCACCTTGATGTCAGGCTTCGCCGAATCTTTACTGACTGGACCTCAGAGTAACAACTCTGGGACAGGTATGCAGCCTCCGACCGTATCTCGAAATAAGACGACGCTGACAATTGAGCATAGCCGTTGGAGGTCGTCAAAACCACAATGGCTGCCAACAGGTCTGAAGGTTTCTCGGGTGCCATTGGCCGCATTTGGGCTCGTGGAGGTGTTTTTGGCTGTTAGTCTTCACACCACAATTGGACTCGCTCACTATCTGACAAGCATGATTTCTAGTCTACCAGGGTCTCATTCCGTGGGCCTGGATCGAAGCCTCCACCAAGGGAGCCGTCCTCCTGTTCGTTGCTTCGGAAGCCGAATACTACGCTAAGTCGTTTGGTGCGCCCGACTTTCTCGCCGGTATCACAGGAGGAATGACGGGTGGTCTTGCTCAGGCTTATGCCACTATGGGCTTCTGCACTTGCATGAAGACAGTCGAGATTACAAAACACAAGGTCGCTGCCACTGGCGCAAAGCCCCCGGGTACTTTGGAAACCTTCATGCAGATCTGGCGCACTGAGGGTATCCGTGGTATTAACCGTGGTGTCAATGCCGTCGCAGTACGCCAGGTAACTAACTGGGGTTCCCGCTTTGGTCTGTCCCGTGTCGCCGAGACTGGTATCCGAAAGGTTACCAACAAGGAGCATGGCGAGAAGCTGAGCGTAGTTGAGAAGATCACCGCCTCAGCTCTCGGTGGTGGTTTGAGCGCGTGGAACCAGCCCATTGAGGTTATCCGCGTGGAGCTCCAGTCCAAGACTGTTGACCCCAACCGGCCCAAGAACCTGAATGTTGCCTCGGCGTTCAAGTACATCTACTCGAACAATGGTATCAGGGGTCTTTACCGTGGTGTTACTCCCCGAATCGGACTTGGCGTTTGGCAGACGGTTTGCATGGTTGCTTTGGGTGATGTGTATGTTTTACCCCTTGTCCTAATGGTGCATATTTACTAACGATATTGTAGGGCAAAGGAGGCTGTTGAGAAACTCACTGGCGACAAGGTTACCGCCAAGCATTAGACGGCGTTTGGGCTATTGATATGGCGGCCGGTATGATTAGGCTAGAATTTATGCAAATGCCTCGAGGGTGATTTCGGACACACTTGAACTTTTGATATCACGGCAGGGTATATACCATTAATGGTTAGCATTGCTATGGAATCATTAGCACAATACGATAATGACGCCTGAGAGGGCAAGAATTTTGTGTCCCTAGAATGCTGTTGTTTTTATTTCCCGCATCTACAGATGGAGAGTGTTTGGGTAATCATTACACCGGTTAGTTTGGTTGACCATTCTGCACTAAGCTTGTGGGGTAGTAAGTTAGATGCACCAACAACGCGCGGGGTCCAATCAGGAAACGGCGCTCAGCGCTAGCTCACGTCACACAAGCAAACGGCCAAACTGGTTCAACTCACCTCCGGCAACACACTTTAGGCTAAGACTTTCAGTTCAAGTACGAATGCAGCATATAACATGAAGAAACACGTCACTTGTATGCCAACAGGGGAGCATCGTGGAAGCAGTCGGGTGAGTTTGAGCGTTTCTCGTCATCTTGCTGTAGCCGTCTGTCACCTATGAAGAAGGGTCCTACATCCATGAGACCAACGAATCATAGCAGATTTTGAATGTATATAATGATTTACTTGTGTCGATTACTATGGGAAAGGAGATGACCTGTTGATCAGAGTTATCAATATGCTGACCTGGAATAGTTCGAGCCGCACACACCGTCGCCATTATTGTGTGCATGGCGTTGCGACTTAACCGCATTCTCGCGGCGGCACAACCTGTACTTTCTTGCCGCCACAGATACTTTACACGTCTATCAACCAAGTTTTCCGGATCAAAATTTGACTAAGGAGCCCGACCTTGTCCTTCATCCACCCAAGACTGGCCATCGAGGGCAAGGTATCGATCCCTGGGAGCCTCATTCCATCAACCGCGTTCTTGTTGAATACCTTGGTAATGAAGAAGTTCTTCTTGTCACCTGCGATGATGGCGATGTAACCGGCTATCGTACCGAAGCAATCTACCGAGCTTTGCAACGACGAAGCAATCAAGATGAGTCTGCTAGCAAGGATGACGTTCACATCTTCCTCCATCGAAACGTTGGCGCTAGCGCGTGGGGCTTAGCTGTGCATCGAGAGGCTCGGATCATTGCCATTAGCGCGAACACGTATCAAATCACTGTCATTGCATACGCGCTCGTAGATCACGCTGAAGAACCAGCAAGCTCCGAGAACTCAGATAACGATATCCATGAATCCTCAAAGGTTACCTCACGGTCTCCTTTCTGTAGACAGAACGAGACCATTTTTCATCTTTCCACCACCAACAACCTGCCATCATTGTCGTTTTACGGCAGTTCTGGACGTTGGCTTCTGAGTAGCTGCATCAATGGCAAGACAATGCTATGGGATCTTCATACGAGGAAGGAAGCAGCTAATTACCAAATGGGATGGTGTAGAAGTGCGGAGAGCCTCTACTCCACTCCTCGCTATGAATCACGAGGATTTACGTGCAATTGTCCGGCTGCTTCAAACGTGCTGCACGGAGCTTGGGGCACAATAGCACTGGATACGATATCGGCATACTATTTATCATCCACAGAGGAAGAAAAGCTGGAAATCAAGGATGAGCCAGAGAGCTTTCGGGATGCAACTGCTCAGAAGAAGAGATTCACAGTTGCAGCTCTCAACCCATGTATCCCGTACACGGAGCCAAGTGAAAGCGAGGATGAACAGAGTGACCTGGATGACGAGGATACAGATTCCATGGAAGGCCAGACACAAGGGGTCCAGCCACTTGGTTACGTTCAAGGAAGTCTGGCACCTGCTCAAGTAGTAAGTGGCAACCGCCATAGTCTCTTCCAGACGGCAAACACCCCTACTGATCGGACTCATCCTTACGGATACAATAGATGCTGACACTTCATAGCAGGCTATTCAGAGCATGATACAGGGACATCAAAGCCTGCAGGATTTTCCAAACTTGATATTCAACATGATCGCTCCTGGCAGAACACAACCCAGTCACGACACAGCCTTGAAGCCTTACTGTGCGATAGATTATGCTGGAACTGACATATGTCCCGTACGCATTGCCCTCGTATTCACTATTTAATAATTAGATCTAAAATGTCACAGACCGAAGGAGGAGATTTCGACATCCCTTTTCTGATTCTTACGAAAGAAGAGGTCTTTCTCGTTCAACACGCCTTTGCAAAAAACATGACAAGTATAGTGAGTCACGTTGTATCCATGCAGCGCCCGTTGCATCCCGGCGAGTGGATACCATCGCTCGCATCGCAAGACAGGCATTGTTACTTCTCTCAGATCCCCGAGCTGGGCGTCTTCATTATCGGGTCACCTATTGGTCGTGCGGCTATATTCTCACTCTACTGGACCACGGACGAAGACAGTGCGCACCGACGATATGGCTTCAAGCTTGAATACCTGCTGCCTTTTAAACAGGAGAATGAGAATCAGATTGCGGGTGCGCCAATTGGACGGATGATTGGTGTGGCGGTTTCTCCGGTCCAGGGCATGTTTGATGGACCGGAAAATGCAGATGGCATTGCTGAGCAACGGCAAGGCGTACATCAGCCCAGAAGATGGCGCATCCTGATGTATTATATGGATCATACGGTGTTGAGCTTTGAGCTGTCGAAGTCGAGGGAGAGCGAGTCGCCTGATCTGGAGGAGTTAGTTGTGTAGGGAGGGCTGTTTTCCCCTTTCCTTCGCGTCGCGTATTCAAGGTATCACGTGGGCAGGCTGGGAGTTTTGAATTCAGCGTGTCAATCAGGAGCGCTTTAGTCTCTTTTAAACTAATGGTTTGCAGTCATCAAATGGAGCGGTATCATCAAGACGAAACATTTTAAAAAGGACCAAGAATGTGCTGTATGGTCCCCTCTAATACCCGGCATCCAAGCTTTCGCACTTGGATGTGGATTATAGTCAGCATTAGAAATCTACACGGTCCCCCCCGTTCGTAGACGTCCACAGGCTTCTTTGGCATGATGGACATTTGACCTTTCCCATAATTTACTCCTCAATCTTCTCCGACTTCCACAATGCCCAGGCAAAAACAGCCATGAGCTTCAGTGCCGCCGCAGTCCACAGGGAGCCCGCGAGGCCTACACTGCTATGGGCAAACAGTCCACCCATGCAAGCTCCAATGACCAAAGCAAGCGGCGCACCAAGTCTCCTATTACGCTCCACATTCGACATCTTGAACAAGTCAGGATCAGAAAACAAGTCGCAGTAGTTACTCGTCAGCACCACACTAGTCAAACCATTATACTTGAGCGCGCGCGACGTAACCGCCTGGCCACTCGACTGAAACGCCACCGAAGCAAGCGGCAGCAAGACCTGCCAGTGCAGGCCTTCTCCCGTATTCTTGCCAAAGGTCGTAATAGTCGCCGCGAAGACAATAAGCAGCATCTGGAACGAGTACGAGGCAATCAGCACCCAGCGCTTTGCAGGGGAGAAGTAGCGATGGAATCGCGCAAAGCAAAAGGAACCAGCACAGAATGCGGCGATTGATATGCCGGCTTTGATCCAGCGGATGCCCTCGGATGGAGCAGCTATGCCTAGGCCTAGGTAGACGGTGTTTCCTATACAATGCATGAGTATTGTTGTCGTCATGTTTCAAAAGACGAAATGGAAATGAGCAGTAGTAGGAGTAGATGGTAGATAGAAAGTGTAAAAAGTCATGTAACTTGCTCCATCACGTCTCAAGAGACGAACAGAAAGGATTCATAGTAGGATGGGTACATAGATAAAAAAGTGTAAACCAAACAAAAAAAAGACATGTTGTGATGTTGAAACTCACCGGTCTGCATGCTTACAAAGGAGCCCCAGATGAAAACAGCCGAGCTATCCAGCAGGCCTGTAATCATGTAACAAAGGATCAAGACTACATCGGCCCAGTTTCTGTTAACGTTGGTCTGCATGTAACGCCTCATGCGGTGCAGAATGGCGTGTGCATCCGACTTTCCGCCGTCGGCGCCATTTCGGCCGAGAAGAGGCGTTTCTTCGTCTGCAAGGCTACGCGTGACGGTGCTGGGAGCGGCGGTGCTCATGGTTTGGGCGCCTCTCGCGCGCGCGTGGGGGTCCGAAGAAATAGAGACAGAGATAGATAAAGAGAGAGGGGAGGGGAGGGGAAGAAGGGGGAGGAGGGAAGAGGGTAGTCTGTTGGATCTGGGTAGTGATTCTTGAACAACAAGGCGCGGAAGAAACGGCACTGGTGGATAGCTTTATGTTTGCTTGGAAGAGCGAGATTGCCAGGCTTTTTTCTTGCTTGTAATGGCGTAATCGGGAGGAACGGGAAGCCGGCTGGCGGTTATGCAGATCGTTTTCAGGAACCTAGACTCAAGCTTCGGTCAAGGTTATCCAAGCTTCAGCTGCGCGGAGAGGCCGGCAATTGCAGGATAACGCAGGAAGAGGTGTGGCTGGCCGGTGTACCGTGAGGAGCAACCTTCCTGTTACGAAGCGAGGGCGTTTTTTACATGTACAAGTAATAGTGATATGGGTGCGGGGAAATGCTTGAAAGGCGGGTCGAGAGTTGTGGAAAAATCGTGGATTGGCGTGTGCGCATTGATGCATGTTGATGAGTGATGTTTAGCTCAAGAGATTCATGGCGTCATCGGAAGTACGGCATTGGGCGACGCGCAAATGTCAACCGCCGAACATGAAAAGGATGCGTTTTCCGGTTGAAAAGAGAAAAAATCTGTGTGCCATTCTCTTCAGCATTGGCTCTCAATTCATTCTCTCCAAGCCGTTATGCATCTTTCGTCGTTGCTGGTTGCGCTCAGCTGCTATGGCGGTGCTCTTGCAGCTCCGTTGGAGCAACAAGTACCACTGCCTGGCAATACAGGACACCATGCTGGGCCTCACAAGATAACCAACCCGTATAGGCCGGGTGTGAGTGATCCTTATGACAGGAAGGTCGATTCTCAGGGCGACAAGCTTCAGCCGCTGCCATACGTGAGTTATACATCTAATATGTATCCGTGAAATCACTAACCACCATGACAGCGAAATGATGACGGAGCAAGCGTCCTGGGCCCTCGCAACCGCGCCCGCGAACGCCAGAACCCAGATCTCGTCCGTCCTCCTAGCACTGACCATGGCGCGATTCCCAACATGCGCTGGTCTTTTGCTGATTCTCATATCCGCATCGAGGAGGGCGGTTGGACGCGAGAGACGACTGTCCGCGAACTTGGTACCAGCAAGGAGCTTGCCGGTGTCAACATGCGTCTTGAAGAAGGCGTCATCCGTGAGCTTCACTGGCACAAGGAAGCCGAATGGGCCTACGTGCTCGAAGGCAAAGTCCGCATTACCGCTCTCGACACCGAAGGCGGCAGCTTCGTCGACGACCTTGAGAAGGGCGACCTATGGTACTTCCCATCTGGCCACCCTCACTCTCTCCAGGGCCTCAGTCCCAACGGCACCGAGTTCCTCCTCGTCTTCGACGACGGCAACTTTTCCGAAGATTCCACCTTCTTGCTCACAGACTGGATGCGCCTAACCCCCAAGTCCGTCCTGGGCGAGAACTTCCGCGTTGCCCCCGAAGTCTTCAAGGCGATTCCTGACAAGGAAAAATACATCTTCAAGGGCTCCGAACCCGGTCCCATCGACAAGGAGGTCCCTAGCGAGAGCAAGGGCTACAAGAAATCCAAGCTCCAATTCACCCACAAGATGCTTGCTCAGGAACCCGTCAACACGACTGGTGGCCAAGTCCGCATCACTGACTCAACCAACTTCCCCATCTCCAAGACGGTGGCTGCCGCCCACCTGAGAATTCAACCTGGAGCAATCCGCGAAATGCACTGGCATCGTAAGTCACAATAATCCCTATTCCCTCCTTTTTGCAAAACAAAAACAAAACAAAGACTAACACATTCCCTCCCCCACAGCCAACGCAGACGAATGGTCCTTCTTCATCGCCGGCCGCGCGCGCGTCACCATCTTCGCCGCCAAAGGCACCGCGCGCACCTTCGACTTCCAAGCCGGCGACGTCGGCGTCATCCCGCGCAATATGGGCCACTTCATCGAGAACCTGTCCGACGAGGAGGACGTCGAGGTGCTGGAGATTTTCCGTGCCGACAAGTTCCAGGACTTTAGCCTGTTCCAGTGGCTTGGAGAGACGCCGCAGAGACTGGTCAAGGAGCATCTTTTTGAGAGCAGTCCGAAGGAGGCGGAGGAGTTTGAGAGGGCGATCAAGGATGCCGAGAGGGATCCGATTAAGGATGTTGACCTTGATCTTGATGATGAGGATAAGGAGGAGTTGTGAGTAGGAGAGTGGTAGTTTTGCATGTGCTACGGGTTTAGCCAAGACATGGTTGACCCCTGTTGAGATTTCTTTTTTTTTTCCTTTCGTTCGTAATGTATTACAGTTCGGAGTTCGATTTACCTGAAATATGGTTGTTTACATTCGCTACTACTATCAAATAACATGTACAAAGTCCACAACCAGATGCGCAATATTCACGTGGAGTTGGAGTGGAAAGTCATTGCCCCAGCAAGAGTGTTCTGGCTTTGCAATCACACTAAACCCGCCTCGGTATAGTCATTCCTCGTTACCATTGCTCAGGTGAGCATAGCATCTAGTGTACATGGTCTACTTCGCGGAGGCTCTTAGTCTCCAGCCGTCAACATCTCACGCGGAAGCTATTCATAGGACCGAGATGCCGGGCGATCAAAACATTCTTCTTGGCAACGGGGTAAAGAGGGTTCATTCAACACGATCCAATAGGATTGCTTATCAGCTGCCCTTGTCATTCCTTGGTACACCTGGTGGGTATGGTCTGGAGCCTACGTAAGGCATTGGTGACGCGCACTTGAGCACACGACGAGGTGGGTGAGCTTGTTCTACTAGCTCCACAGTCCAAATACTGCATCTCTTCCGAACCACCGGGAGTATTCATGCTAATCGTGGCTGCCCAGGTATTGGGGTTCCGGTGGCGGGGTAGCAATATCAGATGCAATCTATTATCCTCTTGGAAAAAAGTCTCTGGCCCCCGGAACGTAATTTGATACACTGAGATAAGCAGTTGGCCATCCATGATGATGGGAACTGCGTTGCACACAAAGTTGACTATTTCCGTGTGCAGGACCTCCGTACTATGGGAGAGTATTATTAGTTCTTCATGTAGCGTTGTGCTGCGGCTCACCACGCCGTCAAAAAAGCATGTTTCGAAACATGTACCCACATACCCATTGTGTAGGTACGTGTGTGCGTCTATCCACAATACACGCGCCTCCAACACTGGTTGTGTGCAATGAGTCTCAGCCTAGAGAGGGGCGCCGCGTTCGGATTGGCCCATCTCGGTAAAGCAGTAGGGCCGCGCTGACACGGAACTATATTTTATAGAGAGAGAGAAAAAAACTCCGATTCCACCGACATGCTCCCTTAATCAGTGGGCGGCTGCTTGTCGATAGCAAGCTGTGCAATCTATGGATAACGGAAAGCTTGCATGTTCCTACGTGACCAAGGGGCCAGGTGTCAGTGCGGGATTACCTTAGGCCAAGTTGATGGGAGACGACGTTTGATCTGCCATTCCAGAAGGGGACGAGGGAGGGGGGCGAGGACCCGCTGTTCAAAGGCCGTATGGCGCCCATGGTGATAATTGTTGGAAAAGGCACGTTTAACGCACATCAGGTCGACAAGGTCAGAAGCGAGTGGTACGAATGAATACGCGCGGCTCAGACATGTGGAGCTGGTCTGATTATAGCGCATGGGGATCGATACGCGATTAGAACTAGGTTCGCTACCGCAACTCCTTTTCGTTTGCGCTTGTGGACGGGACAGATAAGTGGTGGAATTGCGCTGCTTGGCGGAGGACGAGGCGGCAATATGTGTATGTGTGGCGCTGTCAATAGGGGTGTAACCGTCGGGAGGGCATGGCAGCGGCTGTCCCGCGTGCGCGCAGTGCGACGTGGTGTCGTGGGTATTCGAAGGGTGTGTGTTGCTGTGTGTGGTACTGTGTCAGTAAGCATGTGCAGAGGGAGAACAGGGCCGACTGTCATGATGGGATTCGGCGCGCGCGATCCAGACCCTGGGACGCCAACCCGAACAGTCGCTTCTTGCGGGGTGACGTGACGTTCCCGTCTCAGGGTCCAACAACGAGCGGGTCCAAGGCATTGGGATGTTCGTGAAAACTAGACCCCATCTGGCCTGTCCGGCCTTGGCAGTGAATTCCATCAACTCGACTGGGCCGGCTCGCCTCCATGTCGGGGTCGTCCAGATGCTTGGCAGAGATTGTGCTCCCTTGGACCTGCCTAGAGCGAGCCTGTTCGCTGCTCGAGGCGTCTTGTGCAGGTGGGTGGCTGTCTGCGCCTGGCCGCCGCAAGATTGGTCTCCGCTTGTGCAAGACTGTAATTCGCCTCCACAGGCCCCGGCCTTCGCAGTGAACCGTCCTACACTCGGCACGCGCGCCATAACGGGTCCGTCGTAAGCCTCCACGCCCTTGGGTCGGGCCATGCTACGACGCGTTGAGCGTCTCCTTTGTTGGCGTTTCAAGTCATTGGCACATTCCCCTCTCTCGCGTGCAACATGCTTGCCCGCACACTCGTGTACCGCAACTCAGCCCCTTCGATGGAAACGCTCCAGAAGCTGCCAGGGCCATGACCCGTGCGCACGGCGTGGACGGCATGTCTCCCTAGAGGCTTTGATTTCCTCCTTGGTTTGGTGGAAGCATAGTCGGTCTGCCGTGCCCGTATATATCCTGCTGTCCCACTGATTAGCATGCCCGCCAATTCTTACCGTCCCCAACCAGCGCCAAAGAAACAAAATGTCGCGACACAGCATCATTGCCCCAGCGGAAATCGAGCGACAAATTGCCCAAGGCGAACCGATTGTCATTCACGAGGGCTACGTCCTGAATCTAGGAGAATGGATTGACAAGCATCCGGGTGGTCGTCTCGCCATCCTGCACATGGTGGGCAGAGATGCGACCGATGAGATCAACATGTATGTCGTGCAGAGCATGTCCTAGTATATATACCATCTGTCGTCCCATCGGATGCAACTAGTGCCGATGGTCCGGTCACACCATGTGGCCGGATGGCTGCGGAAGGGTTGTGTAAGCATCTCCGCGTCGATCATAGGCTGACTTGACGCCAGCTACCATTCCAATAGGGCGCTGCTCATGATGACAAAGCATCGCATTGGTCGCGTCCAATTGCCTTGGGCCAACCTAGAGCCTCCAATTCGCTCGCCCAACTACTACAAGAATCTGGAAGAGAAGAAGCGAGCGGGTGCGGCTCCTGAGCCTGAGAGGCAACGACGCGGTAAAAGTGTCGATTTGGGATCTGTGGGCTTACTCCTATCCGTCCATAATCACATATCAAACCGGACTAACATGCAACCAAGGCCGCCGCTATCATTAGCAAAAAACTCATCGGAAAATCAGACACCTGTGTATTCAGGCCAAGCAGCAGGCCTGCTAGCGACCTGGAAAAGATTTCATTAATCGAAGAGGATGCCGAGACATTGACCATTACTGCCCAGGAAGAAAAGAGGAGGCACCGCGAGCAATATGCCACTGAGCAAGAAAAGCTAGAAATAGAAGAGGGTATCCGCGAGAACCCCTCGCTCGACGTCGAGACGCAAAAGGCTATTATCCAAGACTACCGCGCTTTGCATCAACAGATCAAAGATGAAGGCCTCTACCAATGTCGTTACTCCGAATATGCCAAAGAGTCGATACGATACGCTTTCCTTTTCGCCGCTTTTGCCGGCCTACTGTACATCAAATGGTACCTTACATCAGCCATCTTCCTGGGTCTATTCTGGGTATGAAACGCAAAAACGCTTTCACGATACTAGCAAAACGCTAATCCATTTGCAGCAACAAATCATGTTCACAGCCCATGATGCTGGTCACCGCGGAATCACAGGAAACTTTGTTGCCGATACTCTCATTGGTGCTTTCATCGCAGACTTTTGCTGCGGCCTCAGCATCGGCTGGTGGAAATCCAGCCACAACGTGCACCATCTCATTACCAACATGCCGGAGCACGACCCGGATATCCAGAACATCCCTCTCTTCTCTACATCTCCTACCTACATGAAGTCTATCCTTTCCTCCTTCTACAACTTTCAATTTGTATGGGATGCCACATGCGATTTCTTGGTTCCCTACCAAAAGTATCTCTACTACCCAATCATGGGATTGGCACGATTCAACTTGTACTTCCTCGGCTGGGTGCATCTGTGCTCGCCTCGTGCGGCTCAACTAGGTGCAGCCTGGTGGACACGTCACGTCGAGCTTGTTTTCATGTGCTGCTACTGGTATCTCTTCGGCTACCTCCTTGTCTGGGTGACACTCCCCACATGGCCAATTCGCATTGGCTTTGTCCTGATCTCGCACCTCGTCACTATGGTTCTCCACGTCCAAATCACCCTCTCCCACTGGGGAATGCCCACCTCCGATCTTGGCCCCACCGAATCTTTCCCGCAACGCCAAATGCGCACTACCATGGATGTTGAGTGCCCGCCGTGGCTCGACTGGTTCCACGGTGGCCTGCAGTTCCAGGCCGTCCACCATCTTTTCCCCCGTGTTCCGCGTCATAACCTTCGCAGAGGCCAAGAGCTAGTCCGCGAGTTCTCCGCAAAGACGGGTATCAAGTACCATTGCTACGGCTTTATCGAGGGCAACAAGGTAGTCGTTAGCCGCCTAGAGCAGGTTTCACAAATGGTGAAAATCATGGTGGACTGCCAAAAGTACATGGCTGAGACTGGCGAGAGCGGTTTGCATTAAGTTACGCGCGGGCGCGAAAGAAAACACGCTACCGTTTTCCTTATTTGGAGCGTAGATTCTATGATATGGCGTTTGTTAAAAAAGAAACATTTACTCGTTTTGTAATTACACGAAAAGGAAGTATAGAGGGGACATTGCAAAATGCTACGAAAATTTCATGTCGAATTTAACTTGAGAACTGTGATTGAATAGAACAATTTGTTCATCTTGATATTAATAACGATCGGAACCCCGAAGACGAAACACAAGTGTATTGCACGTAACGATATCATCTCCCGCTAAGCCTTGTTAGGTATGAGTGGGATACCCTTGTACCTTGTACACATGAACTATCATGCCCTGATGAGCCTAACTAGTCGCAACTTCATCCCGGATTATCCATGAACTTGGGGAACAAGAAAGTCTAAGCTATTCTTATCTTTTTCCAGCTATGTCGCCTATCACATCGACAGCCGGCCTCTTGGATGCTACCAAACGCGCTTACGTTTGCTTGTTTAGATGAGGCTCCATGTTGAAGTGTCCAATTCACCGCAATCAAAGCGATGACATTGGAATTTCCTCTACGTTTTTCACGACCTTTTCTTTCAATCAATGTCTTAGAGCGCTAGCATCAATGCATCGTAGTATCACAGGGTGATACAGCGTCGACCTAATCCAAGACCAAAGTGTCAGAAATATGAACTCGGTTCTCCCTAGATATTAACACCCTGCAGTGAAGACCCGATTCCTAAGAATCACAAACCATGTGAAAAACCAAGGAACCTAGACCTATCGACTGTGGTAACTTCTTATGCAGAACTGCCCACGGGCAGGCTACTAATTTACCAGAAAGCGGGCACAATGATGGTTTGTTGGTGGTACCTGCGTTAGCTTTCCATTTTTCCTCAGTATCTGCGAGCTAACACTCTGTTAGGGTTTCGCTGAGTGTTCGGTACCATGGCCATGTGCGCCAAGTATTCGGTGACATTCACTCGACCATATAGTAGAGATTTAACAGTGCGGAATTTTTCACCAATTTCCCTCGCTATCTGATCCTTCCTCAACTACCGCCAGTTTTCCCTATGATTCCTTCCGAATACACAGTCTGCTTTCATTTCCCGTTGACACCATCTCCACTCATCCACCGCCTCATTCCACGCGCCAAGCATCAAGAAGGCCCCAACAGCCTCCGCCATGGTACCACAGCGTCACACTCGGTAAATCAGCCTATTCAGTGCGGCATTCCGCCAGCCAGTAACCCTGTAGAGCAAGTTTTCTAGAGGTTTTACGGAACTTGAGTACCCCGATGTCCTTCGCCAAGGCAATTCGCCGCCTTGGCTCTGCGCCCAGGCATGCATCTGTATGCCACCCGACAGAGAGGATATAAAACTTTCAATCCATAGATGCTGAAATGTTTCTTCTCTCTTTGCTACCTTGTACGAGACAGCCAATTTCGAGTTGCTTAGCACTTCTTTCGTTCGAGATACAAGCTCAATCCGACACGTCAAACCCAATTGTTACTATACAGTCAATATGAGGTTCTCAATCACTCTTCTTCTTGCTGCAGCAGCGGCAGTCGTCGCCCAAGACACCGTCTCTGCTCCCGCTAGTGACTGCGAACCCCACGGTGACCACTGGTAAACAAATTCCTCTCATAACATCCAGTACCGAAAAAAAGAAACTAACTTCGCAAAGGCACTGCGCCGACGGCGTCCCAGAACCCACTACTCCTCCCACCCCCGAGCAGCTCGCCAGCTTCTCTGCTGCCGAAGCCGCCGAGGACTCCACTCCCGCGTCTGCAATCGCCTCCAGGACTTCTTCAGGAACTCTTCTCGTCACTCCTTCTTCAACTCACTCCCACGACGACGATGACCACGACGACGACGACGACGATCACGTGGCAACCGCCAGCACATGTGAGCCCCACGGCGACCACTGGCACTGCCCTTCTGGCGTCGCAGAGCCAACCGCTCCCCCTGCTCAGACCGTCTCTGGCACCACGACCATTTCTCGTGCCCCTTCTGTCGCCCCCTCTGTCGCCTCATCTGCCAGCCAGGCTCCCCAACAGACTGGTAATGCTGCCGCGCAAATCGGTGCTGGTCAGGTTGTTGCTCTCATTGGTGCTGCCGCTTACTTCTTGTAAGCGTCGTGTGCATATTTTGCCTGGGGCTGAGATTCAGTAAGCCCTGTATGCATAGTTTGGAATGACTTTTGTTTTTGATTGGAAGCTCGCCAATCGATTTTGTATATAGAACAATGATTATGTGTATTGTGAATATATATCTTGGACTTGGTATGCATTCGGCCTGTAGTAGCGGATGAAGAGAGTACACACTGCTGTTGGCTTTCCACTGAGCGATGCAAATCTATGACATCTCCTCTCTTTTTTTTTTGCGATCTTTTCCCACGACTAACATCTTTTGCAATCGTTCTTCCTTGCCCAGAAAGAAGGACTTTATCCGGATTTTTTTTGTTTTTTTCTCGTTCCTGCAGAAAGTGGCCACGGGAAGAAACAAAAACATCAGATGCAATTACCAGCGTGAAAAAAATACGATAGTAATACAATCGAAACTCCCCGCGTCAAGGTCAGGCTTACGCTCCGGTGCATGACGCAATTTAAACAGCACAAGGGTGTATACGGCAACTAGGCTAGGCAAGGGAAACCCGTGTCAGCAAACCTTGTGCAGGGGCTGTTTGTAGTACCACGTGATCGATATATCGGTCTATCTACGCAACCAAGTATCTCTCATGTTTCATACTAATAATGGCAGCTCTTATGAAGACGGCTTCAAAGATCATAGTGGTTGTAATATGGCTGTCATGTTTCTTACTGAGCCACATATTTTGAGGGTGTTTCTGGAGATGTGGGTTTCGGTATGGGTTATATTGTGAATACAGATTGGTATGGGTTATTGCAGAGGGTTTTTGTAAAAAGCTACTACTGGTTTGCTGGTAAGAGCTAAGACGCAAGATAGTACGCACCTCCTAATTTGACTAGCTGGTATATAAGCTCCTTGGAAAATATTCAGTTTGCTACATATTATTTTCTGGTATCAAAAGGTCTGTAACTTACAAGTGGGCTTTGGTTTCACAACTACTATTTCCACACCACTGGTCTTGACCCCATTTTGTGCACAAGAGTCATTTATGGTAATTTAGTATGTGGGAAACTGTCGATTGCCAAGATCTGATCTTTCATAATCAGACTCTCATCGTATCGTGGATGAACTCCTTGTTCATCTATCGGGCCGTGTAAAACGATCTAAGTATTTTCCACGTCAGCTTACTGGCATCGCTGATGACAGACATAAGTATGAAAGTCCACATGGGAATTCCAGACGGAGAATTATTAGTCTAGTCCAGCTAGCATCAGAAAGCCTAGTAGTACCTAGTTAAAATTGTCAATGTAAATTTTGCGGCGGTAGTAGAAGATTATACAGCAGCGCCTGCACGCATGTGTTGTGTAAATGTGGTCATAGATCCAAATAAAGTTTTCCGAACCAAACAAGTTACGTGAGACAAAAGTATCCGTTACTAGAATTAGAAAAAAGGCAGGAGATTTTCTCGGTTGGAGGTCAAATAAGCCTCCATTCTTGCCATGTCTCTAACCGCCTCCATCCGCGCACATTAGTCATTGGTGCAGTCTTCGTCTATCTCTCAAATGCCAAAGTTTTAAGGGCTGTCACCACGTCTCGCCCATTATCATAGCCAAGGCTAACTTTGCGTTTGATGTTCCAGCACCCAAATTGGTACCTATGCCTTAGATCTATTCAAACGGTAAGGCTTGTTTGTAAAGAGAAAGAGAGAGAGAGAGAGAGAGAGATAACGCCTTCTCCTAGTATCTGCAAGACTGTCAAGTACAAGGACAAGGGAAGACATTCTAGAGTCAAGATACGATAAGACTACCGTTCTTATATAGCTTCTTGTGTTATAAGCGGTTATGTACAAATTATAGTGGCAAATCAAGAGTCAAGACTTTTACAAGAAAGACTATTTCTGTACCACCTCTCCAACACGCACGAGAAACTCATCCGTTGGGTAGATCTGCCCAAGTAAAATTAAACAGCCGAACTTCTTGCAAAACCAAACAGAGGTGTAAGATCACTTGCTCTCCCTTCTTCCCTCAACCGTCGTCTATTCGCAGTCCAAGTCTTAGAATCAGTAGTTTTGACAGCCCGGCTGGCGGAGATTCTGGTGTTTGTTACGTGATTAGATGCTACTATCTAAAAACGGAGATTCCTGAATCCTTGGGATGGCTAATTAGCGCAGAGCTTCTTAGAGCTAATTCAATCGCGTTTCTTCTCGCACGAAAATCCCCTCCAGGGACCGATTGTAATATGCAGCTAAAGCTGCAATAATGGCCTATGCATATACATACTTGGGTTGACTTGTAGTGTGAATATGGCGAATTGGATGGATGATTTCATCATGACCTTGCGTACAATGGATGGGCGTCATTACTTGCAACAGAGATGATCAGCGTGATAGCATTCAGCAAAAGCAGCGCCTGTTACAAAGTAGTTCCCCAAGACAATTGCCCGTCTCCCAAGCCAGCATTTCCCTTGTGTGCGTAGATTAAGCAAAACAAGGCAAGTCTTTCTAATCTGTAATAAATTTAATCAACCACTATCTACACTTGATCAAGCAACAAGTCACAAGTAGAGTGGGAGAACAGTCATTGTTGTATATGTAAAACCCAAAAAAAAACAAATCGTCACATTCGTAATCATATCTACGTGGCAACCCGTCCAAAGCAGGTTGACACCTCCGCTTAAAAAACAATACACAAAACCAAGGTATTGGGGAATATACGCTAGCCTTTCCTTTAACAACCCAAAATGCAGAAATGCAGTAACGCCCTTTGCTCCATCTGTAATAGCGCATTTAATGCATATGCAACGAGTGACTTTGTTGTACAACCAAAAGGATATCAAAGGAAAAAAAAAGGTGTGGGAACAAGCAGGCTTAGAAGCCATTGAAGCCCATCATGATACCAGCACCGGCAATGGCAGCACCGCTGATCCATGGGTTTGCGGTTGCGGCTGGTGCAGCAGCACCACTAGGAGACTGCAAGACAGTACCGGTGATGCTGGGACCATTAACCCTGGGACCACCGGTGCCTATTGCAGCCGTGGATACAGCATTAGGAACATCCTTAGCATTGGGAACGCCATCAACGCCCTTTTTGATTTCCTGAACATTTGACGCGGTCGCATTGAAATTTGTTTGCGCGAGGGAGATTTCGTTATTGGCGAGATCATAGACGACGTATGCGGAGCGTAGGAAAGTGTCTCCAAGGACGGCCAGAGAATCGCCAGCTGGGCCAACTCCGAAGATGCAGATGGACCGCCCGCGGCTGACGGCGGCAAGGACAACGAGTTCGTTGAGCGGAACAGAGATCTTGACGCCGGAGAAATTGAAGTCAACGGAGCCTTGCTTGTTGGCCAGGTTGCAGTCAACAAAAGCAGCGCCCTGCGAGGAGTCGTACTGGGCGTTGTAGGTTTGGTACAAGGCGTTGGCAACCTGATCAGGTAGGTACATCAAAGACGAGCCAGAGTCGAGAAGGACAGGCACGTTTTCGTTCTTGAACAGAGAACCGTCGTTACCGTTCTCCCCCATTCCGGTCAAAGCAATGACAAACTCGGCATACTGGCCTCGTTCGGGAATAATGGGCAGCGTCTGCAGTTGGCCACTGAATTTTTCGGTATCCACGCCACCAAACAGAATACTTCCAGTCGACGAGTCCAAGTCGTTCAGCCACAGCGAATAAGCCATGGAATTGATGGCGCCGTCATCTTGGAGCTTTGCAGGCAAGTTGGGGTAAGGGTCCAGGCCAGCGCGGCCCACGGCGACCTCGTTGATGGGATATCCGATACCAAGAATGCCTTCGGTCGAGCTGGATACGTAGCCAATACCAAACTGCATATCCGTCAATGTTTTGCCTCCGAAACGAAACGTGTCTGTGGCATAATCGCCCGATGCGCCTGATCCGTCCACGTAGGAAATGTTGAAGACGCTATTGACGTATTTGTATGTAGACGAATCGTTTGAGTTGTATGTGCCCGAGTCTCCGCACTGATTGCCGCCTTGCATACAGAGATTTGAGTTGACCGCGTTGACCCAAAGATCGCTGCTACCGGTATCGATATGTAGCCGGAAGTTCTGGGGTGGGGTGCCTAAACTTGCGTTTGCGAAGTAGAGCGTTTCGAGGTTGTCGAGCGTCTCTTGGACGGTATTTTGGCGTCTTCGTAACCGGTCATGGGCAATTGGATTAATGACATTGCGGCGCTGGGTATCGAGTAGGACTACTTTGGGGTTCTGTCATGGGCGTGTGAGCGAACATGTTTGCGTCGGTGCGGGAGGATTCGCTTCGCAAGGCTGAAAGCCGGGGTAGATCAGAGTAGCACCTACCTCTCGCGGGACGAACTCTAATGCCGCCGCAGCTGACGCTAAAGTTACCGAGATCAACAACAACGACTTCATGATGATGTTTTTCTGAAAGTTTAATGCCCGAGGACTCTGCCAATGTATACCAAGGGAGAGGAGGACCCCTGGCGTGGCTGAGTGAGATTTGATGCGCAAAGAGTAGGCGGCGGCTTTGGAGGGCGTTTCGGGCTGCTGAGGCGCAGAATGCAATTCAAAAGCAGTGGCAGGACTGGGGCTGGGGAAACAGGGGGTTGCCGGGCAGTTGTCAGAGTAAATAGCAAGCAGAAACACAGGCAAGGTGAAGCAGAAGCGCGCGGGCAGTCGAGGTTTTGACGCCGCAGGGGGCGTTAGAGCCCAGGCGATGACGACGCGTGTATGATGAGACCAAGTCTAGATGCGTTACGAATCCAGCAGCCTTACGTAGTGCTGCTGCCCACGTAACCGCCGGGCGGCCAGGCCTTTTCTAGACACCGATACGAGCAGCCGACGGAGGCATTGTTCTCAGAGCAGCGCGGGTGTGGCGGTGCTCTGGTTACAGCACAGCTATCATGCTCAGTCATCAGCCATGGTTGTGCCTGCTGCCAGTCACCGTCAGTTTGGGTCGATCCATCGAGAAGCCTGTGCCTGCACGCACACGCTGCTGGCGGAGATAAGGTAGCAGCCGGATGGGAGACGATGGCGCACAGCAGTCTGAGGCATTGGGGCTGGGGTCACGAT